TTAACTCTAACCTTCGCTACAGGAAGACCTACACTCTCAACACGGGCGCCAAGATCCCCGCCATCGGCCTGGGCACCTGGCAGTCCAAGCCCAACGAGGTCCGGGAGGCTGTCAAGAATGCCCTGCTGAAGGGCTACCGCCACATCGACACCGCTCTGGCCTATGGCAACGAGGCCGAGGTCGGTGCCGGGATCCGCGACTCGGGCGTTCCCCGCGAACAGATCTGGCTCACCACCAAGCTCGACAACCCCTGGCACCACCGCGTCCAGGAGGGCATTGCCTCATCGCTGAAGGATCTCGGCGTGGACTATGTGGACCTCTACCTGATGCACTGGCCCAGCTCGACTGACCCCAATGACTTGAAGAAGCACCTCCCCGACTGGGACTTCATCAAGACCTGGTGAGTAAAATTTCTTTTCCAGCTGTGGAAGTGGCTCAATGGCTAACCCCCAATTCCAGGCAAGAGATGCAGAAGCTGCCGGCTACCGGCAAGGTCCGCAACATCGGTGTCTCCAACTTTGGCATCAAGAACCTGGAGAAGCTGCTCAACGACCCCAGCTGCAAGATCGTTCCCGCCGTCAACCAGATCGAATTGCACCCCAACAACCCCTCGCCCAAGCTGGTCGCCTACAACACCTCCAAGGGCATCCACTCGACCGGCTACTCGTGCCTGGGATCGACCAACTCCCCCCTCTACAAGGACCAGACTCTGCTGCAGATTGCAGAGAAGAAGGGCAAGACCCCCCAGCAGGTGCTGCTGGTGTGGGGTATCCAGAAGGGCTGGAGTGTCATCCCCAAGTCGGTCAGCAAGTCGCGCATCGATGCCAACTTTGAGATTGATGGCTGGGACTTGACCGCTGAGGAGATCAACCAGCTGGACAACCTCAAGGACCGATTCAAGGTCTGTGGCGATGACTGGCTGCCCATCAAGGTGTTCTTTGGAGATGATGAGTGAACAAAAGTGCACATTGGAGTACATAGCTCAGTGTAATTCTGAAGATAACAAAAAATGTTACGAAATGAACCAGTCCGCCTGTCTCCTCCCCCAGTAGATTCACCACTCCACATGAGACCTCATTGCTGCACCGCCACATTCTGGATCACGTGTGTGGCGTTCCTGTGCAGAGGCCGTGTGATGAACCAGTCAGCCATCTTCTCTTCCATCCTCCGTCATCATCTCGAGTCCCCCGAGTCTTGCATCCCAACTTTCAGTATGGCGCCTTCCGCTGGGCACCTGCTGCTCCCCAAGATATGGAGGGCAGCCAGGTACGTTGCTTGTCCCTTATCATCCTTATCGGATGGAGTCAATCACAGTTATCAGGCTGACATCTGCTCAGGTTTGCCTATGAGAAGGCCTCAAGGGCCCTTCGAGCCAAACTACCAGAACCCCCTCAATCCTCTCTCCGATATCAACCAGCGTATGCCCGAGTTAACCGCCACCCCATCCCTCGCGCCGCTGCCATCCGTCAAGCCCGCAGCCGCCACTTCTCGACCCGTGCTGCTTTCGTCTCTGCGATCCGATCGGGTCTGCAAGCAGACGCTGCGGTGTACAAGTCGACCCGCATCGCTGCGAATGTCAGCCGGCTGACCAGCCGAGCCCCTTTCGCGTCAACTCTCCGTCCCAACCTGACAGGCGGCGCTCTTGGCCGCACCGCTGGCGGATATGCTGTCGGCGCAGGCCGATTTGGCGGAGCGCGATACTTCTCCCATGGCCCTGCTGCTCCTGCCCAGGTGATCCAGAATGTATCCCAGGGGGTGCGTGCTTTCTTCCTGTCTGGCCAGAAGGTTCGGTTCGATGGAATCGACCCTCGCACCGGCGACAAGCGGTACAAGGCCGTCAGCAGCTTGCAAGACCAGGCAGAGCGACAGATGCTTGATGTTCCATACTACACCGCCGGTTCGCACCTGGACTTCAAGCTTGCCCCCGTTATCACTTCTCTCGACACCAAGAAGATCGTCCCCGGCACCAGCAAGTCTCTCAACACGGAGGGCTTCATGGACCTTCTATCTGGTGATTTTGCTCGCTCTCTTCAGAACTTTGCGGCAACCATCAATGATCTCAAGAAGCTTTCAGAATTGGGCGACCTGCCAATTACCCTCCTCAAAAACTCAACCATCCGCGTCCGCTTCCCTGGCTGCGACGCGGACACCGTGGGGCGCCTGTGTGACGAGGTCGGCGTCCACCGCGGTATAATTGTCGAAGATGCAGACTTTGACCTTTGCACTGGCTCCGAGCTGGCACTGCTTTTTCCCTTCGCACCCAGTGTGGCGCCACCGTCGGGCCCCGAGCCGGCACTGCGATTTCCCTTTGCACCTAGCGCGGCACGACCGTCGGGCTCCAAGCGACCCAAATCTCAGTCACTCGATGCGCTCGACTGGAAAAGCATGATGTCCCCCGAGACTCACACCCCGCCTTCTGGCCATATCCATGAAATGGAGATTAGTTTTGAAGACAGCGAGCTGTTTGGCCGCAACCCGTGGGATTCCTCGGCGTCTACCTTCTCCCCCATCAACATTAGTGAATTGGGAGACCGTGCCTACTTCCCTGATTTCTCTGTCGTTGGCACCTCGGAGAGCGGTGAGTCCCAAGGAGAGGGAATTCAGGGGATCCACCGATTCTTGGAGGAATGCAATCAGGCGGCTCGTGGAGAAGCTACATTCCTTTAACTAGAGATCATCTGGCTGTCTCTTCCTTTCTTTTCTGTTCTTTCTCTGCATTTGCTTGATTTTGGATATGGCCCCGGTAGGCCATCATCATCGCGCTGATACCACTCCGCTCCCTACCATTTTCTTATTTTTGACTACAATTGAATACAAAATGTGCACGTACTTGCCATGCAATGTCTCTTCAATTGAAACCTCTCGACCTTCCATCAGTCGAGAACAATTCATACATCCCTACTGGATTGCCTAGACACTTACCTCGCACAGCATTCCGAGCCAGGGACTAAACCACAAGCCGTCTACGTCGTACACAGTACCACTATCCCATGCCAGGGTCCAGGGCTCGGCAGGGTCAGTTACGCGAACCCTAGACCCATGGACCCCGAAGATTCCAGATCCATCGCAGACTGGACGGGTTGGAGATGGCGCCAGGAACAGAACATAAAACATGGCCAAGCCGAACACAGCAGCAGAGTTGGGTATCGAAGGGAATGCTACCGCTGTCATCGTCAACGCCATAGTCAAGGACAGACTTGAAAGAAAATATAAATAGAACAAATCGCAATCTCCGAAGCTCCGGTCCAGTTCCGCTCTCTATACAATTGACTGGACCGTCCATCGTTCCCTCGTATTACCACCATCCCAATCCCAATCACCCATAGGATTAATCCATAATCCATACCATACCATACCAAGACCAAAGAAAGGATGGGGAAACAAATCATCACATCATCGTCATCATCATCAAAAGAAAAGCTCAGCGTCCGGCGCGAAACCAACTCCGTCCCCTGCGCACAGCACAGCACAAAACAACCTTGGCGCTTCAGATCTAGCCCGGTTCGACGCAGCCGAAAATCGAAAAGAAACCCATCAGTCAAAGGCTAAACGCCGGAGCCCCTCCTCCCTCCTCCTCAGTGGGGCCACGCAGTAGTACCCTCTGTCTCAACTTTTCCTTCCCTCCGTCCTGTGTATTACCTCCACGTAGAAGTATTTGCGTATGTGTATAGCAACCACTATACCAGAGTGTCCGCACACCTAATAAACACAAACTAAGAGCTCCGGCGCTGCTGTACAAGAATATTGCTGAGCCGCTTCCAGCGCTGCGTGGGGGAGGTGGAGTTGGCGCGGCTTAGATCGGCTTTGTCAAGGCTGCGCTGGGGGGAGGAGGTGGTGGAGGAACGGGGCCGGCTGATGGTTGCTTCGTGGTCGGCGAGGACGTCCTCGAGGCGCACGTCTGAGTCGGAGATGCGCGGGTGCGCGTCGTTGGGATCGAGGATCTCGATGAACTTGGAGGGTGTGTCGCGCATGGTGGTGGTTGTAGTTGTGGTTGTGGTTATGGGGGTTTCGAGTAGAGTTGAGTATAGCACAGCAGAGGCAGATTCTTTCACCAGCGAAAGAACGTGAAGTAGTGTGAAGCGAGAGACGGATGAAGAGGATGGATCGAGCGAGTGTTAAGTAGTGCAAGAAAGTAAGATGAGGCAAAGAGTGTCGCAGTTAGCGCTATGCTATAAGAAGGGGACAAAAGCGAAAAGAGGGCGGGCTGTAAGGAAATGGCACTGGAACTACATCCGATGACCAGGACAAGGCGCACTGTTAGTTCTGGGCCGATGGAGCCCGACGATCAGGGGATATTTTCAGGGTCCGTGGTAATGTTATATTTCTGTCTAGGATGTATCACATAGATCTATCGGAGTACATACTATGTGGAAGGACCAGTCCACAGACACAACACAACCAGCAAATCATTATGTATCTCTTTATGATTCTCCCTCTCTCGCACACACAGCCCTCCTTAGAAGAGAAGATGGGGGCGCAAAAACGGACAGGATCGGCGCTAAACGACACTGTGGCGCTAGGCGTTCTGGCCATTGAACACAACCGCAACGGGGCTCGTGAAGATCGTAGTGGGTGGGCCTTACGTGGTCGTGTGAGTGGTGTCCTCGGATGACGCGATTCTATATATTCTGTAGAAGCTCCATATTACTATTACAGTAGTCGTAAAAGGGTAAGACGATATTTTCCATGACGTCGGGGGCTACTCAACACTAATGTCGTGATTTAGGAGTTTAGCTGTTGTTGGGTTAGATCTACTCCGACAACCCTATAAAAAGTAATCCATCCCACGTCCCCACCCAGGACCAAAGAGGAGGGCCGGAGGATCAGCCTATAAAAGACGAGACAGAGATGCATTTTTCACTACGGAGTACCTCTATCTGATAATCGCCACGTCGATCGGAGGGGTACACATCTCCTTTTAATCAACGGATCCCACGGATCCCTCCCTCCTCCATTATTGACTATAGTATTATTCTCCATTTATTGATTTGCCCCCCATGATGCCCGTCGACGCTGATGTCAAGTGGACCAATATCGCGAGTCTACAGGAATACAATGCTGGTACAAACGAAGGGCAGGAAAAGGGCGGGCTGATCGTGGGGGCGCCCACTGCGCTGACGTGCAGGTTGTAGCTGTGCTTACTGGATACCAACAATACCTTAAATCGCCACTAGGCCGCTAGCTATCGCAGACCTTTCAGCCAGCGTGGCTTTTACGTGGTGGCGGGCGATGGCGAGAAAGCTTTACAAGGAATACGGCCGCCGAGGGCGGCGACTCTTTGCGCAGTTTAGTTACTGGACAATCCAATCGATGTATTGTGTTGGTTGGGTTGGTGGCCAGTAACTGGTAGTTGAAACAGAATTTCATTTCCATCAAGAACGCCGCATGAGAGCCGGATATGGTGAGAGCAAATAGTTAATTCGACAGCGGCCGCCAGCGCTGGAGTGGCCGTCATCGCCCCGAATCCCTCTGTGTTTTCTGCGGGTTTCCTCCTCTATGCAGTCCCTCGCGCATACTCATTGCCGTCGCACACGCACGAGCTCGACGGTCCCAATCCAAGAGTCGACATCGGAGAGAGATGTAAGATCGCTCGATAGACAGCGCCGTCCAGCTCAATCACCCAGGTCATCCATCGGCTCTGTAAACGCGCGCACGGGAGCCTAGGCACTCCCCTTCTTCCCTTCTCTGCCCCATTATTTTAACCCGAGATCCGTCATCTCCACGTTCTCAGCCGAGCCCATCCAGAGGATATTGTTGCACCTGCGTCGCCACGAGTCAGCATGACTGATTATTGACCAATATTCCAACTAGTATTCCTCCTGCGAATAGGTACATACCGGATCAATACCAGGCCCAGAGTGCCCGTGTTCTTGCCATCGATGAACTCCTCCGTGTCGCGCAGCAGCACGTTCATGTACGAGTCGATGCTCTCCAGCATGCCCTTGTACTCGGTCTGGCCCCACTTCAGGCGGATGACCATCTCGGTGCCGACTCTAGAGTATAAAATTAGTATTTGCTTCTGGCCATTCCGGCGATGAGATGACTCCCCGCCTGGGAGGGAGGGAGCATTGGGTGGTTGGGGAGTTGATTGAATTGGAAGGGTGAACTCGAGTCGAACCGGACTGGGGGAATTCGCACCTAGCCTGCAAAAACGGCCGAGGGTTGACTGGTTGGAACTGCAGCGATAGAGGTTAGCAATGCTTCTCTTGGGAGAGGCCGGACACCCTGGTTGGGAGTCTGGTGGCTCGGATGGAGAGCCAGGGGGAAGGCGTACACTCATTGTGAATGTGTGATGTGCGGCGATCCGGAGACAGGGAAGATCACCAGGAAGATATGAAGAGAAGGACGGGGCGATGAGCTCTCTCTCTCTCTCGTTTCTCTCCGGGTGTTGAGGATCGCGGAGTTGATCAAGCGCGAAAATGTGAGCTGGTCCGTCGCGGCCAATCAGGGAGGGAGGACCATCACCGCCTTAACCATACTGCCATATCGATTATGTAATGTACTATAGCCGGGATATTTTGCTATAACTCAAATAGATTCTGGTCTCGTATCTTTTCTTCTCGTCAATTTAACTCGAAATACAGTAGGAACAACTTGACAAAGATATGGATATCCAAATCCTACATTCCCATCTCAGCGACCTTTCCAGCACCAACCGCTGGGTCATCGGCGCGGCCATCTTCCAAGACCCTTGAGTCCGAGCAGCGCACAATCCTCCTCCTCAAGCGCGCCAGCCATGAAGAGACACACCCGACTATTGGGAAATACCCGGTGGCAAAGTCGAAGATATAGAGGAGACAATTGCCCATGCAGTCAGGCGAGAAGTCTTGGAAGAAACCTCGCTCGAGGTAGCTGCCATCATTGGCGAAGTAGACTCGATGGGTTGGGAGTAGAGGACTGGGAAGAATGTGCAGCTTAATTATGTTGTTACTGTTCAATCTAGTGGGATTGTTAAAACAGATCCTGCCGAGCACTCTGACTGGCGGTGGGTGAGGCTAGAAGAGGTTGAGTCGCTTTATATTACGCCGGCGATGGAGAAGGTTGTTCGGGATGCGTTTGCATTTGCTGCCAGCTGTGTTTAGCTCAAGGTCAACTTTTGGTACTGATGGTGATTGATGACAGTATATCAATCAAAGAATAGCCAGATGGTTAAGAATTCAATCCATTGGTGGCTCAGATATGCTCCATGCAAGACAAAAGAAAGGATATCAGTCAAAGCAGAGCCCAGAACATACCCCCCATAGCGCCCATTCCCCTCCTGCATCCCTCACAAGGAAAATGTTGAAAAGGAAGTATTCACGCCCGGCCAACATCCCACTTCAGCTCCTTGATGCTCACCTCCTCACCGGCCTTCTCGTCATAGTCATACCACTCCTCCTCCATCAGATCGATGGCACTGAACGAAGTCCCGGACTCAACGCCCTTGGCCTCCCACTCGCCCTATAGATATCATTCGTTAGTGTCCCGATCAGGTACCAAGAGTGGACGAGGAAGAGACAACTCACATCGGGCTTGAACTCGGTGAATTCCAGGCCGCGGCAATCCATGTCGATGATCTTTTGGCCCTTTCGCTTGTCCTGCTTCATTTCGACGGAGTGGGGACCGGAGATGACGGATGCGGAGTGGGTTTTCTAGAGAGAAACGTTAGTCTAAGAGTATTCTCAAAGGGGCAAAACAGAAAATAAAGCAAGTAGGGTATAAAGTGTGTGTGTCCGGAGGGAACCGAGAAAGGGTTGCACCACATACCCCGCAAAGACGGCACTTCCACACAAAGTTGGCTTCGCCGCGACTTCCAGGAATTTCATGCTGCTCCTATCAAGCCCACTCGCATCAGTAAGTGAGCAGACTTGTAGAACAGACACATACAAAGCGGTTGAAGCTAACCCAGTTCGGGTGCTCTTCGTGGCAGCCGGTGCATTTGACGCGGAAGCTGTAGAAGTACGGGTTGTCCTCGGTGTCTGTGGGCTTGAGGGCAGTGACGCTGAAAGGATCGAGAGTGAGCCGATCCGGTCTTCAAATAGGAGCTGTGTGGTGCAGCTGTCTTGCCAGTGCAAGAAAGCTTACATGATCGGTGCGGGGGAGGAGATGGTCATTGAGCACTAGGGGAGAGAAACACGTACCCTTGCAGGTCAGCAGAGAGAATCAGTGAAAGCATTTTGTACGCTGAGCAAAGCGAATTGGTGGTGTTTCCGGTGTGCTTGACGCGAAAGTGAAAAGAAGAAGATTCTCTGTTGCGGTGCGGGGAATGAAAGAGACGGCCCATGTGACCCCGTATCGATAAGAATGTACACACCAACTAACTATAGCTTCTAAATCTGCGGGACTACATTCCAAAGTTTTCTTCAAGCTCCATCGAACGATCACTTGCTAAGGCGATGTCATGGTCGTCCTCGCTTAGCCGAATCAACCCAAGGTCGACCAGCTCAGTTCGTCTGACACAAAGGTCCATACAGCGTTCCACCCTTCACCTCTTCCCAGCCCTCGCTTCCGACGCAGCACCAGCACCAGAACACCTCATCCGGATCATACTTCTTCTTGATCGAGCTGAGCCACTGGTATTTACTTCCGAACCAATCCTGCTTCCAGTCAGGATCAGCTCTGTCGGCTTCGTTGAGATAGGTTCCCATGCCGGGGGTCAGCTCCTTCATCGCCTTCGACTTCTGGGCGGTAGCCTGCTGCACAATCTGTCGGATTCCCTGTAAGCCGGCATTGTCCGGAAAGAGGTCTACCTGCTCCGCAAGCAGGTAGGTTTTCCGCCACGCGGGATTCACAGAGGTATACGGCGCGGTTTGTAGGACCTGGCCACCACCGACAAGACATAGCTCGAACGCGGATGTGGTAGCGTGGACGCCTGGACCGGCTTCAGAGAAGAGGGTTGCCATCATGTTCTCCAAGTTCTCCTGTTTGAACAGCAGAGATTCCTTATCGAAGAACCGCGATGTCATGATAGCACTGCTTGCGGCGGCTGCCTGGTGGCTGCCGCTGCCCAGGAAGAACGCATCAAACGAGGGGAAGGTCTTGAATGCAGATTTGACGAGGAACTGGGTCCCATTGAACTGGATTAGATTGTCTACGATCTGCTGGTTCATGACGTGTTTGGCCCAGTCCTTGTTGGAGGACGATGTGTTGCTCTCAAGCAGCTTTCCAAAAGTATGCGTGAATAGCGACCCTGTGGGCGCACGGGTCAGGTCCGCGTAGCCTGCGAATCCTTCATCCGAGAGAATTGGATATCTCGACATCATAGCTGCAGTGGCGTTCAGCAGGCCAGACAGAGTGCCCTTCCCGGGGATAACCTCGATGCTCAGCTCGTGCATCAGGACCGGGTGAGTGCGGTGGGCTTTGATCGTAGCCGATACCACAACACCATATGTACCGCCGCCTCCTCCACGGAGCGCAGTAAACAGGTCGGTGTGCTGGCATTGGTTGGCTGTCACGATTTCACCCGATGCGAGCACAACCTTGTATTCGAGGACTTGGTCAGTGGCAAGTCCGAAGAAGTGGGTTGCGAAGCCGTGACCGCCACCCTGGAGGTACCCTCCAATGGAACCAACGGTCTAGAAGTCGTTAATTCTGTTGTCATTGAGATGGAAAGGGAGACGCACGCGGTCATCACCACCAACAGCGATCCGACCACGCTTGGCTGCTTCGGCGTAAACCTCGTCCCATATATACCCGCCGCCAACTGTGAGGGCACTTCCAGTCCAATTAGACTGGCATCCAGTCGATGGCGCATAGTTCTCTTGGTACTCAATTCCATCCCGGATATACTTGATCCAGACCGATAAACTACCATAACCTTGCGATCTGCCAGTCCTCATTAGCAAGCTGTGATTTGTTCTCCAAAAGGAACAAACAACTTCCTACCTTCCCACAATATCATGACCGGTGTTCTTGATCACCAGCCGGACATTGTTCTCTTTGGCAAACTTGATTCCAGCAGCGACATCATCTGCCTTTGTTGCGTTGATGGTGTAAACGGGCGAATTGCCCAGATCGCAAATTGGATAGGCTGCCACCGAGGCGTTGATGGGAGGGCAGGTCTCAAGCAGTGGATAGGTGTATCCGATTGGAGATGCCTCCTGGAACGGAGACGATGCCCATTCACTGCTTATGTGCTGGCAGCGCTGCGCATCGTAGCCCGCGCCGGGGTAGCATGATTGGGCGATAGGCTGATTAGCGATGAGTTGTCCATCAACGGTGGCGTTGAGGGCATTCCACTTCGAGTTTGAGGGCCAGCAGTCGTCAGCTGGGGTCTGTCGAGTTTAGTCGAATTAGTTCGGGTGCAATTGAATATTTGGAATAGACGTACGCATTTGCACTTGGCAAAAACCGATTGTGCTCCAGCAAGGAGCAGGAGGCTTGTAAAGAGCATCTTTGCTGAGCTTGCTAAGCTTGCCGAGATGCAGTGGTGAAACGAAGTTCAAGTGGAATGGATGCATATCTCCTCATGGCCCTCTATAGCCCCTAAGTATTCCCTGGGCCCCTGCAGACTCTTTCCGCCCCATTCAAGGTATGCCGTAGGCACTTATTCCTATTGAGGGAGTTAAGATTGGCAATCCATTGAAGGGTTTCCTGGAGGATCCAGGAACCAACAGCTTGTTGAATGTTTTCGAGACCGTGAATTCGACTTTCTGTAAATAGTTTCTAGCAGAATGGAAGTATAGACAACTTCCGAGATCTCAAACCGTGATAATTAAGCCATCCCCCATTGAACATCCGATGAGATAGGGGATAGGCATAACAAAAAGCCAACACCAACATCCAAAAATAGATCAATGTCGATCGCCATTAAAGCTCAAAATTTCTTGGAACATTACAACTGCACTTGTCTATGCTCCTACGATGATTTGGGAAATGTTCATCGAAATCTATTTCATTTGCCTTCATGACTAGAATAACGCCAAATCATGCACAACCGGAAAAGAAAAGCAAAGGGCTATGTACAAGGTATATAATAACACACAAATCAACAGGTCATCAATCAAAGCCGGCTTTGCTGCGAGTCCTGGCCCAGGGACTTGGCCGAGAACGAGTTGAAGTAGTCGTTCAGCGCGTCAACGGTGCCACTGCCCTCCACCAGCTGCACGGTGCAGGCAACGTGGCTGTCAGGCCGGGTGACCACGACACAACCCTGGTCGGGGTTAAGGCCCAGCTTCTCGTGGGCGGAGAACTTGGCATGGGGAACGCGCACATCGGGGATGTCGTCCGCATAGATGTGGTGGTGGTAATCGCGCAGAATTTGGGGGATGAGCTCGACGTCGATGTCGTTCTTGGCGGCGGCGTAGATGACGGACAGGGTGAAGAGCTTGGAGTGCGGGTTGTGGCGCTCAAAGAATGAGACGTCGGCAATGTCGGACCGGCGGTACATCGACAGGAAGGAGCGCTCCTTCTCCAAATTCAGGGCCAGGTCTGCGATCGCCTTCTTGGTCTTGTCCTGTCGGCCGGCGAAAATGAAGATCCGGAACGCGCCGTTCGCGGGAACCTCCTGCTCCAGCTCGACGAAGTTGGCATCGGCTAGACGGGTTACGGTCGTTGGGGTGAACGCCCGGCCGGGGGTCAGGCGGGCACCGGGGACGTTGAACAGGGCCGACTTGGCCGGGTGGTTGGCATCCCAGTTGAAGATGTTGGGCTTGTAGGCAACGCCGTAGCCGCTAGTGAACTCGCAAGATGACTTGAAGGTCTTGACGAACTCGTCTTCCTCGCCACCCGCGGTGAGGGTGACATGGCTGGCAGAGCCAACCTCGCCGGCATTGGGGCGGCGCTTGGAAAACAGAGACGCGTACTTGGCATCGAAGTCCAGCAGCATCTCGGCAATATCCTTACGCTCGGTCTCGTATGTGCTCAGGATCGACTGCTTGGCGAGGCCAGACTCCACGGCGTGGATCTTCCAGGCCATGTTGAGGGCATCGTGGAATGCGGTGTTCATACCCTGACCAGCCTTGGGCTTTGGGGGTGTTAGCAAAGGAAGAATCACATTAATGGGGAGAGACTGACGCTGTGGGTGTGGCAGGCATCGCCTCCCATGAACACTCGCTGGTCCAGGCTGTACCGCTCCGCGATACCCTGGCCGATGGGGTACACCGAGTACCATTCGACACGGTCCCACTCAATCCAGTAGGGGCTGAGAATGTTCCTCGCCGTCTGCTGGACCTGCTCGGCAGTCGCCGTCTTGCGAGGGTTCCAGTCGGGGTCTGTAGACGAGGCAATTTGGACATAGAGACGGACCATGTTGTCCTCACGAGGGATGACCATGATCGAGCCAGCGTCAGAGTGGATGGTGCATTTTGTCTGCAGACACGTTAGACCACAATCAAGAATGGGTGGGTCTATTTCTTACCTCGATATCAGGGAAGTTGGTGCGGACAACGCCGTCCATGACCCCCCAGACGTAGGCGATGGGGTCCTTGTGGTGAATTTGGATGCCGAGCTGCTCACGGACAAAACTGCGGGCTCCCTCACCACTGAACAGGTACTTGGTGCGCATAACATCAATCACGTTGGTGTCGAGGCACTTGAGGCTCACCTCGACCGGGTACTCCGGGTCGCGGCCGTCGTTGTTGAAGCCGACAATGGTCCACGGGCGCTCGACATGAGTACCGGCCTTCTCGATCTCGTCCAGGAAGACCCGCTCGATCTTACCCTGGTGGACCAGGGTGGTGAACGGGTAGCGGGTGTCGATGAAGCGCGGGCAGCTGGGCCAGCTTCCTGTGCGGTGGATGCCGCTGCCGTCGCCCTTGGGGTCCCAAAAGGCAACGTCGTACACCTTGGCCGGCTCGTAGGCCATGATGGGCCGCTTCAGGCCCAGGTTGCGCAGGATCTCGGTCGAGCGCGGCTGGATGCCATCGGCGCGGCCGGTGGCGGTCGGCACGGGGCGGTTGTCGATGTGCTTGACCTTGTAGCCCCAGCGCGACATGCACAGAGACAAGAGCAGACCGACGGGGCCGGCGCCCACGATGACAATGTCATACTTTTCTTGAGAGTGCACCATGCTGACGGGGATGTAAGATTGATCGACAGTAAAGGATCAGGAAGGTTACAGGGAATAGATAAGGTATCACCCGCACAGTTGCATCAAACCAGAGAAAAGAGGGAGCATGACTGGGGGGCCATGAGGGCAGATATATAAGTTGCGGCGTCAAGCTGGGGTATCTAGCGACGGCGAACAGTCACGGCAGCTGTAGTCGGGAGCATCGTGGGGAGCACCGACGGGGCAGGCCAATCAGTGGCGGCTGGGATGATCACACATAAGCAGTGTGTGGGGAGAATCCAGCCCGGGCACAAATAGTGGACTCGCGAAGAATGCCGGCGTGGAACCCGAACGTGCTGGTGGGCTGGACGGATAACAGTTCGGCAAGTGGAGTGCCACTCACGTGATCCACCTGGTCGGAATTATTCTTCGATCATTGGTGCTCGATTATTTACCGAATCCGAGCTGGGAGTGTGGCAAGGTAGTTGGCACACGGGAAACCCGGGGTTAGATGCCTGGTCGCACACCCTAGGACTATTTGGCCGAGGCCTCGGACCGGGGGTATGGCAAACCCATCGGTTGGGGGAGGTCTTATTGATTGGATCTACAGCAGTAGCTCTGTGAGACATGCAGGAACAATCACCAAACGTAGAGTGGCAGATTATTGGTGGCCGCGATCCAATCCCGTACGACCCGGCTGCCGGAGTTAGTAGGGCCTGGCGAGCAACATCATGCATCTGGGTGTTTGGCTCATCTTCAATCGCCATGATTGTTCCTATTGACCTGAATACTGTCATTGTGGCCCAGGACCATCGCCTCCCACCCTCTTCCCACCACGTCCCAATACCCCATTCAGATCAATATAGAGCACCTCTATTGTCACGACTCAGTGAATACCATGCTTTCTATATATGCCATGAGCGGATCAAGCTTCCCGCGCCATCTTCATCCCCTCTATGATCTAGGATAGTGCTTGTTCTGATTCATCCTGCACGTCCATCCTCATGGAACCGAGTTACGAGGAAGAACACTCCAACCCCTTCGAGCTCGAGCGGCCCGACTACCTGCACAGCCCAGCCAAGGCCAAGCCTGTCCAGTCCCTGCTGGTCTCGCCGGACTTCCACCGGATGAGCGAAAATGCCCAGCGGATTTATCTCATGATGGGTGGAGAGTAAGATCCATCACTCCTATCTAGAGGACATTGACGCTGACATCAGACAAGTATCTGCCGAGTGTGTTACAAGGGCAATCCCTATCTGAACTCGGATGGCAGCCCCAGCCTGTCCTCCTCCGGTTCCTCGGGCAATATGACTTCCAGTGACTCCCGTTCGAGTGGTGAACGAAGCCGCTCTGTCGAGTGCTGGCACTTCCCGATGGACGGTGTCCACGAGGAACTCCTCCCACAGAAGTTGAGCATTCCGATCAAGAAGGGGCATCAGCGTCACCCGGCTCTTGAGAATGAAGTCTGTAACCCGGTCCGCAGCCGTGTTGCTTCGTTAGACTTCAGTCATTCTTTCCGCAAGCAGGCTTCTCCTAGCCTTGTTCTGGAGACTATCAACGAGGTTGGTGCGGCGGACAAGGTGGACAAGATTACAGGCGTGCTGCGCGTTCCCGAGACTACTCACAAGAAACTGTTCGGTGAGAAGGGCTGGCTGGAAGACACCGGAAAGCCAAAGGGACTGCGTTCCATGAAGAGCACTTCCAAACGGCTGAAGAGTCTGGGAAACAAGATCAAGCAGCAGATCGGCGAACTGGTCAGTTTGTTCTTCTACGGTTTGGGACTCACTGCTCATACTTCTCTCTAGGCGGACGATGTCTCGCGCAACCACCCGGGATCTTTCAACAGCATCTCCACGCCCGACAAGACCATCATCCGAAAGACCACTGTCCCCATCTCTCTCGACCTCGGCACCCAGGCCAAGCTGTACTCCGAGCTCGAGTACATGATCTGCGCGACGGCCAACGCCTTCCTCCTCGAGCAGTACTACGACAGTCGCATCTCCAAGGAATCCATCAAACGCATCCAGAGCTTCTGGGGCTCGAAGAATCGTCCCCAGGTGACGGAATTCCACTTCGACCAGACCACCCAGCGCGAGTTCATCCTGTACAACATCCGCACCCTTCGGTTCTACGGTGAGTGTGCTGTCAACCCCGTCCTGCTGCATTCGAATCTGCGCAACTGGAAGGCGATTGCCACGGAGATGAGTGTCCGGACTTTTTGCTTGCCGGACAGTGCCATTCGGAAGCACCTGCATGATATCCAGAAGCTGCTTGAGATGCTGAATGCGCCCGTGCCGACTCTGCAGGCGTTTCATCAGATTCAGCTGTTTGCTCATGAGGAGATCATTCAGCGACTGAAGAAGGCTCCTCCCCGGAATGCGGTCAGTTTTTCGCTGTGATTGATGGTTTTTGACCTCTCGTAGCTTCAATGGTGCTTTGGTGTCTTTATTTTATTTTATTTTGGGAGGCTATTTCTTCGATGTGTTCCTCCCAAATAGTGCAATGTATTCAAAAGTGATTTGACAAGATCAAGTCTTTGTGCATACCTCCGGTCCGTCTTTGTACGCCCTGTCGGGCGACGTCATCGGGTGACGGGATCACGGGGAGCCACAATAGTTAATCCCGCTGGCTCGTTTCTTCTTTCCTTGCTTCCCCTTTCAATCATTAGTTACATTCCATATCAAATCATTCCCCTCACACTCGGCCAGCTCTGCCATCTGATGCACCCATCCACCCTGACGCTGCCGAATTGTTGGCTGCCTGGGCCCAATCAGTGACCGTGGCTCCACCGCAATGCCAGGCTCCACCAGTCCCGTCTAGATCACCAACAACAACAACAGCAACATCGAGATACACACGTCCAAAAATAAAAGAGCTTAAGAACCATCGTCTTCTCCATGGCGGGTCCGATCCACACCTACGGCCCGACATGCTTGCTGGCAGACGAGGAGGACGAGCTCTCCCTGCTGCATTCCCTGCCAGCACCGCCAGACGTACGCGCGCACTTCTTCTATGTATCATCGCTTCCGATCGATGATCCGCTGGCTCCCTTGCCCTCGGCAGCGGGCCAAGCGACAGGCAATGAGCGCGCGCCGCCTCAGCCCTTCGCGGCTAGGGATAACATTGCCCTCGAGGCGGCTTGGCAAGAGCTTCGCCTGGCGAGAGCTGCTGGCACGCAGAACTCTCGGCCCCAGACCGCAAAGGATGCGCGCACGGGTATTACTGTGCCTGGGAGAGAGCACTTTCTGGACTCCGGTTTGATGAGGAGTCGAGGGAATTCCGTGAACACGCCAACGTCCTTCCCAGAGGGCCAATCTCTGAGAAGTCAGCTCGAGCGCGATACGAGCAATCCAAAAACTCGTGCGGGCGATGACTCGCGAGAACTCAACCTGGGCAGTTTCACTGCTCAGCACAAACGGGACCGATCCTCATCCATGAAGGACTCCACCCCAGCCAAAAGGAGAAACAGCTCCACGCCAGAGATGGACGAGACCGACGATGTAGAAGAGCGTGGACCAGGCATTCACGCCACACATTCTCGGGATGCCAGTATCAGCGGCTCGCCGTTCGCAAGGGCACCCATTTCCCAGCGGAGCCACAGTCCTCTCGGTCGGTCGATTGAATCGCTCTCATTACGGGACGGGGGCCATGGAGAAATCCCCAGAAGCGGTGCCGCTCATCAGCTCGCTTCAAAGCCCTCGGGGCTGAGAGCAAGCCTTGGTCCAGAGGAAATGGCTCAAAGTTCGTCGAGAGATGGAACTGAGTCGACAAGTCCTCAATCGATGATTCCAGTGGGCGTCTCTCGGCTTCACTTGGTCGAACTTCCAAACTTGAAGGTATGTTGATGTTATGTCCATGTGCCTTTCTCCCCCTAACGATTTAACAGATGAAACCCATTTACTGGAGTCCCCTTCACGACATCTCAAACGTGATTCGCGCTACATGGTTCTACAAGAACACCATGTTGCCCGTGGAGACCGAGCTGGCGAACAGGCTCGAAGAAGGATACAACTACTTGAAGCCTTGGACTGAAACATGGCAGGACGAGCTGAACAGCTGCATGGAGAATGGTGCTGATGCAGAGATGAAAATTGTACACCGGTTGTTCTCGAAAGACGATTCCGTTAGTCGGCCTGAAACCGCCCAAGATCAACAAAGCATTGAATCTGAGGAAGCTGTCCATCATATGACATTCGAAAATAACCAAGCAGCCGGGGGAACAGCTGCGCACTCGGCAGCAATCAAACCCTATGTGAACTCCAGTGCGATCTATGTGGATGCAAAGAATGCCCAAATCTTGAGGCCCAGTCTACTTCCGTCCGCCTCAAGGGGGCGGCGCCCGCTCAACGCGATCCGGAAAGGTCGACAAATCGGCGTCCCCGTGGTTCGCGGCTTCAGTCGCAAACTATGGGACAAGCTGCATCCATCCAAGCCCAATCCCATCGATGTGAGGCACTACATTCGACGCACGCAATCACGCGACTCGGCTGTAGCTCCGGGCCAACAAATCTGCTACGGTTGCCGAATGGAGGAGCTGCGACCCCAACCGACAGATCTCGTCCTCGTCATTCATGGCATCGGGCAAAAGCTCTCCGAGCGAATGGAAAGCTATCACTTCACACACGCGATTAACGCTTTCCGTCGCGAGGTCAACATGGAACTGAACAACGAGCCAGTCTGGCCTCATGTCCGCCAAGATCACGGAGGGATCATGGTCCTCCCCGTGAACTGGCGGTCCACGCTCTCCTTGGAAGAAGCCAATATCGACTCTCCTACTTCGGAGGACCTGTCATCTAATCGATTCTCCCTCGCGGACATTACGCCCCAAACCCTCCCCGCTGTGCGGTCTCTCATCAGCGACGTGATGCTTGATATCCCTTACTATCTCTCACACCACAAACCGAAGATGATAAAGGCAGTCATTCGAGAAGCAAATCGCGTGTATCGTCTCTGGTGCAAGAATAACCCCAATTTTCGGGAACATGGCCGCGTGCATCTTGTGGCTCACTCCCTGGGGAGTGTCATGGCACTCGACATTCTGAGCCACCAGCCGACACACGTACCTCAGTTCGACTTTTCCACGACATCATTACATAACGATATCTTCGAGTTTGATACAAGACATCTCTTCCTTTGTGGAAGCCCTGTCGGGTTTTTTCTTCTGCTGAATAAAGGTACGGCACACAACCTGCATTTGCCGAGATATCTTTCTAACTTGTCCTCCAGCGAGTCTGCTCCCACGAAAAGGCCGAGAAAAACCAGGCAGCGAAGGCGAGGATCGTCTGCGCGGCGTGGCGGGCGATGCTGACAAGTATGGCTGTCTGGCTGTGGATAATCTCTACAACATCATGCACACAACGGACCGTACGCCCGCCCTTCTCAGTCTATAGGTACATACATGTACTAACACCCCGCTCCTATCTTAGCAATCGCCTACTGCCTAAACGCAGCCGTAGACACCGATCTCTCGAACAGTCTCAAAACAGCCTCGATCCCCAGCGCAACTTCCACATTCTGGCAATCCCTCAGCAGCGTCTTCCGATGGAGTCCCAGTTCATCCTCGGCATTCATGCCCTCCCTCCCAAACACCACCACCGCCGCAGGAATAACCCGCCCGGCAGCAGTCTCCAAACTCCCCTCAAACGTCGAGCTCGAAACGCACGACTTCACCCGCGAAGAAATTGCCGAGAAGCGCATGCTTCTGCTAAACGATAACGGCCAAATTGACTTCTACCTCTCGGGCGGCGGCGGGGCACTCAATATTCAGTATCTGAATATGTTGAGCGCGCATAGTAGTTACTGGACGCTGGCGGACTTTGTGCGGTTTTTTGTCGTTGAGATTGCGAGGAAGCCCGGGAGGGAAGGGACGTTGAGGGCTTTCCGGGCGGAGAAGAAGGTGGGCTGGAAGTATTCTAAGGGATAGCGGGGGATGATATGATGTGTTTTCTAGAGCCTCCGGTTTTGGTTGCTTTTGATAGAGGGTTTTTTTTTTTCTCTCGGATAAAGAATAAAGATGATAGAGTACTGTACAATGCATGGATATGGTTGGAGAATAGGAGATTTATATTGGTCCCTATCTAAGAAGTCTAGCAGTTTTAACTTGCCTCTATAACCCATCTAGTCATTCCAGGGGCGATCACAGTCTGTGGATCAAGTAGCCAAGCCAACCCAAGACAAAAGAAAGAAAAGAAACAAAACAAAACCCGAAGAGACAGAAGACAAGACAGTGGGATCCAGTCCCGAGAGTATCAGTGTATATCATCGCTTGAAGCCGAAATCATAACCCATAAAAACATAACCCAAAACCAGAGAGAAAGCACGTAACAAATAAAATAAGAGATCCAAGGCTTAGGCCTTAACCCTCACCTCACCAGCATGAACAGGCCCCATAAGGAGCGCCTCAATGATCTCCCCCTTAATAGCAACGCCGCGTCCAGCACGCAGAACCACCAGCGCATTTGCACTGGCGAGACTACCAACCCGCGAGCTGCGCTGTCCGACACCCTTAACACCCGTGCTGGTGGCATACAGCCTTCCATCGCAACGGGAAGCTGTCACCACGGCACGGTGGTACTCCGTGCGCTTGGGATCGAGAGGGAAGTGGTGGGTCAGCACGACGGCGACGAGGGGTAGGCCGAGAGACTGCGGGATGGTGGACTTGGACAATTTCATAGATTTGGTTTCGTTCGCGTCCACACCCACACCCATGCCCATGAGCTTGTGCAGGGAGGGCAGCACAAAGAGGTTGAGGGTTACCAGCGCGGAGGCTGGGTTGCCGGGGAGGGAGAAGATGAGTTTCGACTGGCGTTCTTGCTGGGAGGAGACGGAGCCCGATTCGTCCGTGGCTGCTTTGAAAGGCACGGTTGCGAAGGTGGTTGGTTTGCCTGGTTTCATGGATACGCGGCCGAAGTGGATGGTTCCGCCGAGGGTGCGTTCGATCGTTGGCTTGAGGAGATCCAGCTCGCCCATCGAGACGCCGCCGGTCGTGACGATGATGTCGACGCTGTCGGAGGCACGCCCGACTCCCCGCAGGGCATCGCGGAGGGCGTGTTCCAGCTCGCTGGCTGGGGTGTCGCGCGCGATGCCTAGGTCGACTGTCGGGAAGCCCCAGGAGGCCAGGCAGGAGAGCAGGGATGGACGGTTGGAGTCGCGGATCTGTCCACCGGTCAAAGTTCGGGAGTCGGTGTGTTCGACGAGCTCGTCGCCCGTGCTGAGAACGCCGACGCGGGGCTTGCGGAAGACCTTGATGGATCTGGTGCCTGTCGCAGCCAGCAGGCCAATCTCTCCGCCGACGGGGGTGATCAGGTCTCCGCGCGAGAGGATCTTGCTGCCCAGGGACACGTCGCTGCCGGGTTCACGGATATTTTCACCGGGCTTGATGTCTTCCGCGAGGATCTCCACGGTGGCTTCTTCATTGCCGTCGGGAGTGGTCGAAGCCAAGTCGGTGTCCTCGACCATAACGACGGCGTTGGCATTCAGAGGCAGAGGAGCACCCGTGGTGATTCTAGCGATCGTGCCTGGCTGCAGCGGCTGCAGGTCTCCGCTCTCATTTGCATGAGTGATCGAGGCCACGGGGAACACTCCCTTAGTATTGCCGCCCGACGCGGGTGCAATGATGGCGTATCCGTCGACAATGCTGGCACGATACGCAGGGACCTGCTCTGCGGCATAGACATCTTCCGCGACCACCGCGCCCACCAAGGTGGTGTCCACGGGGGCTTCAACGACCACTGGTTCTGGTGTCTGCTGGGTGATCTTCTCGAGCGCCTCATCCACCGAAAGCATCGGGTACGGCGAGCTGCGGTACCGCCGGGTGGGACCAGCCCCCGGGTCATTTGATTGCGGGTGTTTCGCGGGCGACGTGTGCGCCTTGGGGACAACATGTCCATGGTTATGGCCGTGGCCATGGTTGTGATGGTGATGGTGGTGGTGGTCGTGGGAGTGGCTCTTCGTGCTCGGTGCGGTAGCTGCCGCAGCCCTCACACCAGCCTCGGCCTCTAGCTTCTTCATGCCGCCGGCATGTAGGAGCCGCGAATTGGCGCCTGCGGCTTGGACACAGGCGTGCGGCAGAAGCTTGACCACCGCCTCGAGATTCTCCTTGGCACCCTTGGGGGAGCCGGGCAAGGTGATTATCAGGGACTTGTCACGGACACCGGCGACGGGTCGCGACATCATGGCAACTGCGCATGGGTTGGTCAGTGACATGGCGGGGGGTCCACACGGCGTGTCTGACTTACAAGGAGTGACCTTGAGCGAGGCATCCAGCATGCCATGACTATAAATACGTTAGTTCCGTTCGACCAAGCAAACAATAATGCCGTGGACACATACACCAGACCAGGCGCCGGACGGTGGATCAGCGGTGATACGGCCTGGAGTTGGTCAGCGTGTGGCACAAAACAAACACAGCACTCCATGTCGTTACTCACCTCGGGCGTGTTATCTTTAACCGCGAAGCCCGTGCCACCGGTGAGCAGGACCAGGTTGACCCAATTCGAGCCATCGGTCCAGTCGCAGACGGCGCGCTGGATGTCGAGGACGTCGTCGCGGACGATCTTGACGGTGGGAGCCTCCCACTTGCCCTCGGCGGCCAGGATCGGAGCCAGGGCATCGACGGTCTTGTCGGAGGCCGGGTTGAGAGCGGCCGTGTCGGAGACGACCAGAATCGCAGGTTTGAGTCGAGCATCCATGATCATGGGTTGTGGAAAGAGACAAAACAGAAATGCGCGATTTTCCGGGGACGTCAATTTCCCGGGAGGCTCTGGGTGCTTATATACATTTTGGTTCAGTTACCCCTGCCCGCCCTGCGACGTCATTGTGCCAAACGGGTTGCAGTGGCTGGACTAGCCCCGTGCATCGGCTAGCCTCGATCAGACTTGGACATGCCTTTTCTCCTCCCCCGGACCCAGTTGCTGGTGGAGCAACGCGGGGATTCTCGGCCACGTTGGGCCATACAGGAAGCAAAACCACGGTTGCAATACGGTTGGCCCTAACCTAGTTACTACTGTACATCTAGCCAATCATCACAATTCCGGCCGGCTCTACATTCCAGACGCCGCAATGCCAATACATATGAAGAAAAAGTCATGAACACGAAGGTGCCAACGAAACCAACCCCGATCCCTTCCTCCGACAGAACCACATCACTGCCCTCATTTCAGCCAGCTATTTAAGCTGCACCGAAGTCCTGCGCCTTGGTGGCCACCAATAGGCCAACAATCAGACCGAACAGCCCGAGCACAGAACTAAAGATCTCAATGACAAGGATTTTGACGAACCTGTGGCGAGGGAAAATGTCAGTCCAGCGCAAGAGGGCCACAGAAGCAAAAGCAAAAGACCTACATGCTCGGATCGGCCGCATCAGCCAACGCAGCACCGCTGCCATTGATGCCGACGGAGATACCGCAGATCAGATTGCACACGCCGACGGTGATGCCGCCCCAGAAGAGCGCGTAGCCGGTATAATAGTTGCTGCTGGTGTGGAGGGCCTCATCTGCCACGACGTTGAGTTTCGCGGAGAACACGATCGCCATGATCACGCCGTAGATGGCCACAACTTCGCAGAAGATAATCGAGATCAGGTTCTTGGTGCGGATGCGCGGTGCCTTGACGCCGCCGCCGACGATGGACGATCCGGTGAGGAAGATACCCCTAGAGTAAGGTAGGATGGTCAGAAATGAACGGAGGACTGAGGGTGAAAATGGGTTCGCACCACGCAGCTCCGGCCACAGAGCACCCGACACACATGCCAATGCCGATGTTGGCCCAGGCGTAGGGGGAAACCTCCTCGAGGAAGCGGCCGACCTAGTATTGTCAGTACTGTGCGTTGTCGCTCGCTTCGTGGTGGGGCATACATTAAATGCTTCACCCTCCCCGTGGAAGAGCATGTCTAGAGTCCGGCATGGCCATTAGCTGTCACGAACGAACACGAACACGCGTTGGTCGGAAGAGGGGATCCCAACGTACACAGGCCAACCACGACCAAGGCCATGGTGGCGCCACCAACCGGGTAAGCGAGAACCATGGCGACCTCGAGGAATGGCGGAAGATCAAGGAGTGGGAGCGTAGATGATCCAATCCAGAGTGTTGGGAGCAGGGAAAGGTCCAGGTGGTGGCTTCCCGTGGCCGGACCGGATTAACCAACCTGCCCGGGCGGTGGCCCTTCTTTCCCCAGACTCAAAAAGGCCAACAACTCTCACCACTCCGTTGTTGCCTTGTCTGCTCCGAGCCTGCTTGTTCCCTTCTTTTTTTATCCTCGGACTCCGTCCTGATTGTCTCTACTCATTTCCTCCCGCCATGGCCTCCTCGGGCACCGGGTCGTACTCGAACCCGCTGAAGAAGTTCAAGTACGTGGTCCCATCTCTCGGAGGGGGCTGAATTAGAAACTGAATATTGATCGTTCTAGGTTGGTGTTTCTGGGCGAACAGAGCGGTAGGTACAATGGGATTCGAGAATTGGACACCCCTGACCTCCCCTTGCAGTTGGCAAAACCTCGTTGATTACACGATTCATGTACGACTCGTTCGACAACACATACCAGGCCACCATTGGCATCGACTTTTTGTCCAAGGTGATTCGTGAACCTCGAATTCTGCAATCAGGACTGACGATGGCAGACCATGTACCTGGAAGACCGGACCGTCCGCCTCCAACTCTGGGATACCGCCGGCCAGGAACGCTTCCGCTCGCTGATCCCCTCGTACATCCGCGACTCGAGCGTCGCCGTCGTCGTGTACGACATCTCCAACGCCAAGTCGTTTCAAAACACCCGGAAATGGATCGATGATGTGCGCGGGGAGCGTGGCAATGATGTGATCATCGTGCTGGTAGGCAACAAGACCGATCTGAACGATAAGCGGGAGGTCACCACGGCACAGGGCGAGGAGGAGGCTAAGAAGAACGGTCTGATGTTCATCGAAACTAGCGCCAAGGTTGGACACAACGTTAAGCAATTGTTCCGGAGGATAGCTCAGGCTCTGCCTGGAATGGAGGGCGAGGCGAACCGGGGCGAAAGCACAAGTAGGCCAACCCGAACCGATATTCTATTCTCACATGCTGACTCTTTTTTTTTTTTTTACTGCAGTGATCGATGTGAACATCAACCCCAAGGAGACGACCAACAACGACGGATGCGCCTGCTAAGCATTTTCTTATAAGCCGCTCGTCCATGAGATCCCACCGTTTCTTAAGATGTACATGCTTTCTCTTCAATTTTTCCTTTTTCTCCGACGAACAGCGTGTGTCTAGATCTTTCAATACTCAATTGCGTTTGATTCCTTGAGAGGATGCTGGGCGTTCTTGATTCCTGTTCAATCCGCGTTATGTATATTTCTTTTCTTTCAGTTGACGCTCCTTCCTTGCTCGCGGTTCTGGCCCTGCTCGTCTCTCTCTGGGACATGAATAGCCGTTTTACATTCAACAGATGATGGATCTGCTAGTTGTGCATTCGGGATAGTATATGAGACGGGTGGACACTGGAAGACATGGGTGATAACGAATCCTGGAAGAAAAGCCTGTGGCTTTAATTGCCAACCCTGGACATCTTTTCCTCCTATACACACCAATTCTGGTTAGATAGCGGCTCAGCGGTGTGACCTGCCACGGTGGTAAGTCACGCTCACTCGCAGGGCCCTATAGACAAGTCGGTTGGTGTCTTTTTGCATGCCTGGGTTCAAACCACATTTTCATCGCGAGTACTCTGCAGTGTGAATTGAGCCCTTCCGAGCCCTCCGGTTTCAACACATGCTAAACATCATGCTGATTGATGATCTGATTAAGAAATTATTCATGAACTAGCCAGTTGGGCATGGATTGAACACGAGTGCAACAGAAGAGACCAGGAGACCCAATGCCGTATGATATCATTGGTGACGATCAAAGACAAACACTACATGAGATGTCGGTCTTTACTCCAAGCTCACTAATCTTTTTGCCCCGGTCAAAGAACCCTATAAACATCATAGAGGCTCACGGTAGAAGATCGTCAAAGTACGAGAAGACATAGCTCCAATTATTGGAACAATTGCAGCCTTGTCCCCGCGACTGACCTCATAGTCTAGACCGTCACATCAATTGAATGACGTCTGATCTCTACCGTTCCCACCTCTCCCCAACACGAAGTATCCGACATTGCGGGGTTGGTGGGTCACCCCGGAGAGAGACTCGCGATAGTGGAGGAGGGCCGGCATCAACATGCACCGATAATTACTAGTAAGGAAGATCGGTTGCAGTCCATTTAACGGGATATAGTACGCATGCAAGGCGTGCTCGGGCCTCGTATCTGCGACGCTATGACGCAGTCTCCCCACGGGGAAGGAAAGCGAGCCGTGCCAAGTTGTTGTTCGAGGCAGGTCTATCGAGCGGGGGTGCGAGGTGGTTTGGTACGCTAAAATCGGGGCGCCGAGGGATGAAATGCCGAGACTGAGACTACTACGATACTACAGGGTGTGAATTGAAAGCGAGAAAAACATCAGAGAGATTAAATTCGCTAGCAACTATACAGACATCACACACCCCTCGGATCCTCCTCTCCAAACACAGCAGTCCAGTACTTCTTCACATCCGGGCAAATCGTCGTCTGATTTTCCCAGCTTTTGAACTTATCTTCCAGCTCACATGCTGTCCACATAATCTCAGCCCAGAACTCCTTCTCGACGTCTCGCCCGAAGTCATTGACCACAAAATCTGGCATCGTCCATGCCCGCGTATAGCTCCCATCATCATTGAATGCTGGGTTGACGGATTGCTGCGAGAACACTGTTGCCGGGTTGAACTTGGGGAAGTTTGCATGAATGAAAAACGGACGGGGCTGCTTCGCTGAATTGTCCCCTGATACACGCCAGATTCCTTTCTGCGTCAACTTGTAGTCTTCGATGGGGCTGAATTGAACCATCGCGGACCCTGCTAGACCTCCCTCGGTGCGGTGGCCTATGGCACAGATGCGCTCGCTGACTTGGTAGAACGGTTCTCCTAGCGCTGTTGCTGCGGCTAGGAATGTTTCTTTGTCGCCTTCTCCAGCTGTTCCCTGGGAGAAGAGTCGATAGTAATGTGTCGGTCCCCAGTAGTTATAGTATGTGCTGAGCAGCAGGGTCTTGAAATGAGTTCTCTTTGAAATGAGAACCTCGCCGGACTCGGTTGATTGTCGCAGGTCCATTGCAGCAACCTCCTGTGAGGAGATGCGGTAGTATAAGGGCGAGACAGAAGAGGCCCAGAAATCAGGCCAGGTGAGCATTCCCTTTGACTGGAAGGGCTCGTGCTTGAATAACGACTCCGGTTTGGCGAGAGGGAATGCATCAGCGTCCAAGAAAAGGATATCCTCGAATGAAGAAAAGAGCATCGCGAATGGCTTGAATTGGAATTTCTCAATTGGCCTGGAGCCTGACGATGCGTCCAGGACGTCCGAGAGAATAACGCATTTCGCGTTCAATGAGGGTAACACCTTCTCACATATATGCTCCTCATATTCGTCGTGGTTTGCTAAAAAGACTTCAACGGGAAGTCTTGAGCCAGTACGACGCAACATCCGCAGCGAAATAACCAGAATTGGTAGGTATTGACCTCCAGCGGTGCATACCAGACCCCTCGATCCGGGAACATAAGACAAACTAGGCGGGTTTGCATTTATGGCATCCACAAAGTCAGAGTGTGCCTTCGTCATCCTCAAGACGTCATGAGCCGGCATCTCCAACATGTCCGGTCGAGGGTCAGGGTCCGAAGTCTTGTAGCGGGCTATCTCAGCATTGCCAATTCGTCGAGGCGGGCCGCACTTGGGTTCATGTTCTTCCAAGAGAGGCTGGAACTGGCGCCAAAACTCCGTATGTCCGCTCAGGTTATAAGTGGGTGCGTGATGCAGCGACCCAATCGAGAAGGCGTATGGTTCCACTCGCCACGACGACAGGTGCCAGAAAGTGAAAAGCAGAAGGGCCGACACCATCAAGATGCGGAATCGGCCTGTCACCTTGGTGAGATACATTATGGCTGAATATCGGCGACAAAGACGGCAGTGCATCAACAATCAACTCATCGGATGAACACAATAGTGTTCGAAGCGGTGATTTGTTACACCACCTTGGATTAGTGGTGATGGGCTGACGATGACATAGGATGATTGGGGTTTACGAAGGCTGCCGTAATCCACCTATATAGGAAGGGACACCCTGAAATCTACCCCGGGATTCATCTCCGGATTCAAACGTCCGCCTTCGTACCGGGGCACTGCTAATGCATACAGACAAAACACGCGACCATGACCTAATGGCAATAACAATACAGCTGGGTTGACCGAAAACAGTCACATAAATTACTTATTTCAGCTAATGGGGAAATTTTCCTCTGCAGATTTGACGTGCTGTTTCAGGTATCCCATGTGGCCGAAGGCGGAAGGTGAAGGTGATGGGTGGAATGCAGAGAACTTTAATACTAGCCCTCAGGTCAATCTGCATGCCTTGCACTTTATTATTTCTTCTGTTATGCAATTATATTGAATACCGGTCGCTTGGTTTGCCAACCTGCAATCGGTTTTTTGCAAGGCTGTAATAGTCTATCATGAAAATGTCCCTCAGCATCCACGAACACGTGTTATCCAGATAGGGTATGTCGCGCAGCATCCTTCTCGATACAATGGCCAACGGCGTGGGAGGTGGAGCCTCGGGCTATCGTACTCTTGCTAAATAGAACCTCGAGGACATCAATTTCGTCATCTCTAAGGACTGATGGGGCATGAACGGGAGGAACTTCCTCTGCCGCGCCGACTGGAGCGACTGGCTACTGAATCTGTGGATTGAACCGCCATGCATCGCTCAGAACGGGGTCTTTCCTGAGCATCATTCGTGGACGCGCTTGTGAAAGCACTACCCTATTGTGCGTAGCCATACAGCATGTCTGGACTAGTCGGCTAAGAATGCCTATCCATCATACAAATGTACTCGGGGATCACTGCGTCGAGATGCCTATGTCTGTGAGGAGGAACTTGGCAAGAGGCTAGCGGGAATTGAAAATGTGCAGAACGGTATTGAGTTACCAGATTGATTTTGATGTATTTCGAACCCGGGTGAGAGCATTGCTATTATTTGTGTCTTTAAATGCACAGAGAAAGAGAGAGAGAGAGAGAGAGATAGAAGGTGGAAAAGAAAAGGAATGCTTTCAGCCGTTGGAATGTTGTGCCCCACTCGTTGGAATGTATACTGAAAGTAGCTCTTAGGGCGGAAGCGATAGACACTACGAGACTAACTAAACCTGCAGTTTGAGAACCAATTTGTCAAGACAAGTAGGAATGACCGTGTAAAGTCGTGGCTACGTCCAGTTGACAGTGCCAGATGACCGAAAAAGCACGTATCCCGTGACAGCATCATCAAACGAACAAAAAAAGAAGATGAAGATAGTTAATGTAGGAGGCTCAGTTCCTAGAGCCAATCAGAGGGCGCAGCCGGCAACGGGACAAGATTATTCCGTACTTTCTCGGTGACGCCGAATTACTTCAAACAGTTTAGCGTTCCTGTTTGGGTTAAGCGTTCCTTTGCTGCTCAAGCTTCCTGTGCATATTCTATAATTCCCCCCATCGCCGCTTCAATTTCTTGATGTTTAATTATTCTGCAAATAGCAACTTGACTACTCAAAAATTATAATTGATAGGCGGTACACCTCACATAGGGAAGCTGTAAATGAAAGATACTTAGAAAGGGGTGGAGACTTTTGCGGTGCTACTGTATGTGTCGTTATAATATATAATATCGATTGCTCGTGGAATCATGTATGTAGAAGCACCTGTGGTGCTGACAAGATTCCCCGCCTGCTTTCCTCCTCGCTTGTCCCATCATCCTTGCCACATGCGGCCATACACCGGTCGGCTGCCAATTTACCCAATTTACCGTCAACGGTATCATATCTGGGTAGTCCTGCCGAGGTAGCCGATCTTGATCGGCCGCTTAAATAGTCAGGAACAGATACATAGTAAGCTTTGTTCCGCATGCTAAGCGGTTGTCATAGCTTGTTCCATCTTTGTGTCACAGCCACCACCCATTACGTATTCACTCTTGGCAACATCAATCATATCCTATTTATTTGAACAACATTCCTGGTTGCTGTAATTTCAGAATGTGCATGGAAGCACGATGTCTGAAGTTCTTCGTAATGGCTTCATCCCTGGGGTCCGACGATAATGCCTTCCAGGTTTTGATTAATGTATCAAACGATGATCCAGTAAGAATTCAAGTCCATGAAAAATGACAACTTCATTCTTACAAACGACGTTGTCATCTTTCTAATGCACGGCACAGGCTCATTTGCAATCACTCTATGAAAACCATCGCGTTGGCCGGAATGAACAACAACGCGCCAAAATCCTGGCAGAAAGCTTTCCCGGTTGGAGTCTAGACGAAATTCTCAAGCGGCTGGATGGCCCTGAAAAGGAAGACGGCTTTATGGATCCTCGGAACTGTCTTGTCATTTGGGCCAGACCCTCACCTCCGGTTCAGGACCTGATATCGTTTGTGCAGTGTGAGCTGAGGAACGTGGCTCCTTGTAAGAACATCAATTGCCCAAAAATTTCAAGGGTCATGCCATATTGGTGTAGAAGATAAGCTTATAGTCATGGCAGCACTATGGCTTATGCCCCTGGAGAATCTACACACAACAGTCTTGGAAGTAGCGCATTCCCTTACGGAGACTCAAATCGAGGACCTCGTTCAAACACTCCAATCTTCCCAAAATGTGACGGGCCCACAGATCGCTGAATATCCACTCACTCATCGTGCACGCCTCTTAAAGCCAATGGTGAGCTTTGATGCTTCTGCAATGGCACTCAGCTTCGTCCCAGCAGCTGGCGAGGGATTAGACGCTTATGATGACGGTGATAACTACACATATCACCATCTTCGTCGCGATATCTTCGACATGACTCGGCAGACCGGTCTTCCTGTTGTTTCGCGGTATATTGTTCCCTCGGCGCATCTGACTATTGCGCGGTTCATCACGCAAAATGGGTTTTCTGCGATGGGGACTAATGGAGTAGAGCAAGTTGACCGGTCGCAGGTGAATTTGCTGGTTAATAGAATTGATGTGATCAATCAGAAGCTTCAAAATGAGTACTGGCCGCAAAGCAATGGGAGTATCAAGGCGGGTGGAGAGTGGATCGTTGGAAAGGATAATGGGCTGGTGATTCGAAGGGGCCGGCTTTGGTATGGTGGTGGTGAGACTGTATCTTTTGACAGGAGTGTCTGATCCTCACACCTGTTGAGTTACTCAACTAGTCAAGGGACTGTAAATAATACTATATATACGTATGTATGTCTTCATTACCAAGACCCCTTACTGAATATACAGGCTACAACCACAGTGTAAATACTTGATTGTGTTCCGCTGTAAATCTTCCAATTTTCCTGAATGGTTCACGCTTGAGAGGAGCAAGGAACCGTTAGGCTCTCGATGGCCAGAAGAACAACAGAATTCGATAAGCTCATGCTTATTCAATTTCTATTGGTGTTTCGGCTTGTTTAGCTCGGCAATTGGATCATCACAACGACAGTATGAGTCCATCCCGGAACAATATCTTATCACGCACCGAATTGCTGCACTCGGAGCTCGACATCTGAGTGATGAAACAGGGCACCATGTGGACTCCAGCTGGGCTTATTTATACTTAGTTATTTGATTCGCACACCAAGTTCATTGAAAGTAACTACACGCTGCACCTAGTTGCGACTTGCGACTGTCGAAACATATATTCCGCAATCTCGCGCCGTCTTGAAAGGTGACTTCTAAAAAGCGAGCTGATAATTGGATCGATGTAAGTGATTTTGGTTTATTTCCCCAAATCTGTTCTCTAGACTTACTTGCATTCTAGGGACTCCGCGGAATCGCGGTCCTAATGGTCGTGACCTACCACGTGTGCTCGTCCTTTGCAAATTGGGTGAGTTCACCAACCATGAATGACGAGGGCAATGCATCACTTTTCCAGTATCCATTTTTTCGACTCGTGGTTGCCGGTCGACCCGCTCTTGCGCACTTCTTTATGATTACTGGATACGTGAATTCGTTCCGGGCCATATAACAGACTCGCAAGGGAGATACGGAGGGAGTCCTCACAAATCTATCCCGCAGCACATTTGGTCGAATTGGCCGGCTAATAGTACCTACAAATGCTGCTATACTTTTATCCTGGCTTGTCTGCCAGCTGAATGGGCATCGGATTGCAAGAGTTGTCGACTCGGCTTGGATCCAACATGTGTCTTGTGCCCCAGGGCCTAGCTTCGGAGCATCTGTTGACAAATTGCTTCGGAATCTGACGTTATTCTGGCATAACGGCCAGTCCCCATATGACGGCACCTTCTGGACAATTCCGTTCTTTCTGCAGGGCTCAATGATCGTTTATCGAACGCTACTCGCAACGACTTTCGCCAGACCACGATATACAAAGGGGACCATCATTTTCCTTTACCTGTTTTCTTGGGCAGGTGGACCATGTGAGTTTCCGACAAATGAATACCCTTGCCGTCACTTACACTGTGACATAGCCCTTGTAGAAACAAATGTCTACGCAGGCATGTTCCTTGCCGAGCTGAATGCTGACTTTGGACCTCGCGCTACCTCGGTCGTGCCCCGGGCCCTTTCAGCGCTCATCGTCGTCTTCGGGCTATTTCCGGAGGAACACACGGACTGGATGCCATGGAGCCGAGCAATTGTCTGGACCGCAAGCATGGTCGTTCCCGCCGGTGGCGAGATCAATCGCTATGTGGTGTCTGCAGGAACGACCATGGTCATGTATGGAGCGTTCTTTTCTCTCGACGCGAGACGCATTTTCGCGCGTCCTGTGATGAGCTTCCTGGGCCGTATCTCGTTCCCAGTGTATCTGCTTCACAACACCCTGATCCGAACGGTGTTGTCTTGGATGGTCTACCGGCATGACTTCATGATGCAGGGCTTGCACCCGGTGGATGACAATGGAAATCCCATCTGGCTCGCACGGGGTGGGTTTGTATCATTTTGGACCTCTATTCTGGCCTTCTATGCTTATCTACTTTATTCGGCGCATCTGTGGACGATCCATGTCGATCCTCGCTGTGAGACGGTGGTGACTCGGGTGTCGAACCGGGCCGGGTGCTCGGCAACCGTGCGGAGTACGCGCCCACCAAGGAAGGCGAGTTGTTTGGAGCGCCTTGAGCAACAGAGAAAAGAACAGATAACTTTTCTTGTCCGTTCCTTGACACTAGAAGAACCGCCTGCATTCTCCCACCCGTATAGTCGACGCTGACTAAGCGCACTGACGTGCTCGCGGCCCCGTCACCTGATCCCCCGCACCAGGTGTTTGCATCGCTGTTTGCACTGATGTCGTGCTCGTGGGCCAATGAGCGAGGGGCCGATCGGGATGAGTATGGCTACCGGAGCAGAAAAAAACCACTGGACTTTTGGACGGAGAATCCTTGTGCTTTCATCGTCATCCTTGGGCTTTTGGGACTGCGAGAACTGCTTGCGCTCGTAAAGCAGCCATTGCCACCCTTTCCCACTCCATCCTGTGCTGTGTCTGACTTTCGCAGCCAGCAATCCCCCACCATGGCGTCCGTCTCCAGTGCGGGTGAAGCAGGTAAATAGTCCATTTGCCATATCGCTGCTGTGCAATTTGCTAATTGTCCTCCCCTCTCATCAGTGGCGAGAATTGCCTACCTGGCGAGCGATCTCGTTCTGTCGGTGCAACCCTCGCTTCATGCCGACTCGCTGTTTTCCAAGTCGCTGAAGGCCTTGAAGACCAACAAGGCAACTGCCGTTCGCTCAAAAAGAATCCCAGAGGTGCAAGCCGCGCGCTCCAATGAAGATCCTCTATTGTCGGCCTTCCACCCCCTCCAGAATGGCGAGACCGTCTCCGTGGTCACCGGCTCATCGGTCCTGATCACTTCCGTGCCTCACTTGTACCGCCTAGCCAACTTCCCCGTTGTCATCCACGTCGCCTTGGAGTCCTCACCATACCCCGACTACTCGGTGATCAGCTCGATCCGCCAGTGCGGCTTTACATTCCTGCATTCGGAGACCGTTCAAGAGGCCCAGGACATCGCCATCACCGCTCATGCCTTGGCGCTGAAGTCCGGAAAGGGTGTGATTCACTTCTTTGATCCGGCTAATTCCGCCAACGATTCCGCCATCTCCGCAGAGAACATTGATGTTGTAAAGAAGGTGCTCAACTTCAGTGGAAGCGCTGCTTCTCACTCATCTACTGGCTCCCGGACTTTGTACGCCGACTCTGGTCGTGTGGCCACCGTCTCTTCCGATGACGTGGAACCGGCGCCTGCTGGGCAGGGCGAGGCATCGACTACTCTGGCGGTGCCCTCTCAAGCCCAAACCCCATCTATCAGCGTCGAAAATTCGTCCGTTGGCTCTTCCCGGAGAGATAGCAGTGCAGGGAGTGAAGCTGCTAGCTCGACGGCCACGACGATCGATGGCTCTAGCACTCGGTCAGTCAATGCGGCCGATATCTTTGCCTGGGCTTCCCAGATTTGGCGGGCTCTGGACCGGGAAGTCGGACGCAACTACAGTGCCATTGAATACACTGGCCCTGCTGAAGCCAAGTCGGCCGTTTTTGTGTTCGGCTCCACCGGTGTCTTCGTTGACGCCCTTGCCAAGGCCGAGGAAAACAGTGAACTCGCAAACATCGGTCTCATCACTGCACGCCTGTACCGCCCGTGGGTTGGAGGTCAGATTGCCAACTCGATCCCCACCTCGGTTGAGAAGATTGCCGTTCTGGAGCAGGTCCGCAAGACCACCAAATGGGGTCCGTCTTTCATGGATCTGCTGTCCAGCCTGACCCCCTCGTCCGTTCGCGGTCAGAATCTCAAGGTTGTCGGTTACCGTCTGGGCTTTGTCGAGCCTTCCACCGCTGTCCAGGCTCTCCGTGGCATTCTGCAGAACCTGAGCTCCGCTAGCCCGATCCAGAACCTTGAGGTTGGAAGCTCCAAGGCCACGGCTGTTCAGAGCGCGCTTGAGCAGCCCCGCATTGAGAATGCGTATTTGAAGATTCTGAACCAGCTCTTCGGAGAGCGCCTCTACGTGGCGAACCAGCTTGGATCTAAGAATGCTGGTGTCTCGTCGACCATTGCTGCCAGCCCTGAGTATGGGTTTGGCTCGCTGCTGGCTCGCATGGAGCATCGCGAGAGATTCATCCGGGAGGTTGAGGAGGCGTCCAAGTCGAACACTTTCGCCACCGATATTCCCAAGACTTGGCTGTCCCGCTGGGCTCTGAATGCCCGGGATGCTTCCAAGGCCAACAAGCTGGCTCCTGAAGTTATTGCGCGGCTCTCCAACGATGGCTCCAAGCTGTCCCGCCAGCTCCTGGAGTCTAAGAAGCTTTTCTTTGATGAATCCGAGTGGTTGATTGGTTCCGACGCTTGGGCGTATGACCTTGGAAACTCTGGTGTTCATCATGTGCTCGCCTCTGGTGCCAATGTCAACATGTTGGTGATCGACTCGCAGCCCTACTCCGAGCGCACTGCTGCCGATCCCACGCGCCGGAAGAAGGACATTGGCCTCTACGCCATGAACTTCGGTAATGCCTACGTTGCCTCTGTTGCGGTGTACAGCTCGTACACTCAGGTTCTCCAGGCCATGGCCGAAGCCGAGCAGTTCAAGGGACCTTCAGTCGTTGTTGCCTATCTTCCTTACCACCAAGAGAACGACTCCGCTCTCACTGTCCTTCAAGAAACCAAGAAGGCTGTCGACCTTGGTTACTGGCCCCTGTACCGCTGGAACCCTGCCAATGAGGACAAGGACGAGCCGAAGTTCGCTCTTGACTCGGAACGCATCAAGCGCGAGCTGGAGGAGTTCCTTCGCCGAGACAACCAGCTCACCCAGCTGATGAACCGTCAACCTAAGTTCTCCTCCGTGCTCTCCGAATCTTACGGCACCGAGGTTCGCGCCCTGCAGAAGCGCCACGCGAAGGATTCATATGAAAAGCTCTTGGAGGGACTGTTCGGTGCTCCTCTTACTATTCTTTTCGCCTCCGACAATGGTAACGCAGAGAATCTGGCCAAGCGCCTGGGTAACCGCGGTCGTACTCGCGGCCTGAAGACTCTGGTCATGGCCATGGATGAGTACCCTGTTGAGGACTTGCCGACTGAGGAGAATGTCGTTTTCATCACTAGTACTGCTGGTCAGGGTGAATTCCCAGTGAATGGCCGTGCTCTTTGGGAAGTTATCAAGAACTCTGGTGATCTCGACCTGTCGACCATTAATTACTCTGTGTTTGGTCTGGGTGATAAGCACTACTGGCCGCGCAAACAAGACAGGATTTACTACAACAAGCCCGCCAAGGATCTTGATGCTAGAATTGCTTTCCTTGGTGGCCGCAAGCTTGCAGACATCGGCCTTGGTGATGACCAGGATCCTGATGCTTACCAGACCGGCTATGCTGAGTGGGAGCCGCTTGTGTGGAAAGCGCTAGGTGTGGACAAGGTTGAAGGTCTCCCGGAGGAGCCTGCGCCGCTCACCAACGAAGACATGAAGATCCAGTCCAACTTCCTGCGTGGTACCATTGCCGAGGGCCTTCTGGACGAGACCACCGGTGCTATCTCCGCCAGTGACCAGCAGCTGACCAAGTTCCACGGCACCTACATGCAGGATGACCGTGATGTTCGTGATGAGCGCAAGGCTCAGGGTCTGGAGCCGGCATACAGCTTCATGATCCGTTGCCGTCTTGCTGGTGGTGTTGCCACTCCTCAGCAGTGGCTGCAAATGGATGCCATCGCCAGCTCGCATGGTAACGAGACGATGAAGCTCACGACCCGGCAAACCTTCCAGTTCCACGGTGTCATCAAGCGCAACCTCCGTGGCGCGATGCGTGCTATCAACAAGGCTCTGATGACTACCATCGCTGCCTGTGGTGATGTGAACCGTAACGTCATGTGCAGTTCTCTTCCGGAGCTGTCCTACTTCCACCGCGAGACCTACGCTGTTTCCCAGAAGATCAGTGATCACCTTCTTCCCTCGACCACCGCCTACCATGAGATTTGGCTGAAGGATGAGGACGACAAGAAGGTCCAAGTGGCTGGAGATGCCATCGTCGACTCCGAGCCCCTCTATGGTCCCACTTATCTTCCTCGGAAGTTCAAGATCACCATTGCCATCCCGCCCCACAATGACACTGATGTCTACGCCCACGATATTGGCTTGATCGCCATCAAGGGCGCCGATGGACATCTGGAAGGATTCAACGTCCTGGCTGGTGGTGGTATGGGCTCTACCCACAACAACAAGAAGACGTACCCCCAGACCGGTCGCATGTTTGGATACTTCCCGGCCGACACGGTTCACATAGCTTGCGAGAAGATCATGCTTGTCCAGCGTGATTTCGGTGACCGGAAGAACCGCAAGCATGCTCGTCTGAAGTACACCATCGACGACATGGGTGTTGATGTCTTCCGCGGCAAGGTCGAAGCACTCCTTCCCGAGGGAATGCGCTTTGCCGAGCCCCGGCCGTTCAAGTTTGATTCGAACGTTGACACCTTCGGATGGCAGAAGGATGAGAAGGGTCTCAACCACTTCACCTTCTTCATCGAGAACGGCCGTGTCGAAGACACCGCCGAATTCACCATGCGCACTGGTCTCCGTGAGGTGGCGGCGCTGAATAAGGGCGAGTTCCGTCTCACTGGTAACCAGCACTTGATTCTGTCCAACATCGCCGACGAGGATCTGCCGCTCGTCAAGGGGGTCATGGCCAAGCACAAGCTGGACAACACCTCCTTCTCCGGCATGCGTTTGTCTTCATCCGCCTGTGTTGCTTTCCCGACCTGCGGTCTGGCCATGGCCGAGTCCGAGCGCTACCTGCCCGTCCTCATCTCGAAACTCGAGTCGACACTCGAGGAGATCGGTCTAGCCCGTGAAAGCATTGTCATGCGTATGACCGGTTGCCCCAACGGCTGCGCTCGTCCTTGGTTGGCCGAGGCCGCCTTCGTTGGAAAGGCATTCGGTGCTTACAACATGTACCTGGGTGGTGGCTACCACGGTCAGCGTCTGAACAAGTTGTACCGCTCCTCGATCAAGGAAGATGAGATCCTTGATATCATGAAGGGTCTGCTTAAGCGCTATGCCCTTGAGCGCAACACCGACGGCGAGATTCCCGAGCGCTTCGGTGACTGGTGTATCCGCGCCGGTGTCATCAACGAGACCACCGACGGCCAGAACTTCCACGAAGGCGTAAGTCACTCTTTCTAGACCCTATGAGAACTCAAGACTAACCTTTCTCCCTCACAGGTTGCCGAGGAAGACGAAGAAGACGAGGAGTAGAGTATGGGATATCTACTATCTGGCCGGCTCAAGAGCCTTTAAAATTTGTTTTCCTTTCTGATAATGTCTCATTTGCTTGCTCATGCCTCTAGATGCGTTTGTCCATGGCGAAAGAATGATTCCCGCTCGTGCAAATACTGCTTTTCTCCTTTAGATTTTTTGTGTGTACCTTTTGTCCATAGTTTGTGCATCCTTCGTATATCATACGTGGCCACGATTACCTGAGCAATGTAATAAACTTGAAGAAATGAAGCCTCCGTGACATCCCCAACGGCACTCAACTATGGGATCGGAGTCTGCCAGCCATGTTGCGGAAGCTGCCGTGAAGAAATGCCGTAGTGGGTCTAGCTTATGCAGTGGCAATAATATCCAAGTAGACAAAGACCTTCGACCAATTTAGGCTCATTGGTGGTACGTACACTGTCACGGACTGCCAGAACAGGTCCAAGCGACCTATACGACCTAGGCCTGTGCACACTAAACCAATATTATGCTAGCTTATTTTCCTAGCTGTTTCATGCGCTGCTGTCACAGTATGATAGCCAATTATAGCGATCCTCATCCTAGACGCTGCATAGACCCCCGCCTTCGTATTCGTTACTAGTCACGGCTGAGGCAGATTCTAGCGAGCCAAGAAACACTAACGCTGCTAGAGTAGGGATAGAAGTATATTGCATGCATTAAGTGTTAACAACACATCTTGCAGATGCGGTGGAACATACAAGTCTAGTGTAGACTTGGAAAGGGAAAGGTGGTAAGAAGAGGGGAAATTGCTTCCCTAAACTTCATGTCTTGCAATTTCTTAAACTTTTGCCACTAAATAATAATAAACATTCACATTCATCATGGCTGGACTGGTAATATGGAGCATCGGTATTTTTCTGGTTCACGTTGCCCTGAAAAGTATCTATCGGTTGTACTTTCACCCTCTCAGCAAGTTCCTCGGTCCCAAACTGGCAGCAATCACCAGCGGATATGAATTTTACTTTAATGTCTTCAAGGGCGGGATGTTTATTTGGGAGATGGAGCGACTGCATCAGGTCTATGGTAAAGACTTGCTTACTCTGCGCGGATTCATCGAACCTTAATTGAAGCCTGTTAGGCCCTATCATACGCATCAACCCGCGAGAAATCCATATCAAGGATTCAAAGTACTACGATGAAATCTACGCTTCCAGCGCCCGAAGACGTGAAAAAGACCCTATCGCCGTAGCCCAGTTCGGATTCGACGGTTCCGCATTCGCAAGTGTCTCTCCAGAAAGCCATCGCCAACGGCGTGCACCGCTAGAAAAGCTTTTCTCCAAGCAGGCCATTACCAACATCGAGCACATTATTTATAGCCGGCTCGAAAAGCTGTGCCGTCATCTCGATTGTGCTTATCGGTCACATAAGGTGGTCAATCTCGATGCCGGATTCGCAGGCCTGACGTCCGATGTTATCCATCAGTATGCCTACGGGTTCAACAGCGGCCATCTCGACCTTGAGGATTTCAACGAGGGGGTCAGAGACGGGATCAACGGCCTTTTCCGTCTGTGCCACCTTACTTTCTTTTTTCCGATTTTGCAGACCATCATGAACTCGCTGCCTCTGGGGCTTTTGAAACGAATGAGCCCGGACGCATTCGCGCTTGTCAGTCAGACGAACGGAATTTACCAAAAAACAGCCGATGCTCTGCATGGCCACCGTTCAGACGGTGGCTCTATTATGGAGACTCTGGCGGATTCTAATATGTCCGAACACATGAAGACCCCCGCGCGTCTTACGAATGAAGGATTCGCTCTCGTCATTGCCGGCACTGAGACGACTGCTAGGTCGCTGGCTTTGGGTGCTTATACTCTTCTCAGTAATGAGGTAATCAGAAATAAGCTGCAAGAAGAACTTCGGTCTGTGATGCCCACGCTGGACTCGCGGCCCACCTGGAATCAGCTTGAGAAATATCTGGTAGGGTGTAGAACAGTCCTGGCATATTTTTGGCATTTGACTCACAATTGGCTGCAGTCCGGGATTGTCAGCGAGACACTGCGTCTCTCCACCGGAATTGCGAGTCGATCTCCTCGAGTTGCACCCGCAGAGGCGCTGGTCTATAAAGACTATGTAATTCCTCATGGAGTGAGCGACCCTGTGTCCACACAAAAATATATATAGTGACTGGTGACCATAGACACTGGTGAGCGAAACCAACTATTTTGTCCTCACGGATCCAAATATTTTCCCTGATCCGCATGTCTTCGACCCGGAACGATGGATGCGAGCTGCGGCTAAGGGGGAGCGATTGGATCGGTATTTGGTCAACTTCTCGAAGGGTAGTCGGATATGTCTTGGCATGAAGTGAGTTAAGTCCCCTGTTTTGTATCTTTTCTTTCTTGGGCTAATTTTGCAGTATGGCGTATGCGGAGCTCTTCCTGGTCCTCGCGACGCTTGTCCGGCGGTATGAGATGGAGCTGTACGAGACAACAAAGGAGAACCTTGAGTTCAAGCGCGACTTCGGGACACCACACCCCGACAAGGGTGGGTCCCATATTCGTGTCATGGTTACTGGAATGATCCAGGAATAGTTAGTTGATTTAATATTAACTTCAGGCTGGAGTTGGTACTTGGACTCTCGTAGATCCGTAATATGGCTCAAAGGCGGTGAGACAGCCGATTTTCTGCCGCTCAAAAAAAAGACCGACTGGCGACACAGCACACCTTCTTCCGTGTCTTGCACAGCCATGGATTCGGACGACGATCCCGTCGTCTCATCTTACGACGTCTTCCTTACAGACTCCGAAGTCTCTCGATATGTCTTTCAATACCTCGACCGCCCCAAAAAGCACCCTTACATCGAGGCGAAAGGTCAGAAGCCGACCGAATTGCGATTGAAGCCCCGGTCCGGTCTCGTGGAGGTCGACATTCCTATTAGCATTCGGCAAAACTACGATATCAACAAAGGAGCACGGTATGGAGAGGCCATGAAGAAGAGCCGTGCCTCTCGTGACGGAGGCGCATACGGAATGGCCGGTGGGTTCAGTTCTGGGAATGCTGTGTCGAGCGGGAGCAGGGTCAAGACTGAAGGAAATGGGGACATTGAGATTCTGGACAATAAGAAGGTGATTGACTCTTCATCGATAATAAAGACCCAGCCACTTGGCGGGCGGATCAAGCCTCCCGAGGAAGGAGATCCAGTCTACATGTTGGCTACATTCAAAGACAGTATGCGCATCCTCTTTTCCCCTATTTTGCGACTGATCATGCTGATTGTCGGGCCTAGAAAATCTGCATCTGTCGCCAGTGTCGGCAGTCGTGCAACTACATCCCCAGCTTCACCACCAAGATGCGATGGAAGAGATACCCAAGGGCCGAGGCACAAAGACCAAGAAAGACGACGACGAGCGTCCCGCCGAGAGTGAAGCGCGGACAATAGATGTCAAGATCAAGGCCGCGGAAGATGGCGAGCAGACGATGCTTGCAACCAACCTGGACCTGCTCAAGAAAATGCAGGATGAGAAATGGAAGGCGTATGAATGGGTCGATGCCGAGGTAAGCCTTCTCCTGCTTTTACTCTATCAGAACCCCGTTAACATCACCCGGCTCTAGACGGAGGAAGCTTGGTACACATATGAAAACTATATGACACACCAGCAGCCCGAGGATTTGCCGCAACTTGAATCGGCGATCCAGGGCGAGGACTACCTGGATGCGATGAGTGCGCCGCGAATTGATCCTGCACACCCGGAAATGACTGGCTGGGCTATGAAACAAAATCGACAAAAGCAGAAAGATGGAGTATCGGGGAGTGAGGATGAGGCCGGGTGATTCTTGAGGGCCTTAGAAACATTATACCCTTGATTTGATGCCGATTTCACAGTTGGGATGGTCCATGATGGACAGAGGCACACACAATGCTGTACACAATGACCATTATCATTGAACTCGATTTCCATGTAAATCCATCGCGAATTGCCACTGTAGTACGATCCGCCAATCACGGCGCGCCAAAAATTAACCATCACGTGATTAATGCCTCAGGCCGCGGGCTTTTTTCACTCCGAGATCTTCCCCTTGTCGATTGCCTCTTCACTTCACCTTTCCTTTCCTGCCTTTCCTTTCTTTTCTTTTCTTTTCATTTTCGCTACGGTGGATGGCTGCCAGATGCCTGCTGATTTGACTGACTGAGGGTCGTCTGCAGCCAGGGGAATAAAGGCATTGTATCAGTCGTGTGCCATCCCTTATCGAAGTTTCCTTTTGAGCCCAACTTGCATCTTCTTTGATTACCACCGCGCCTCGGCCTGTTTACTCTATTTTAATCGTTTCTCCCTCGACCGCTGCCATGTTATCACGCATCGCTCGCCGGAAGAACGCTCTCTTCCATCTGCGCAAGGCCTATGCCCAACGTACATTGACATTTCCCACATCACTACGGTTACATTCGCACTCAACATGGCAAAGTCCTGTTGTGCCTACTCCGGTTACCTCAGCACAGGAACGCCCCCGTCGACCGTCCTTCCAATCCAGTCGCAATCTCGCCACGGCAACCGACCAGTCAGCCATTGGTCAAGCCTCGATTGACAACCATCCTTTCTCCTCCCCCTCCGACTACGATAAAATCAAGCAATGGGCTGATACAATGTTGCAAATGCCTACCGATGAATTTGATCCCTCCTCCCTGATCATCTTGGACGACTATCTACAGACTCGACCAAAAACAGTGAGGAAAATCCAGGGCATCGGTGGTGATCAGAGGGAGATGATAGCCAACATGGATGTCTCCTTGAAGGTTGGCCGGTTCGATCGAGCTGCTGCTCTGATCGCCCGTGTGCGTCACTACTTCCCGTTGGGTTCCCCGGAGTATCTCGCTCTTCATAACCGTTATATGAACGCAATGGTGTCGCACATGATTGTCACTCGACAGCAGCAGATGATTTTGCAGTTGCAAAGATGGTTCGAGATTGAGATGCCAAATGAAGGCGTGCGCCCAGATGCGACGACTTACTCCATCATGATTCGGATGGCCTTGCGCATGTTGTACGGATCCAAGCGTGATAGAACGGTGCGGCGGTACTGGCAGCTGGCCAAGAAAGCTGGTATCGATGAGGAGGAGATCGCCGGGGTGGAGATTCTCTCTGATCTGGAGTTCGGCGAATTATTCGAGGTATGTCAACCGTTTGTCAATTTGTGTGAATCTGGACAGTTTGCTGATTTTACCACCTAATAGATTTGCCCTTCCGAGTTTCCGAATTTCCACAATGCTGAAGCCGAGCATCCAGCTGCTACCGTTGACAACGTTGCGGAAGTTTTGGCGACCGAGCAAAAGGGCTTGGGATTGACGTCCTTGAAGGAGTCTCTCTCATCGTTTTCCAACAAATCTTTGTCTGCGGACAACGACGCAGACAGAGCAATAGAACTTGAAGAGAGGCAACGCCAGCTTGAGGCTGATACTATCAAGACAGCCTTGAGTCGCTGGCGTAAAGAATTTGAGGACAGGCAGAAGACCGGCCTGGACGTGAGCGCACGCGGGAAAAGGCTGGGCACATTGATGCATCAGTGGCAATCCAATCTCGCGTCGAGGATTAAAGAGGAGCTGAAGATGATCGACAAGGCAGAAATGACAAAAGTTCCGGCGAATAAAGAAGAAAAAGAGCGCCAAGACTATGGTGTCTATATGCGATGCTTGGATCCCGATCAACTGGCAGCGCTGACTATCCTCTCCGTTATCTCCGTGTTCACTGGAACAGGCATTCATGCCGGAGTCAAGCTTTCATCAATTGCTTCGAATATTGGACAAGAGGTAAATGCCGAGGTGATTGCCGAGACGATTCTCAAAAAACATGCGACTCAGAGCCCTCGGCGCAAGCAAGCAGTGAAGCAGCTCCTCTCCCGCCGCAAGCAAAGGGAGGGCGCCATGCGCTGGAAGACGTTGGTGCATGGACTACAAGCTGAAGATGATACCATCACTTGGCCTTCGGCCGTGACCGTTCGAGTCGGAGCTGCCTTGTTCAGCATGCTCCATGAGGTTGCCAAAGTTCCTGTTCCAAGTGAAGACACCCAGACCTTTGGAAAGCAGGTCACCATGCATCCTGCTTTCCAACATTCCTACCAGATCACATGGGGAAGACGCCAGGGTCTGATCCATATGAACAATGATGTTGTCAGTATGCTCACAAGAGAGCCGACAGCGGATTTGCTGGGTCGTCAGCTCCCCATGCTGTGCAAGCCCAAACCATGGACAGGTCAAAAAGAAGGAGGATATTTCCTCTACGAAAATAACATTGTACGATCGACTCCGGGCGAAACTTTGCAACCTGCCTACGTCAGAGCCGCGTTGGAAAATAATGGAATGGCAGAGATCCGCGCTGCCTTGGATGTTCTTGGCAGCACTGGGTGGGCGATCAATACAGAAGTCTTCGACGTTATGCTCGAGGCTTGGAACTCTGGCGAAGCAGTAGGCAAGCTGGCTCCCATTGAGCCTGACTTACCGATTCCGCCCAAGCCGGATCCCAGCGCTGGCTACGAGGCCGAGAAAAAATGGGATGCTCAAATGCGTATCCTTGAGAATAAAAGGTCCGGATACCACTCAGTCCGATGCTTCCAGAATTTCCAACTGGAGATCGCACGTTCCTATCGCAACGAGACTTTCTATCTTCCTCACAACCTGGACTTCCGGGGACGCGCCTATCCGTTGCCTCCTTACCTCAACCAGATGGGAGCCGATAATTCCCGGGCGTTGCTCCTTTTCAGCGAAGCCAAGCCGCTCAGAGCAAGCGGTCTACGATGGTTGAAGATTCAGGTTGCAAACTTGGCTGGATATGACAAGGCCAGTCTGTCGGAGCGTGAGCAATTCACCATGGACCACATGGAGGATGTGCTGGACTCGGCCAACAACGGCTTGCATGGCAAAAAATGGTGGCTCAAGGCTGAAGATCCCTGGCAATGCCTGGCATCTTGCATCGAACTGCGCAACGCACTACGCTATCCCGACCCTACCGAATACCCCTCACGTCTCCCCATCCACCAGGATGGTTCATGCAACGGACTACAGCACTACGCTGCTCTAGGCGGTGACATTGTTGGCGCTCAGCAAGTCAACCTCGAGCCTAGCGACCGGCCCTCTGATGTTTACACCGGAGTCTCCGAATTTGTCAAGGCGGAAGTCGCTCGGGAGGCAGCCGAAGGTTTCCCAATTGCACAACTGCTCCACGGCAAAATCACTCGAAAAGTCGTCAAGCAGACAGTCATGACCAACGTTTATGGTGTGACTTTCATGGGTGCCATGAAACAAGTTCGCCGGCAACTCATCGATCACTACCCTGAAATGTCGACCCAAGAGCACAAGGATGGCTCGCTATATATTGCCCGGAAGATTTTCAACGCTCTAGGGTCCATGTTCAACGGGGCCCATGAGATCCAGTATTGGCTTGGCGATTGTGCTGCGCGCGCCACAGTGTCCTTGACCCCTGAGCAGATTGAGGAACTCATGAGGGAGGCGATGGGCCCGACGGGGAACAATGAAAAGAGGACTTCTCTTGACCCCACCAAAAAGTTCCGATCCACCGTCGTCTGGACAACCCCGTTAGGCCTGCCCGTGGTCCAGCCTTACCGCACTCGAAAGACCAGGCGCATCAAAAACTCGTTGCAAGACATCAACATCATTGACGACTTCTCCGACGATGTCGTGCACAAGCGCAAGCAGCTGCAAGCGTTTCCGCCCAATTATATTCACTCTCTGGACGCTACTCATATGATTCTCTCCGCCAACGCATGCAACAAGGCTGGCCTCACGTTCTCCGCGGTGCACGATTCCTTCTGGACGCACGCCAGCGATGTCGATGACATGAACATCCTTTTGCGAGACGCGTTCGTCCGCTTGCACTCCGACGATGTGGTCGGTCGACTGGCGGCAGAGTTCGACGTACGGTACGGCAAGAACCTATATCTGGCGCGGATCGACGTCAACAAGCGGGTTGGTTCCGCTGTGCGCCGACACCGTCTGAACGCGCCAAAGCGCCAGAGTCAGCTGACGGAACTGTTTGAGGAGTACCGACGACAGACGCTGCTCCGGTCGCAAGACCCGGAGCAGCAGGCCCAAGGCCGCGCGATGGTGACACCTGCCAGTATTTTCGAGGCCATGGGCGGCTCAGACAAAGACCTCATCATGTCCTCCTCGCTCGGTCAGAGCGCCGTCGGCCACGTCCCGGAGAATATTGATACTACCGGGCTTGATTCGCCCACGCCGCCTTCTCTGATGGACCCTGAGGACCTCAATCTTTCCACTGCCGAGGATCGGATAGAGTTAATGTCGAACCCCCATGTGAACGTGGACGCGGACGCGGAAGCTGCAGATCAGGAGGCTCCAAAGCCGAAGAAACAAAGGAATGTCTACACGTGGATGTGGCTGCCGCTGAAGTTTGCGCCCGTCCCTGCCAAGGGAGCTTGGGACCTGAGTCGCATCCGTGACAGCAAGTACTTCTTTTCGTGAAGCTTGTCTCCTCCGGTGAAGTATTGCATCACGGCGTTTATCGGGAATTTTTTTTTTTTGCATTTGTATATGATCTCTGGATGACTCCCCAGGGCAAAAAGAAGCGAACAAGTAATTATGCATATATACTGGCGATGTACGAATAACAATACCAGCTAGTCCCCCTGATGATTATTTCCATTGTTGTAGGGATGTTCAGTCTTGCCGGGCCAGATTTAGGCAAAATTGCCAGAACAGCCGGGCCGCGGGTTAGACTGAAGTTCCCCATCATCCCCGCCCGTCCGCCCGCGTGGCCACCGGCTCCATGATTTCTGCTGATGATGACTATGGTTATTAGACTACGACGATGGAATGTTCTTCCATGATGATCAGAGAGGAGCCTGGTCCCATTCTTCGCGAGATCGTCGTAGCTACGGCAGGGGAAGCCTGTCTGGAGGCGGGTCTCCCCCGTACAAATCGGAATACCGGCACTTCAAACCGGTCCAGGGTCCAACCGATACTAGTCCAGTGATTTATTGTCTGTCAGCCCAACTCGGGCCCTCCTCCTTCTAGCCGGGACGGAGTGACCAGGGGGGCACGGCCGTGCGAGCACGTAGCATCCTTCGCTTGCCCCGGTCTTGTCTGGTCTAGCCGTCGAGTCCTGCGTCTCCATGCCTAAACCAACCCCGTAAAATCAGAAATCTCGTCTGGGGTCGGCAATAAGCGAAGGCATTTTCTGCAGTCCCTGTCACAAGGGCCCAGTAGTATATCCCATCCCAGGTTCTTCCCTCCCTCCGTCCAATCCTGTTCTTCTTCTTCGCCTTCTTCGCCTTCTTTTGTTCTTCGCCTGACACGAGGAAAAGCACCGTGTATCCATACCGTATGGTATTTTACCACCCTGTCTCTTCCCCGCCCTTTCTGCCTCTCCAGATTTCTTTGCTTCTTCCAATCCTCGGCAGATCGCAATCGACAGTGCCGCCACATCACCCTCGACTGCTCAACGGACTCGATCAAAGAAATTTACCCCAGTGCGCCGCCCACCGTTCCTCGGCTTTCCGGTCCTTTTCGGCACTGCGACTAGGTCATGTGCTCCGACTGAACCGACCCGCGCCTTGACCTGCGATTCTTCATACAACTGACACCCCCGTGAGATTTGGCATCAGGAGAGGCGGGCCTCTACACATCCAACTGGTTCCACCTCTATGTCGCTATAGATTCAGTCCGGCCTCCTCGGTTGAAGCATGTCGACAACCTCCCTGCAATCGTTCGCCAATTCCTACTCGCCTTTCTCGTCCCGAACACAGCCTGGTCGGATGTCCCAGTCGCAGACCCCCGGCTTAGACACTCTCGCGGAGGGGTCGCAGTATGCGCTAGAGCAGCTGCAGTTGGCACGAGAAGCAGGCAGCAATCATTCGACTGACAGCAAGTCAAATGGTCACCAGCCGCCACCACATCTCCGCCAGAACCACTCCTACGACGAGAACAACGGTACGGGCTTCAAGACCCCCTCCACCCACCGAGACCATCTGGTCGACCCCCGCTCTAGCATCCGCAAGAGTTCGTCTGCTGGTCCCGTGCGGCGTCGCATCAGCCGAGCCTGTGATCAGTGTAACCAACTGCGGACCAAGTGTGATGGGCAGCAGCCGTGTGCGCATTGCATTGGTATTGTTTGCCTCGACAACTTCATGTGTTTCGGTTGTACTAACGATTGTTCAGAATTCGCACTCTCCTGTGAATACGCGCGCGAACGCAAAAAGCGTGGCAAGGCCTCGAAGAAGGACCTTGCAGCGGCTGTCACAGTTGCTCCTGGCCCTGGCGATCCAGACGTGACGAACAGAGCATCCCCCGCGCAGGAACATTCGCCCAGTGCGCAGCCTGCCCACGAGGCAAACGGGCAATTCGACCCGGCCTTCGACGCTTCCCGGAACCCACAGTCTCATATTCCCAACTCGGAAGTCCCCAACATGGCCGGAATGCAACACAACTCGCACTCGGCTCAGCAGCACTCCCAGCAACACCCCCAGCAGCATATGAACCCGAATATGGAGGGCCTCCATTTGAACAACTACGGGGGGCTGCCAGACTCAAACCGGCCTCCAATGTCGGTGCCTGATCTGCGCTCCCTGCAGATGATGCACAATTCCAATGGGACCTCTCGATCCCCGGCCTCCATGCTACATTCACAGGGGTTCGGGTCCGGGTACAACGACAACGCATACTCTTTAATGAACCCACAGGACACTAATCCCACCTCGATCAACCATTTCCGCCTCGGCAGTTCGGCCGAGAACCCATCCGCTCCGTTTATGGGACTTTCACCGCCAGCGCAGTCGCCTGGCTGGCTACCTCTTCCATCACCTTCCCCCGCAAACTTCCCTTCTTTTAGCATGCCACCATTCTCCAGTACCTTGAGATACCCCGTTTTGCAACCGGTCCTCCCCCACATCGCGTCCATCATTCCGCAATCCCTCGCCTGTGACCTTTTGGACGTCTACTTCGCCAGCTCTTCTTCATCTCACCTTCATCCGTTGTCGCCATACGTGGTTGGCTACGTCTTCCGCAAGCAGTCGTTCCTCCACCCGACAAAGCCGAGACAGTGCAGTCCTGGTCTCCTCGCCAGCATGCTTTGGATCGGAGCCCAAACGAGCGAAGCCGCGTTCTTGACATCTCCTCCATCGGCTCGGGGACGGGTTTGCCAGAAATTGCTCGAGTTGACGATTGGCTTGCTTCGCCCTCTGATTCATGGGCCCGCCAATGGGGAGGCCTCTCCCAACTATGCGGCAAATATGGTCATCAACGGCGTGGCACTTGGAGGCTTTGGTGTATCTATGGACCAATTAGGTTCCCAGAGTAGTGCGACATGCGCTGTGGATGATGTCGCCACATATGTTCACCTGGCTACCGTCGTCTCGGCCAGCGAGTACAAAGCGGCCAGTATGCGCTGGTGGACCTCCGCCTGGTCGCTTGCGCGAGAGCTCAAATTGGGTCGTGAGTTGCCACCGAACACGGCACCACGCCAGGATGGTGAAATGGAAGGTGATTCCGAAATGGGCATGAACGGCAACAAACGGCAAGGGCCTTCTCTACTCACGTCCATGGGCGGTGGTAATTCCTCGGTCAATCTGACGGAGGAGGAACGCGAAGAGCGTCGCCGTATCTGGTGGCTGTTATTCGCGATGGATCGCCATCTGGCCCTCTGCTACAACCGGCCCTTGACGCTTTTGGACAAGGAGTGTGAAGGCCTCCTGCAGCCTATGAATGATGACCTCTGGCAGGCGGGCGACTTTTCGGCTGCCAACTACCGCCGTGCGGGCCCCTCCTTCGAATGTGGCGGCCACAGCATGTTTGGGTATTTCTTGCCACTCATGACCATCCTGGGTGAGATAGTGGATTTGCAACACGCGCGGAACCATCCACGGTTTGGTCTGCATTTCCGCAACAGTGGCGAGTTGGAGAGTCAAGCGATGGAGATCACGCGTCAGCTCGATGTATATGCCCAAAGTTTGAAGGAGTTCGAAGCCCGGTACACAAACTCTTTAAATCTCGGCTCGGGAGAGAACGACGCCAACATGGAAGGGTCCCACCTCAACCACGTCAGTCCCTCTGGTCGCTCAAGCAGCACCGTCGGATCGCACGTTAGTGAATCCATCGTCCACACGAAGATGGTGGTCGCCTACGGAACCCACATCATGCACGTGCTCCACATCCTACTGGCCGGTAAATGGGATCCGATCAACCTGCTCGACGACAACGACCTTTGGATCTCCTCCGAATCTTTCATCACGGCCATGGGCCATGCGGTGAGCTCCGCCGAAGCAGCAGGCGATATCCTAGAATACGACCCAGACCTAAGTTTCATGCCATTCTTCTTCGGCATATATCTCCTGCAGGGCAGTTTCCTGCTACTTTTGACGGCGGACAAGTTGCAGGGAGACGCGAGTCCAAGTGTGGTTCGGGCCTGTGAGACGATTGTGCGGGCTCATGAGGCGTGTGTCGTGACTCTCAACACTGAATATCAGGTAAGAAATTCATATCGGGGATTCCACGTCTCGGATTCTAATTCGTCTTGCAGAGAACATTCCGGAAAGTAATGCGCTCCGCTTTGGCTCAGGTCCGCGGCCGGGTGCCGGAGGACTTTGGCGAGCAGCAGCAACGCAGGCGTGAAGTCCTGGCTCTCTACCGCTGGAGCGGAGATGGCAGCGGCCTTGCCCTGTGAAAGCATTGCCAACCATACAATTTATTCTATACCCTTACGATAAAACAAAATTCAACGACTGGATACCGGGTTGGCCGTGGTTGGGGAGTTTCACGAGGCCCATCACTTGTTGAGGGCGTGGATATTTATCTTGCGATCTTGTCTATATTGTGTTCCCTGTGGCCCCTCGGTGGGCCATATTTCCTTGTTGTATACTATTTCTCTGGTGACGTTGGACATACCCCCCCCGGAGCAGGAAGGCGTGCAAATATGCATATTTCAATATCATGGTCTTTTTTATGAACTTCTGTCAGGGGAACCCCGGGAATATGGCCTCCTCGCTAAGATAAGCTAGGAGGGCCTGGTGTCTCTTCCTGTTCGGTGATAACTCCTTCTCTCACCAGTCCGCCGTGCAGCAGACGTAGACACAATGGATAGAGTCGTACAATGACCACCCTGGCCAGAACAGCTCCTTTCTTCTTCTGCGCGACTCGCTCACCTCCACCTTTTCCATTCCTATACTCCAGGTACATCAAGCGCCAGCAGGACAGCAACGTCCATAACATGAACCGAGTGATCCCTGAGCAGGTGTAGTATATTTGACTATACTACACCCAGCCCCACATCCACTATTAATGATCCACCCTAGCTCACTCTTCTTGTCTCTCTCTCACTTACCTCAACACCCCAGGTTTTGGCTGCTGCTTCATCCACACCCACTCATCATGAAGCCCATAATTGCGGTGCCCGCTGTGGTAGGCCTGCTCTACCGCGTCTGGGCCCGCAAGTCGCTCACCCCGTTGGGCACGGTCTTCGCGGCGTTCACAGCCACCGCCCACGCCGCACACCCCTGGTTCGCGCCGTTTGTCCTCATGGCTGTGTTCTACTTCGGAGGAACAAAGGCGACAAAGGTATTCTGGTTTTCATCCTAGAACATCAACGTGGTTGTTGCTGATCCGACTTCTGATTCGACAGGTGAAACACGAAGTCAAAGCGCGACTGACCCTCTCGGCCACCGGCACGGAGGGTGGAGAGAGCCCTCGCAATCACCTCCAAGTGCTGGCCAACTCACTCGTCGGGTCGGTGTTGAGCGTGGCGCATATGGTGGTTCTGACGAAAACGCCCGGGGATGCGGCGGATTGTTTCTCGCTCGGTCAGCGCGCGGCGGACGTTTTGATGGTTGGGATCGTCGCGTACGTCCACTCTTTAACTCCTCCCCTCCTCCCCGACAATTTGCATCGCGTGCTCACAGATCATGACATATGTAGAAATTATGCCGCCGTCGCCGCAGACACCTTTTCCTCCGAACTAGGCATCCTCGCCAAATCCAAGCCCCGCCTCATCACCTCCCTCACCCTCCGACAAGTTCCTCCCGGTACAAATGGTGGTGTTACTGCCATGGGACTCGCAGCTGGTCTGCTAGGTTCGTTTTCGGTTGCTGCTACATCTGCCCTCGTACTTCCCTTCTGCGCCGGCACCACGATCAAAGACCGCGCGTTGTGGACTGTGGCGATGACGACATGTGGGGTGCTGGGTAGTTTGTTGGATAGTGTGCTTGGCGGACTTCTGCAAGCTAGCGTGGTGGATAAGAGGAGTGGGAAGGTTGTTGAAGGGAGTGGAGGCCGGAAGGTAAGTTCCTTGGCCAGTATATGCATGAGAAATGAAGCTAATGATACATGTCTATAGGTCCTCATCCACCCCGCCTCAATAAGACCGGGCGGTACATTGGACGGTGCAGCTTATTCCACTCAAGCAACGGGCAGCGCACACCTGCGTAACACCGAAACAATTGTAAATGCAGCTACCCTACACGGGAGCCGCATCACACATACCTCGACTGGCACGCAACCCGGACGGGCCCATGAGGAGAGCAATGAGAGCCGCCGCATTGAGGTCGGCCGAGATTGGCTGGATAATAATGGGGTGAATATGCTTATGGCGGCGACGATGAGTTTCGGGGCCATGGGCGTTGCGCAGTGGGTTTGGGGGGTGGATGTTCGGGAACTCCTGTAAATCAATAGGGATCTTTGGGTGGGTTCTGCCCTCTCTTTCTATAGAATGGTCCATTTCATCCATTTAGCGAGTGTGTTTTAGCCATCAGGCTTTGCACAGAACTGTTTGAAATTCTGCGAATATGTACTACTGTGTCTCACATGTCCAAGCTGATCCTTGGACAACCCAAGCTCAGGTACACCAAGTCGGCTCTGACACCTCCTTAAAAACCGCACATCTTCCCAAACCCGATTTTTATACGCCAGCGGATAAGGGAAGGTATGTGTTTTACGATCTCTCCAGAACCGATCCAAGCCCACTATCAGCATTTATTTCGTCAAGTCGGAGATATGTGTCGTTATCAGATGGAAAGCGCAGATCATTGGCGCATCTCGGATAAAGTCGCGAATCCAATTGTTCTTGGATTGCCAATATTGGCTTCCAGCACATTATCGACTTCAGACCCAAGTCACAAGGAGTACGCAACCTTGCATTTCCACTAGATCCAAGTTTACAGTCTATACGACGGCACCAACTGATCTACATCGGTAAACTCGTTTCGGATGGATGAAACAAAATCAAATTGTTCCGCAAATACCTATTTTCTTGTCAATTCAAATAATTGGAGACTATATCGGCCGAGGGAGATAGCACAGTCGGTATGCTAATGATGTGCTCATTCTTTTCTTTTGGTGATAGTCAGTTGGGAAGGTGCAACATTAGAAAATAATAGAAATGACAAAAAGGAAAACAAAATCAATTCTGGCCACAATTTTCCACTCTGGCGTTCCTTGCCTCCTGATAATCGATAGGGTTAGAATCATAAAGAAAAAAGAAATGACCAGACTGGGGCTCGATCCCAGGACCTTATCGGTGTTAACGATACGTGATAACCAACTACACCATCCGGCCGATTATGTATTATTTGAGAGTGCTTACTATCATATTCCAAGTATCTATATACTGGAACCTAAGTAAGTCATTTTACGCCAGGAAACAGCTGGGAGCGCCATTCCCCTAAGGCGCACTGTCTAATCTTTAGAGCTAGACGCTAGTAGCCTGACGTCGCGCGAGAGGCCTATTGTCCGAATCCTCTAGGCAGAACAAAAGATCGCATGGGCTAAAAGGCCATAAATCAGAAACCTATCCTCAAGGTCGCTTGAAATCCACGTGGCCATTTTGCGTATATTATAGGGGCCACTTTTGTAAACTAAAGTGGTGTAGATTACTGACGGCGCTTGTGTTGTTGAGTGCTAGAAAGGTCACGATATGTATCTAGTTTAGATTTTAACAAGGATAAATAAAATGAGTAGTCATTAGGCAATTCTTTTGTAGCCGTTGAGATTCAGGGAACTTAACGTCCTCTTGATTACCTAGACCTACCTCTTAGAAGATATGATCATCTGCCCCAATAGTCATAAAACCCGGCGGCTCTATCAGCTCTTAGAAAAGACCACATAAAACCGAGTCAAAACCGTGGCCACAGTCCTAGCCTGTACTTCTATACAAAAGCGCTTTAGGTCTAGTAGCATCGCTAATAACAACGAAAATATGATTTCACCAAATGCCATTAAATTCTGCATGCTTGTTCAGACACCGCAATTGGTCATTTTGATCTAGGATAATCGCCAGTGTTCAAAGATATACTAACTGGCTTTCGTTCAGCGAACAGCCCTCGCAATTGCCTCGAGCCTCATGTTCCTTTATTTCTCATATTTCAATCAAAGGACAATATGTATGGAATGTAGAATAATGATACGATATTTGGATACATTAAATGTGCTTTTCAGGTTGAATCTTATCCACTTGACGCTTGCGCAATTGAGAACGATCTTTCCAAAACGCCTGCCAAAGTTTTCGAGGAATTGAGTAGCGTCGCAATTTCTTCAGGGGACATATCGTCCAAAATAAACTCGATGTGTCTTTCCAGGCATGCAGCATCCTCATCACGACCGAGCTTGTCCCAGCTGGCAACTAATGCTTCCAGCAGAAGTGGTAGCGCATCAAACCCATTTCCAGATTTCCGTAGGCAGATCTCAAGAATCTCTTGCTGTAAAACAGCAGCATCAACCGACTTTTCCTGTGAAGTATACTCCAGTGACAGTCCAAATAGATTCAGAAGAGTCTGAGGATGCTCTCTACCAAGAATTCCTTCTCTTGACATGGAGAGTTGAGTTAGAATCGACGATAGTGACTCAGAACTGACTAGACCACCATGCATCAAATACAGATCTACAAGTCCTTGGAGACTTGTAAGTGTCTTTGGGTGTTCGCTACCAAGAGTTCGCTTGCGAACCTGGTACATGTACTGATGGAGAGCCTCGGCCTCACGAAGTTGGCCTTGCTCCTCGTGCCATAATGCCAGACCAAATTGGGCATCGATCACTTCATCATGCTCAACTCCGTGAAGTTGTCTCTTTCTTTCGAGTGATTTGATCATGATATCTCTAGCCTTCTCTCCTTGGCCTTGTGCTAGATATATGCGTCCAAGTCTATCTGAACAGGCGAGGGCAAAATGAGCATCTGGGTCAAGAACGCTGATCAAGCTTTCGGCTAGAGATGCGGCGGCTTCTAGCTCGTCATTTCTTACTAGTAAGTCGACCAGTAGAGTTGCAGTGTATGTTGTTTCCATATGGTCTAATCCAAGAACCATTTTCTGCTTTTCGAAGACTTCTTGCATCAGTAACATCGCTTCCCGGGGCTGAGTTTGGGTTTCCTTTGCGCATGCAAAACTTCTCATGCTCGAAAGTGTTCGCGGATGCTCTAGCCCAAATTGATCTCCTTCGCTTTCAAGCACCTGTGCAAAAAGTGTCATCGCTTCTTCATGTCGACCTTGTTTTCGATACAAAGATGCCAAGTCCTTCATGTGATAATTCAGGTCTCGAGGCCTCCCTGTTTGAACTGTATTGTGTGGTTCTATCAGTTGTTGAAGTAGAATCTCCGCTTCGTCAAGACGATTTTGATCTTGATATAGTTCGGCTAGAGCTGCCTTAATGTAGGTAATGGAATCTCCATTGTCCGGATATTCTCGCTCCCACGTCTTCCATAGCTCTTTATATTCAGATTCAGATTCAGCCCACCGATGAGAGCCTTGTCGATGATGTATCTCGGCAAGAAGCTGGCGAAACGCGAGATAGACTGTGTGGCCCGTTTCTAGATGAAAATTCGTACATGCTTCGATCGTTTGGAGACATCTCTCCTCGGCAGTCTTGAGGTCTTGGCAGTTCATCAGTGCTTTTACTTCGAAGCCGGAGGCAATTATTGTCTCTGGATATTCCCATCCGAGACTATCCTCGGTCTCCTTCCGTGAGATGACAGTCATGCGTTTCGCTTCATTTGGTTTATCGCAGTAGAGCACATAATCAGAGGCATGACGAACTAGTCTGGCCCATCTTAGTCGATAATTTGAATCGGGACCATGTGATAACGCTGACTGAACATGTGGGAACAAGGCTCGAGATCTAGAGATATTTTCGAAATTGGTGAATTTTGGAAATTCCAGATATAGATTTCGGATAAAAGTCTCTTTCCAATGCTCGAGCCTTTCTTGTGTCCTAAGCCACTCCTGGATCGAAAGTTGCACAAGACCATGCATCTCGAAGGTAAGCGTCTCGGGATCAATGGAAATGAAAGAGTAGTCTTTGAGCGTGGCGACGCTGTCCTCGAATTCTAACTGAGACAGATTGAACGTAGCTATGTCATCAATGCTGCCATTTGGATGTGTTAAGACCTTGTTATTCTCTCTCTGATAAGCAGGTCCAAATGGCGTATAGCCTTCGTCGATATCACTCTTAGTTTCATCATTATCATCATAATGGAATGATGCTTGCAGTACATAATCTGGGATCCCTTGTCGGTCGAAAAAGCTCATCAAGGACAGAAGATTCACGGCTTGTGGATTCTCTTTTCGGATTGATTCGAAGGACATTTGCAGGCTTACTATGATGGAATTTTCGGTTCTCCGATCACGATGCAACAATCTGGTTTGACGTCTCAAAAGACTCGTTCTTGCTTTGTCGCTCTCTCGGAACATTCGAAGATACTGTGACACAGAACATCGAGGGGAGTGCCTTGCAATGAAAGTCGCTGCTTGAACGATAGCCAGTGCTATCCAGTCAAGTTCCCGAGCAAGACTTTTCAGGCTCAATTCATCCGTGGCGACTTTGTTTTGAAGTTTTCTCTGAAGCAAAGCAATTGCATGACTCTCCGAAGGCTCGACTGTTATGATATCGCATTCATTGACAAGGTTCATTGCAATGCGCTTGCTGCGAGTCGTGATAATAATGGACCCATTCGGGGTGCTTGGAAGAAATTCAAGGGGCGATTTCTCAGAAAGCCTGCCTTGATGGTTTGGTAGCTCAGCTCGTTCGTCATTGCGGGCTGATGTCGAATTCTTGAAGGCTGGCTTGTAAAGATATTCATCATCGTCAATATTGTCAAGGATGAGAACCCACCGTTCTTCTTGTAGGTCCTCAAGCCAACTCCCAACGAGCTGAAAGATATTGGCAGCTGGGTCTTGACGACGTGGAATTTTGACACGCTCCGCGATATCTCGGAGGCCCTCTTCGTATCGCACAATTTCGCTAGCGTGGACCCAGAAAACCCAAGCTCTAGGTGATCGCTCCCGAATCCAGTAGGTGTATTCGATGGCAACCTGAGATTTGCTTCTAGTTGTTAGAAAATGGTACTTTCTCTTTGAAGCGGAATATGTTTACCCAACTCCACCGAAGCCAACCAGTGCCAGTCTGGCCGAAGGCTCAGAGCTTAATTCATGTACCCAGTCTATGAGAGATCCTGGGTCCACGAAATCTGGATCGCGTCCGAACGGAATCATGGCAAGGGGCTGCGGTCTCTCTTCTGGGGCTTCATTCACATTGTCAGACAGGAGTTGTTTTTGGGGATCTGGGAGTCGTCACCCGGAGGCAAGTGAAAATGCGCATCGGTCTTCCCATTGTTGTGTCCAATTTGTAACCCGAAGTTTGATCCTGTGAAAGATGTTAACGAATCCATCAGAAACGCCGAAGAGCTATCATGAAGCAAATAGGTGGAGGGTTTCCCAGGATGATGACAAGGCGAAGATGATGACTTACGCCCCGCTCTTACCCCTGTCACTAGCCTCACTGCACAGCCCACCGCATGCATAGCCCCATATGCAACCACAGTGTCCGACCGATGGTGCTACTGGCATAGAAGAAGCATCTTACAACAGCATGGTCTTTTGAGTATGTCTCGGGGTTTTCGTTCACTCGGCTCATGATTTATTGATCCGCAGCGAAAGACGCATGTCTGAGGAGTCAATTCATGGTCTTTCAACAACAGGTTCAAGCAGTCTGCAGACGATCATGCTGGGCTAAGCTACATGTCTCATATTTCATTCCATAGCATAAATTGTTTAGCACGAGAAGTACGATCGCCCAGTTGGAGCAATTAGTGGATATGAAGAGCAGACATAGGGTTCTTTAGAAATAGCGGCGGCTCGATGGCACGATTTTCTTGGGCCGAGCCATGATTTTCTTTCCTAAATCACACATTCTTTCTCTAGGCAACAATAATTCATACTTTTTTCTTCTGCTGGGCCTCATCTAGCTATTTTTGATTTCGCTGCCCTCGTTCTACCTCTTTCAGCCTCGTAGCAGATTCCTGCACGTTTGCATTTTGAAGGGCATGTTCCCGACGAGCCAGAGTGGGCGATTGTGCAGTTTCAAAATTCCAGTCGCCGGTTGCTTAATAGAAACATTTTCAACGAGTTAAATAATATAAGTCTAGGTCGGATTTAGTGGTAGCGCTTTATTGACATATAGTTTGCCACTTCTCTTAATACCTAAAGAATCTCGATTTTGCGGACAACAGAAGAAAGCATCGGGGGTTGCACTATCTAATTTATGTAAGGAATTTGGTTATCCACGAGGATAGGCTAGCAACCAGGAAGAGAGTAAGGGCAGGATGAAGGACGGGCAAAAGGGCGAAATTAGCAATAAATTGAAGCGGCGAATGGGACGACTTTATAGAGAACACGCACGGGAAGCTTAAGCAGCAAGGCAACGCTTAACCCAAACAGGAACGCTAAACTGTTTCCCGTAATTCACCGTCACTGCAGGATACGTGATGTGATAACCAACTACACCATCCGGCCAACTGTATGTGTCTCAGGAGTGCTTACCATGATATTGCAAATGTCTTTACGCTGAAACTAAGAAGGATCATTTCTCAGGGAGTCAGCCGGGGAGCGCGCCCGTCGCCATTTCCCAAAGGCGCACTGTCTGATCTTCAGGGCTAGATGCTAGTAGCCGGCCATCGCACGAGAAGCCTATTGTCCAAACCCACTAGGCAAAACCAATGATCGCATTGCTAGTCCGTACGTAGTTAAGCCACGTCTTTCTGGACAGTCTCGCACGCACGTACATCCGTGTTGATTAGAACCCTTTCTCTCACTTCGTTCGTTTCGGGGCATTGCTGACAGTGATCGATGAGTCAATTTTATACTACCGTATTGTTCGGTAGAATCTTAGAATTTTTATGCAGTGGTTTATATCATAATACTACTAAGCTTTTTTGCCTTCTCTAACGCAGGTAATAGAAGGGCACACTTCAGCATAAAAGGAGAGTCTCTCTCATTTAGGAGCTTAAAGAAGAGTATTAGTATTCTTATTCGCTATCGGCTATACATTACTAGCTAGTTATCAGATTATGTATAGGAAGGTATCCTTCGTAGAGTCTGCTAGTGTCCTATGTAGGAATAGCTATAGTGGTGAGCAACCTACGTAGAAACCTCTATATGGGAGAGCGTCCTCTATAGGGACTACTATGTTAGTAGAGTGCTAGGGGTCGACGGTGTGCCAGCTAACAGAAGGAAAATCATACATTGCAATTTACGTTGAGAGCGTTTGTGCGCAGTTTATGCGTCGGCGAAACGCCCACGGGTGGTTGGACGTTGGCGCAACGCCGACGTCTTGTCACTCTTAGCTGCCAATCAGTTTGCGTGTGTATCTCGGGCCTAACACCGAAAACTTGAATATCCCAGGCAACTAACTTTATTGCGACAGGAATTTTAGCTATTAGCTAACTTTAGGCACCGTGAAAATTTAAATATAGCTACAATTCAATGCTTTTAATAATCCGGCCGTCCAATTTACCTAGCTCTTAACATTTCACTGCTCGAATGTTCTAGCCTTCCTTTATTCCTCAATGGCTAACATTCTCTCCCCAAATTTTCAAGCCTCTCTAATCTTCCCCGTCTCCTAATATTTTATGGAGATAGATGAACGGATTTACTGGCTAGATTTGGAAAAAAACCGTGGCGTGTCGCAATAAGTGAACGCAAGTATGATACAATAGTCTCGCTTTAACTAAATTGAAAGCAGGTACGATGACATCAGTCCCATCATTTAGGTCGGTAATCTAGCGGGGCCGTTAGTTGACTAATACTAGGCCTACCTAGACTATAGGCCGTGGACTTTTGGCTAACTATGACGGTGAGCTAAGGCTTCTAGAATAGTGACCGCAATTTAAGGGCTAATGGCCTATGGCGGGAGGGGCTATGGCCTTAGGGCATGTGATTCAGATCCCCGTACTTCTGACCGTAGACGTACGTCTAGGTTAGTCGCACGTCTACAAACCTAGGTCAAGTTATGATGTTAGTCCATAAACTAGCGTCTAGGACGGCTTAGTGGCCCTAGTGGTCTCCCATTTTTTGACCACGCTCTATACGAGTCTTACATCTTTGATCGGAGTGGATGTACTCGATGGTTACGCATCAACCCTTGCTCTCATGATCGTAAACTTGCGCCAAAAAGACCTATATGTCAACTGTCGGGATGATATGCCTAGCACTAATATATGTAACGCACATAACTAGTATACTCGCGAGTTACTCTTGGAGCTGTACCTTGAAACCTTTCAATCCTTATTTAGTTAATCTCTTAAAATTCGGTGTTATATCGTATCGGATGTCGTTGCCACATCCATTAACCTCACAGGAAACGAAGAGAATATAATATTTCTGAACCAAGAGTAGAACTATCAGGGTTAAGATGTGCTAATCAAGTCGCCTGTTTGAAGAAAGATTTATCTAGGAACTGCAGCTGAAAAGACCTCAGGGCCCACCGGATATTCCGAATTAAACCACGTGACTTTAAAGAAGTATATGCATACTTATTCTGAGATGTACGAATTGTGCGAGTATTATGTTTGTGTACAGGCACCAAAATTCGCCATATCCTCAACCCCGGCACATTTTGACTCTGATGACTTGACGCAGGCGAGAGGAAAGATGCAGGCACAAACTGGGCTAGGATAGACGTTTTCTGGCGAAAACAACTGGATCTGATTCTTGGTTGAACGAAATGTTCAGACATCCGAAAGTTTCGCCCCAGGATGGATTTCCCGACCTCCATATGAGACTACCCGAGTCTCCGACAAATCGTACAGAGGAGGTAGTCTAGCATCCCTCTGCCAAAGGATCCAGCGCCTGTAAAAGTAGGGAATATACTTGTTGACCTGGTATTTCGTAAATTTGGTAAAGGGGACCGCAAATACGTAATCAAGCTCTTCCAGTGTGAGCTCCTTTGTTTCTGGGACCCAGAGAAAGATCATGATAAAAGCTACTATGTTAAGGCCGCAATAGAACCCAAAGGCACCTGTAGGGGTAAAAGCAATTCGCATCCAGGGAAACGTGAGCGAGAGAACAGCAGATCCTAAGGCATTGATGGATACAGCCCATGCCATGCCAAGTTCTCTGTGAGATAACGGAAAGACCTCTGCTGCGTACGGATAGCACACGGGACCTTCGCCGGGGGCATAGATGGCGGCGAACAGAAAGATGAAAAGTGCCATGGGCGCTAGGCGGGAGCCAGCAGGTGCCCAGAAACAAAACCCAGCTGCTAAAAGTGTCCATGCCATGTGCGGGAATGTAGCGAGAAGAAGTGGCCGACGGCCGAATGAATCAATGGTTCTCAGGGCGGGGATAGCAAATAGAAACGTTGTCAAGCCGAAGCCCCAGGATGCCCATAGCGCGTTCTTCTCAGAAACACCAGCGTCCATAAAGACGCTAGAAGAATAAAAGGAGATAATGTTGATTCCTATGTAACTTATGAGCTGGCTAAGTGAGTTTAGCTATTGAAATTTACTTACCACACATCTGCTGTGATAGCATCACAATACTCGCAGCAGTATTAGCGCGGCGAAGTCGCGGAATTGTAAAAAGCTGGCCAAAGCGCTTCCAGGTTCTCCCGCCCTTCGAAATTATTTCTTTCTCCTGTGTGTATTGGACATACATGATGTAAAGGTCTCGTGCCGCCTGGACTTTCGTGAAGCGCAACTTGCAAAGTGATTTAAAAGCGTCCGCGTATCGACCCTTTTTAATATACCATCGTGGACCTAGAAAGAATTCAGTATTAGCCCTTTAATTAGCGTCCAACTTATAATTGCCTTGTAACTCACTCTCTGGACAGAACAAGACAAAGCATAATAACGGTATAGCTGGGATGAACGCCGAACCAAGCTGCAGACGCCAGGCTATAGGTCCAGTATTTACCACGGCAAGATTAGCTGAGAACCCGAGAAAAATACCGAACGCAACGTATAGTTGCCACGTCATAGCGAGAGCACCTCTGATTTGCGCAGGTGCATTCTCAGATGCGTAGACTGAAGTAGTTGAAGACTTAACACCCATGCCTATTCCGAGAAGGAGGCGGCAGGTAAAAAGTTGTGGCCAGTCCTGAGTGAATGCTGATCCAAGGCAGGAGCAAAGTGAAAAGCAGCCTGCAATGAATATGGCACCACGGCGGCCAACTAGGTTGTTGATAGGATCGGAAAGCCAGCAACCACTATTCAGGCTAAATTAAAGGAAAGACTTTCTCTTCTCGGATTGAGAACACTAACATCAGAGCCATTGCAATCGTGGGAGCCGCATTTATCAGGCCAACGATCCATTGGTCATGGGAGCTATTTGACCCAATGCCGAATGCCTTTGGAAAGGAGAGGTTTGCGCCGTTGCTGCCGGTCTATAAAAGCGTCAATCTTCTTCTGTAATACACCCGCATGGATTGAGTTATCTCCTACCTGATCCCAACCTTGTACGGCAGCACCGATGGAGCAGACAACGATAGTAAACCAGAGAGCTCTCGGTTGATGCCATTTTCGCGACACCTCGTCGTGTAAAGCCTCGCGCTCGCGACCATCGATTTCAGTAAGATTGTAGAAGTCAGTCGGTGCTTGCGCAACTAGAGCACCTTTTATTAAAAAATCAAGGTGCTCCGATAGCCCATTTTCGGAGACAAATCTTTCGACCTGAGCACGTAACTCTTCCTTCGGAATTCCCTTTAAAGGGTTTTGAATTCTATGTTACCCTTGGTCAGTATCGCAGCACTCTGAAAGCTGTTAACGAGGGCCTGATTAGGTGGTGATATTCACTTCGCGTTGTTGTTGTTCGAAAGGGTTGGCATCCTGGCATATTCGATGAATTGCTGCTCGTCAGCAAGTGCTGACTGCGATTTATCAAGGTCGCCCATCGTGGGATCAGGAAGGTAGTGGGACGGCGGAATATGCTTTGGTGTCACAACTCCTAAAAGGGCGAATTATAGCATTTTTATAAAGTTGAATCTTGGCTCTCATGATGCTTGATAAAAGACCGCAAGTTGACAAGGATTGCCAACTAGTGGCTGCATGGAGACCCCATTGGAAGCCGATATATCGCTCGTTTGGAACAACTCAAGAGGTTTTCTGCCGAGAACGGAGGCGTACCGAAGATAGGCCGATGGGGCGGAGTCGCCGACGGCGAGACACGCCCCGACTACATGGTTGCGAGTCATTTAACGACTGCATGTGCTTTTTGTGGGGAAATCCGCAAAACAGGCAATTAAGGGGTACACTGATTTCAAAAAACGGCGCCACCGGAAATATGCCATTTTAGGGTGTAAGAGCCTGAGTTTATTGTGGCATAAGGGCTTCGTGAACGTAAACTGGTGACATTCGTCTTCGCAATTCATTGCATGATTGTTCGGACCGAGTCTAAGGCGTAGTAACGGATATCCATCTTGCTCCCCTTATTAACCGAACAATCAATCATGCGACTGTTGTCTACCGTTGACTTGCTCATCCGCAACCTTCAATTCCCAAGCACCGTGGGTCCACTTACCGGTCAAGAGAGGCATTGATACTGTATAGTCATGAATATTTTTTATAATAAGAGCCAGTCACAATCTCCATACTCGGAACGAGGTGTTCTATGAAATTTACGAATTTAAAGAGGAGGTATTTCGTCAAATATACATACAGTGTAAGGGAGTGCACAGCCTATACTACAAGATGACGAGGCTCCATTAGTGTCCAATACACAGCTTTCACAGACCATTTTGTTTGTTATTGAACCGATTATGAGGATCACGCGGTCTTTTTTGGGTCGGCACCCGTGTTCTCGGCGCCAAAAGTATGAAACGAGATATAGAACAAAGCATGATCATCAACCAAGTTAGCACTAAATTGACGATTGAGCGATTTAATAGTCCTTCATGTTCTTCCAGTATATTATAGCATCCAATGGCAAAAATAAATATTCGCAGACTGTGGATGGTGAAAAGGATTTGAGCTGAGGTCCACTTGATATGGATATCTCCGAATGCGATGTATAACAAGGGTCGGCCGGCTGGTCTCGGGGTGAAACAAAATTGCAAGAGCGATATCCTCGCGGCTCTGAGGTTAATAGCACGCGAGGAATTCTTTCCAGGAGTACAGACTCGATTTCTTTAGGCAAACTGAGATCGTGAAGACGTTCCATTGCCTCCGACGGGCCATGCGACGATATGGTATGGTCCATGCCTTCAACCGGAGAGTTGCCACTTTGTACAGGCTCACAGATAATAGAACCCAGATTATCCTCAAATCTTGAATGGAAACCCTCCAAATACATCATTCTCTACATTCATCAGCTGAAACATTGTCTCCATGAGAGGTTTAGGTTCCGGAGGCCTCATTGTTGGCTTCCCAGTCAGGGAACGCCACGCCTTCAATTCAGCGATCAATCTGTGGTTTTCAGCTGGCAAATATTTCATGTCCTTAAAGGGAGCTATGTAGTTCTCGCGCTGTTTCCTGAAACGTTGAATGCTTTCATTCACGATAAGCGTATTTGAAAGGCGCCGGACCGGAGCCAGTGCGGGAACCAAGCGAGCTAGGTCCTACAGTCACAACCCAAAGCCGTCAGTTAGTCTCTTCTATGAAAAGAAAAAGCACTTTGAGTATATAGTAAATCTAGCAGGAATTCCTCTTCCAGCTCCTCTCGACGTTGTTTCTCAATTCATGGTGCTTTGGTTTGCCATGTTAAGGAAATTATTGATTGCGGGAGCATAGCATTGCGTGGTTTACATTGCGGGTTTTGATCAATTGGAAATCTTACAGCAGGATAAGTTAGACATCAAAGTATTCACCGCGCATGCTCCCGAAGGATGGCGTTGGTGGAAGGTTGCCCGAAAGAAAACTCGGCGGGCCATGTTCCCCGCAATGGCAAAAGCAGTAGGCGAAAGCAGTGTTACCGGTTCGACGTTCACAGCACGCGTCTGTAGCAATTTAAGGAATTTGCATAGAAACCATCTGAGACCGATTTTGCAGGCTGACTTACTGGGACGACTCTGACAGTGGGCAGCACTGCCCTCATGGCGCTTCCACGGCACAAACGATTTTGATGATTGCAAGTACAATTATTCATCCTTTCTATTTCATCACGTCGCAAAATTGTAACTTGCCCGAAGCCACGGTCGCTATGTCTCAATAACATTGATAAAATTAGGCAAAGGAGAAAAAATAAACGGGAAAATTCCCGACAGATATCTATAATGGAGGATTTCTAGCGTCAATGGAAGTCTAAAAAGCTCCTCCGAAGACTTCAAAATATCGTCAGGCCACCATCAACGAGAATGTCGGCCCCAGTAATATAGTATCCCGCCTGACTCGCCAGTAGAACAACTGCGCCTGTCAACTCTTCTGGCTGGCCCATGCGACCATAGGGAATCCGGGTAACCCAAGCGCGTCTATGTTCTTCCAGGACGTCGCCTTCGTTTAGGATGGTGTCCATGTAGCCCGGGCTGATGCTATTGACTCGAATCCCGTATCTGGCCCACTCCGCCGCTAGGGAGCTCTTCGCGGAGATCAAGGCGGCCTTCGAGGCATTGTAATGGACTTGAGGCTGGGGAAAATTTGCGACGTGGCCCGAGATGCTCGACATGAGGATGATGCTACCCCCATTGCCCTTATTCGCCATGGACCTAGCCACGCTCTGGGCGACCAAGAAAGCGCCCGTGGTGTTAACTTCGAACATTCTCCTCCAATCCTGAGGACTAAGGTCCAATGCATGGATAGCCTGGGTAATTCCGGCAAAGCAAAGGGCTAGGTCGATGGTGCCGAATAATGCCTCCGCTTTGGCGATAGCTTCGGCGACGGACTCTGCGTCTGTCACATTAACTTGGGTGAAAGTGATGGTCGCTTTAGGAAACTCGACCTGGAGATTTTCGACGGTTCTTTGTCCCTCGTGAGGATGGATATCGAAGATAGCTAGACCTTGAAGGCCGTGTTCGAGCAAGGCCCGGCAGGAGACGGAGCCAATGTCGCCCGCGCCACCGGTAACAATCGCGTTGCCTCTCACTGCAAACCGGAGTTTTGCTCTTTCTGCAGGCGTGGCAGTACTGTCGATTGGCGCAACTGGTGTGGTCTTGGATGTGGGCGAGCCATCGCTCAGAACCATAAAAGGAGGTGCACCGGAATTGTTGACCTTCGGGCGTTGGGCTGGGGCTGACGTCGTGGTGGTTGACTGGCCCATCCTATGCATTCAAAGCGTTGCGTTTGCAAGAGTGAATTCCAGAGTCTCTGAGGAGGCAGTGGAAGCTAGAGTTATACGCCTCAAGAGTCTCTTGCAGCGACTGCAGTAACCATACCGCGATCCGGCGGGCCATGTCAGGGCGACGGTGTGGCGTCTGGCCGCAATCCTCTCGGACATAGAGCCGCCGGTACAAGGCAAATTGGGCGAATTGGAATACCCAAATGTGTACCGGGGTAGCATTTGAGCGGGACTGGCACCCCACAGGACAAACAGAGACATGCATGGGTGGACCTGGAGGGGTGCTGCCCGTGGGAAATAATCAACTTCTGTTCAGCTAACTTCCCAGTCAACAAATTACGCGGATCATGATCGGTATCCATTGTGGCCGGACCGTGGTAGATTGCTGGAATGTCTAGTCATCACGCGTAAATGCTCCGGTTTCAGTGCCATGTCCAGAACCTGCAGCGTGCCTCTTCGGAACTTGCTTGCCTCGCTGTCGGCGGGTTGTGGGCACGAGACGGGCCGTCTTCCGCCGGCTTTCGTAAACGTGGTGATTGCGCCATCATCGCAGAGTCCAGAACCGGCTTTCTGGCCTCTTGCCTGTGAGCTCGGAGAAGTTCTCTACAGTCCCCGCATTAACGCCCAATGTTCCTCCGCAGTCAGGTGGTCGTATAATGGATGTTCCACTGTGGCGACGGTTTCGCCCAGCTTTTCCTTCAAAGCCATACCATTGCACATGACTCTCCGGACCCACATCGACCTTTTTCGTTTCGGTAACAGGGACTACACTTTCTAAACTGTACAGTAGCAACATGGTAGTCTTGTCGATCTCTTTTCCTGGTCCCGCATGAACAATAGGTATATATTTAGCATCCCAATGTTCCCAATTGTTTCTTGCCAGAATTTCCTACCCAGATTTCGTTCATTTATTAAGAAAGCCACTTCTAGCTGCAAGAATGGGAAGTATCCAGCAAGAGTCGACTTGGCTCGACTTACTCCAAAAGCAAGGTAGGTTCATTTAGAAACAGAGTTATTATAGAGTAACTAACTTCTTTAGTCAAAATTGATATTGACTGCATGGATCCCGCGGAATCTAAGAGATGGCTTCCATTCAAACCACAAGATCAGACGAGTAACCAGCGCCTCGTTTACGAGCAAATGGTTTCTCCTGACAACCACGAGCTGTTCCTCCAAACCGCAAGAGAGTACAAGGATCAAGGCTGGGAAGTGATCCTGACCCGCATGGTGGGTATATATCCAATTGCGACTCCCTTATGGTCACCGCTGACGCTAACAACTCGTTCCAATAGAGTGCGCTCTTGTGTGCGAAGAACATTGAAAATATTAAAGGCCGAGTTTTGCTGCAGTCTTCGGCTTTCGCTGCCTACGATACAAATAAGGTCGTTGCTCAGTCCCGCGCCTATGCCCGCGAGTTCGAGAAGGTTGGGATCTCCAAGGATCGCTTTTGCATCAAGATACCTTGTACGGGGCCTGCTCTAAATGCAAGCCCCATTCTGCTAAAAGAAGGCATTCGCACTCTCGGCACTACCCTCTATTCCCTTCCTCAGGCCATTGCAGCAAGCCAGGCCCAGTGTCTCTCGATTAGTCCATATATTAACTGTAAGTTCGAAAGAAAAGTTGCCCCGGAAGACTTCTTCTGATGAGATTGTATAGTTCCTTGGTATCATGCCGATCGCACACAGTGGCCAAACCTTGAAGATCCTGCTCTACAGCACCCTATGGCTCCCAGGATTATTCAGATCCAAGAAACGTACGCGCGTCTTTGCAAGGAGACTGGCAAAATACAGCCTTTGCTCAAGCCCGCTAGGTATATACTTCACATCTCTTTATTTTCATTTCGAAGTCGAAGAATGGTTATTTTGTCTGACTCACTGCGCGTACAGTTTCATATCCGCAAGAGAAGCCATGGCAATGGGTGAGCTGGGCTGCGATCACGTAACGGTCCCGGAAGATATCATCCAACAGCTCTCCATATTAGACGCTGAGGCCAATCCACCGCCGGGGAACAACGCTACTAAACGCAATGGTGCCCCCTCACCTCGCGTTATCCACCTGGCTAAGACCGACCCACTTGCTGGTCCAGGATGGGATGGACAGCTTGCACGCACAGACATCGACTACCTTGCGGATAATGGTGCAGCATTAGAGAAGGCTATAAAGGAAGATGCTGTGACTGCAAAGGGGGTTCAAGATGCTCTCGAGGCATTCAAGGCGAATGAGTTGCAGAGCAAGGCTGCAATCGAGGAAATTCTGCTACAGGTCTAAAAATATTCACGAAGCCAGTTACTCTCGCTCTGCTTCATTTGGGCCGCATACAGATAGAAAGACTTCAAGCTGGAATTCAAAAGTACCTGAAACATACTCCCTATGGGTTCCATTTGCGTAGTGACTAGACAGCTGCTACTATGCATGTTTCGTATATCTCGGCGTGTTTATCCTGAGAGTCAACTGAAGGCCACAGTGCAGGAGGTTTTAGCCCTTCTATTTGGCTCTGTCCCAAGTTCATCTGGACGCCAGTCGTTTCGCGCTCTTTACAATACTGAGTATCGGAGAAGTGACAGGGGTATATATGTCGACAGGCAGGATATCTGTATATATAGTAGTATTGGCGATGCCCCATAGAAATTAATAGATCGGTCACTATTCGGGAAGACAATTGGAGCGCTGTGGAAGGTTCCTCATGAGGCCAGCTTAGCGTGCTACAATACCAGTTTTCGGAGGATGTATCCATTCCATACAAAAACAGTGGGGGGTTGAGGCCCCTGTAAATTCTCCCATGCACAGCGGTAAATTACCAGTCTCTCATTCGACATTATACAGCAGAATCATATTTGAACACGCTTCATCCACGAGATGGACTGACTACCGCCTGCGTCCATACAGCCTCCTCCATCTGCTCCCACTGTCTCAAGGCATCGTGGATATCCCAGGATAGGTATTGTAGGTCATAGAATTCGGCTGGGAGGGGATGACCTCCAGTTGATCTTGACCTGCTCTCAGTCGTTGCAGCGTCAAGAACCTTTTTGAGCTGTTTGGCCAACGCCCAGCGTTTTCCAGCTACTGTTAGCGCGTAAACAAGAAGGTAAAGTTTGTCGGGCACGACCAAATTCGAAGCTCGGGAGTAAATGACATAAAAGCGAGCAGCGACGAAAACGCAAAATATGATGTGTGGATTTATGGTTTCAAGAATGCCATCGCTTATGGCACGTACGATAACAACCATCTTATCACAGCTTTCGAGGCACCGATCAGCAGCACAGATCCAAGAAACGCCGCTATCTGAGGCACCATCAGCCGGAAATATGAACCGCTGATATAGAGAAATGACGGCACTGTGAATGGTGCAGCGAATGAGTAGACTGTTCGGATGCTGACCTGAACCCTCAGAAAAGAGGTCAATATAAGGGGGTGAGCTGATCGATAGAATGCCCTCGAAGTCGGTTAACCAGGACATAAGGCGTTGATAAACAGCGTCGCAGTCCTCTTTTCTTTGTTGGAAATTAATTGAAGCTTTGGAACTGTAAGACTCCTGCAGGAAGTGATGAACTTGCCAGAGCTCATTCGTCGCCAGGCTGACGAACAAGGAGAAGGAAGACGGCGCATTCGTGTTTCCAAAGAAGTACGTAGCAAGAACCGACTCGGGATACTGCCATATTTCCTCATCGCAAGGCGCAGTCGCAGCAGGTTCGTGACGAGATACAGATAGGTTCCATGCTGCGCCCAGAGTAGAGATAGAGTCAAGTGCCTCTGTTGTCCAAAAAGCTCGGATCTTCTCCTCGCGCTCCACGGCAGTCAGGGGTGGAAAAAGCATTCGTGGCGGTATTGCAGAGGCGATACAGAAGTTTGTACAGTGATAATTGACCAGATCTCCCAGGCCTAACTGTGTACTGATTCTGTCCAGATAGTTTGGGTCAACCATTTATTGTAGTTAAGGAGGTAAAAAGCTATCGAACGGCTCTATAATCAACATACCGTTTGCAGAGGGCCATAAGATTGTAGAATTCAGCCATTCTGCCTGAGCCAAAGACCGGTATTGTAAGGATTAGAAGGGCCTGGAGGGATTGAAGAGATAAATTGTGAAAGGATACTAGGGTGATATCATCCTCGAGATCGTGTGTCCATTTATGTAGCTGGGTATCGCTAATATGCGCCACCTGGGTCGGGAATATGACAGCGAAAATCGCTTTGAGAACAACGGGAACCAGTGCAGTCGGACAATCCGTGTATTGCTGACATGTCTCCAAAACGGTGGGCTGATGTAGGATTGGAAACCAGGAATGATATTGATCAAACCAGATAGCACAATAGGTAGCGATATTACGTTGCAGGAAGATCTCTGAGCACCCATCTGCGGAAAAGGACTCCTGTCGGCCCTGCGTCGTTTCGCCACGGCTCACTGACTTGGGCTTTTCAGCAATCGTCTCAGGACTCATAGAAGTTATCTCTTCCTTGAAAGCCCGAAACTCTCGTTCTAATAGCTCTGTCGCATGATAGATTAGATAATGAATTCTCATGAGCAGCCTCCGCATTCCTGTAAATGGTGTCTGCCTACCAAGTCGGTTTTCCAACCGTGAAACGTACCCAGCCCGAAGTCCTGGGGTTTGCTGAGTTGGCTGATATTCACAAGGGAATCCATTCTTACAACAGAATCCGCACTTGGGCCTTCTCCGGTCGCATCTTATTTTGCGTTGCCGGCAAACCGCGCATCTGCGTTGGTGATCGTCAGGTCTCCCTGCTTGGATTTGTAGACGCGGCAAGAAGTGGCTTACACCGTCGGACTGAATCGCTGTTTATGCGGCGAGTTCGTAGAGGGCACCATACTTGAACCTTGACGACACCTTATCGGAGATGTCACTCAGGCATGGATGGCCTTTTTGACCAACTGCCTGTTCGTAACTTGGCTGTTGGAAGCGGGGGAAATTCCCCCGCCGCCTGGCACGATTACGTGAACACTGCTAGGACTAACCCGGCGATCCTACTCTGCACAGCTACTAAACTAACCGCACAGCCACCGTTCCACTGAGCACTATTGTTTTATTCGTAATTTTATCCCTGGCATCGCTAATGCTATGATTGGCGCTTTACCCTCCGAGTATCGGCCACTGTCGCTTTGGAGCGCCCGCGCGATTGATTCCATCCTCTGTCCCGGAAGGAAAGGCAAGTTCAATTAAGCCAGTGGTCTCATGACTAGCACCGTCTGTCAGCTCGTATATGTGTCCATTGGAAGGGGGCCCTAGGGGCAGCCCGACTAGTTAACTATATGCCTCGGGCGTAACATTCCCAGGCATGTCCCTCGTTCAACCAGATCTAGGTCCTGGTGTGTTAAGATTTCCCAGCAACCGTCCAGCAGGACTTAACACAATGCTGTGACACTGTTTTCGGTCTCACAATAGACTTCGCGAGATCACCCAAGCCATGATAGCCTTTCTCATCTCGCTGGCCGCTCCACGCTGCGACACTGTTTTCAGCATCCTCGGGACCTTGAGGTGCCTAGATATCTAGTTCTGTTTTTTTTGGCTTGGAGTTACAGCACTTTCCGAAATCAGATATACCATCATACTCTCACGCATTAGATGCCGAACCCTAATCTGAAACGCACTAGTCTAATTTTAGTTTCTCCCTCAGCAATTCCTCCTGAAATGTATCATATTGCCTGAAAGTGATCGATGAGTTATGCATAATACCGTATCGCGCTCCGTGGAATCATGTACAATCTTAATTGCAAACAGTCCAAACAGAGTGGGAGTTCTGGGGGTCTAGCAAGTTCGCCTCTCTTTCCTTCCTCCCCCCATCGCAGGCAGCCTTCCGTCCACGCTCGTTTTACATACACATAGGGCTGTGCTACTTCCTGTAGAAAACTAACCTTGGTAGGAGTTTCTATGGTTCCTCTTGCTTCTGTGATGTCCATTCGTTACTAGTGTCCATCGATCACCACTAAAGCTGACATGGGGCGCTGTAGGGACTTTGATTGCATGTAGAGATGACCCAAAGCCCATATCACATTGGTCACATTTCTTAGCCGGAGGAGACTGAATCATGGGAACACAATTGGCAGTACGCCCCGACTCCTAGATCCTTTCGCAGCCCTTACGCCAAGCGATCCATTTCTAGTCCCTACCCTAGCGTGCATGAGAACGCCCACCTGGGTTCTTTCTTGAATTATGGCTATTTAAATCACGTGTAGGGTCCAATACTCCGGAATGTGTTTTACGTTAGTGTCCTTCTCCCAGGAGTTATTACTACGCTGATCTTCACCTTCTACAAGGCATTCAATCCTCTCAATCTTCCCATATGCAGAACGCTTCGCCAGTAATTGCCTAATTGCAAAGTAGTTCCATTTATAACTTGCTTTAAACTTAGCGACTATATCTCTCTGCTTCTCCCGTAAACTATCCTTATCAGCAAGGCCCCTTCCAAGGAGACACCAAATCGTTCCACCTTGCATTAATTTATCAAGTAGTATATAGGCTTCCTATAGATTACTCAACATGGATATACTTATAGGGCTTAGACGTAAAGCCGCCGTCAGTCCAGCCAACAGGACGCTGATAAGCGACACAGCCGTATGCAGTACCGCGGCACTCCAGCGAGTTATATTCCGTCTTGGTAGAGGCGTCGACCCACGAGTGGAACAGAGTGACGTGGCCGGCAGCACCACCTGTACCTGCCCCAAGTGTACCAACGAAGTCGCCAGGTTGGAGGGCATCCCAGCTGATTTCGGTAGCAACGTCTGGGAGAGTGACGGTAGAGTAGCCTGGAGGAGTAGTGTGGATAGCCATAGAGACAAAGCCTGAGCAGTCGGTGCGATAGTCGGTGCCTTCTGGGTCTGGGTAGGTGGCGTACATGCTATATGGGACCTGGCGACTGATCCAGTACTCACCGCGGGAGATAATTTCGCTGCGGCTGATGGGGCAGTTAATGCAGCCGCTGCCGCCGCCGCCCGAGCCCTGAACGCAGCACTCGATGGATGAGTCGCCGGGGCAGTAGCCGGCAATAAACGAGCCGCCAGAGCAGCCGCTGCTGGTGTACTTGCAGACGCCAGAGCCAGATGGGGTGCTACAGGACGTAGTTCCTGACACGCAGCACTGGATGTCGCTGGCGCCAGGACAGTAGCCGGCAATAAATGAGCCGCCAGAGCAGCCGCTGCCGGTGCTCTTGCAGGTACCAGAGCCCAATGGGGTGCTACAGGTTGTAGTTCCTGACACGCAGCACTCGACGGATGAGTCGCCGGGGCAGTAGCCGGGGATGAACGAGCCGCCAGAGCAGCCGCTGCCGGTGTTCTTGCAGGTACCAGAGCCGGATGGGGTGCTGCAGATGTCTTGGATGCAGCACTGGATGTTGCTGGCGCCGGGGCAGTAGCCAGCCACAGAAAAGCCACTGCACGAGGAGATATCTTTACAGGTGCCGCTGCCGTCTGGGGTGCTACAGCCGTCGACGCAGCACTGGATGTTGCTGCCGCCAGGGCAGTAGCCAGACACAGAGGTGCCACCGCACGCGGTGGTGTCGCGGCAGGTGCCGGTGCCGGATGGAGTGTAGCAGGTGTCGGTAATGCAGCATTGGATGTCGCTGGCGCCAGGGCAGTAGCCGGCCACAGAAAAGCCACCGCACGAGCTGGTCTCGAGGCATGTACCACTGCCGTCTGGGGTAGAGCAGGTGGTACGACTGAAGAGGTCGGTTGGGCTGGCTGTGGCCACGGCCGCAAGAGCTAATGCGACCTTGAGGGGGTGCATGTTTGTTGTTGTGAGCCGGAGACTTGAAGGACTAGAGACTTGGGACTTGAGATTCCAACTTGCTTAGAAGCGAGATCATAGATCGTCCTATTCAAGGGTTGTTAAGTAGGATGACAATGACATTGAATCAACAGTGAGGACTATCCTACCTTTATACAGAAAGTCTGGCACCTTCCATAGCGGCCCCCGGCAACCGCGGCTGCGGTTATATGTTAGAAGCTACTGAATTCTGTGTCTCATTCCTCCTCACCGTGAAGGTCAAATCGGGAAAGTCAGTTTGGGAACCAATGGAAATGGGACGTTGCATTCATGCGTTCTAGACTAGCCGTGAAATTGACGCTGTTGTTGACTCCGGCTGGCGACCGTAAGCACTACTTTCTTCCAAGGCTAACTTCATAGTTACAGTCAAAACAGCTAACCTACATCGAGCAAGCTGCAGAAAAGGACCGAAAGTAACAGATAACTCTCGTCCCGGGCATAGCCAGTAAAGTGCCCCACGGGGTTTAGCTATAGGTGTCAGAACTCAATAATGTGCAACTAATACTCGTACTCCGGGAAAATCATATGTATCCCTGTAAGATATAGGCTTGGGGTTAACCGATCGTTGGTTAAAGAATGCTCGTATTCCGGGGAGGTCATACGGATACTCCCTATAAGGCACGGGCTAGAGCCTAACCAAACCTTGGCTAAAGTATGCTCGTATTCCAGGGAAGTCATATGTAACCCTATAAGGCATAGGCCAGAGCCTAACCAATTCTTGGCTAAAGCTTGCTCGTATTCCGGGAAAATCATATGTATCCCTGTAAGATATAGGCTTGGGGTCAACGAAGAGATAGGGTAAAATTATTTTAAATAGGCTAAGCTATAGTCCAAAATCTTGAATATATAAACCCAAGAACCTACTTTTGAAGAAGGGATTATATCTTAAGCCCTCATACAATTGTGACACCAACCAGTTCCTTTCTCAAACAAAGATCTCAAAATGTGGCAGTTTATGCTTTTATGTTTCCTTCCATTGGTTCTAGGTCAAGGAGCCGGAGATCTTTGCAAATATAGTGGTGATTCATCTGTAAGTATACTTCCTATCCCCTTCCTAATGTTATTACTACGAAGATATATTACTCTTACTGACTATCTCATAAAGGCTACAGGCATCTGTGAATCTACAAGTTGGTGTACTGACCATGATGGCGTCTACTCATCTGGCAACTGCCCAGATGCTGCAGAGAATGTCAAATGCTGCTTTCTTCCATCATGCGGTGGCTCTAACAGCAATTGGTGTGCTATTTCTGGTCAGGGGTATTGTGAAACTGGCACTTTTGTCAGGTTAGTATCTTGATTTCTTATTCAGTTATTAATTTTGTTTCATTTATATTCTGCAATGGCTTTATGCTTGAAATCGTTATAAGAGTTTAGCTAATAAATGTTTGCTATCTAGTGGCCTATGCCCGGGCCCTAGCTCGTATAAATGTTGTGTAAATTAGGGCCTTCATTACAAGGCCATAGCGGTATTCGCTTGTGGCGCAGACCGTGCATGAAGACATATCCATCTATTACGTTTGATGTGATATCCCGTCAATCATGTATTTAAGACTGATAGCTCCCTGTGTCGTTTCCTCCCTCATGTTAGTATTCAACATACAAATCTCTGAGAACGATTTCGAAGAAGAAAATGCTCCTTCAAACTATGGTTTTTGGTCCGCTTACCGTCAAATGTTTCTCTTTGCCATACGTCACTTCTATCCTATGACGGATGTGCGACTACTAGGCCATAAACAATTCGCTAAACCCCAATTACCGTTTGAACAATATGAGTTATAAGCCCGTTTTCGGGCTCTTGCCAGTCATGTCGTCTTTTAACTTCTAGCGTCTAAAAACAGAGATATGCGACTGGCTTAGGGAAATTCTCTGAGTTACTAGATATTGAGTGGTATAATATAAAGCTTTAGGGGCTATCTTCTCGTATCTGAACGTCTATCGAAGGTTCTTTCGACTAGGATGAAAGCTACTAATCTATAGACATTAATTGCGTAGTTTCCTATCCGCTAGCGTTGAAAGGCTCCGGCTCTACATAGTCAAAACCATGCCTTTATCTCTATCAAAGGTATTGAAAAATGAAGTAAAAATGTCTCGCTTCATAGTGAATGAAGTTAAATTCTCTCGAGGAAGGTCGGGGCCCCAGTAAACATTGCGTAGGAACAAGTACTTCTAGTCTAAAATGAAAGTATCTACGTCGGTCATTCCACAACGTCGCTTAAGAGACTAAGTCTCTACCGTACTAGTACTAAGAAGTAGACGCTAACTTAAGATTTTTCGTCTTTTCATTTGTATGAATAGACCCGCTATGTTGAGATAAATGGCGTCATCTGGGCGAGGGGATAGAGGTCTTTTATAGATGTCCGGCAACTAGCGGAGGGCGGTACAACAGCTAGGGAAGGTGCTACACTAGGACGGGAAGGGTGGTGGACAGCAGGGAGTAGCCAAATTTGCTCTGAGTCCTCCTATCTAGGTAGAAATTATCCTAGGAATTTAATCGCTAGCGGTCATTTTCGCCACATGGGTTTGACCGTTGATGTACTTTATTTTGTATAAATATTCACGTGGGGATTTGAGCGGTCGTAAAAGGCTCTTAAAAAAGGTACATGGCGTGTTCTTTCGTTGAAGCATCCACTTCTGGCATTCAGGAAACACTCGGGGTCGAAGTCCCACCCATAGCCTGTAATAAGTTGCATGCGCACTTAAAAGCAGTACTAGGGCTATTACAACAAGGGAATTTTGGCCGTGTTGACATAGTCAATGTTGTCCCGATGCCCCTCCACACGAGGAATAGACGTGTTGAACAAGCGATCCCACACCCGGGTCTGTTTGCCGTAATTATGGCTGTTCTTCCAGCCCTTGCGATGATGAAGATCATGGTCCTCAATCACGAGCTCCATGTCACACAACCTCAACAGCCACGTCCAGGGATTCACCGCCGTGGCGATCATGCGCAAGCCGCTGTGTCCCAAAATCTCCGTGAATACCACGTATTGCTGGCATACCCACCACTCGTAGAAGCCCATAGGAAATCCCATTAGCTTCAGTGTGCCGAATGTGATGAGAGGCGTGCCGATAATGTCAATGAATTCCTGAAGCGTGTCCGCATATGCGGTTAAGAGAGGATTGGGGTGTTTTGTCAGGTGGTGGGTGCGGTGAAACTTCCACAGGCGTTCCGTCTCGTGCGCGGAGCGGTGGAAGATATAATACCAGAAGTCGAGCACAAGAGCATACATGCCGGTCTCGAAAATGAGCCATCCCCATCGGATCGACGTTGGGCCTTCATCGGCGCGATAAGCGAGGAAGACTGTCAACATTGGACGTAACGCTATAACGGATAAGAGTGTCTGCACAGTCTTCCCGACACCCACGTCAGGCACACCATCGCGAGCATGATTGTCCCCGTCAAAGAATCCTATCTCGTGCCCCACACGTCGGAGGACATGTGTTTCGTGCACGGCAATGAATTTCATGGCCAGACTGTAGAAAACAAACGCTAGCAACGCTGAAGGGTGACCGAAATAGCTGATGTAGAGTTGGTGAAGGAGAAGTGGGAGACTAGCGTGAATAAGGACCCAACGATGAAACTGCAGCTCCCGTGCATAAGGGACCTTTTCCGTCTTCTGATGAACCGGGACTTCTCGATCAAGATCGAGATGGTGCACGTTTAGGAAGTCGAGAAGCCAGTGGCCGGCATTCCACTGCGAGCGATGCCACGAACGCCAGGTTGACGTCATAGAGTCCTTCGGGTTACGCATTGGGGCAGCCATCCTAAGTAGCAATGTAGAAGAGTTATGGGCAAAAGAGTGGCAAACACATCTTCTATTACTCGCATTTCACCCAGCGAATCTTATATCCATATTCAACTTTTGGAACACATGTGAGGGGTTGGGTCATCTAGCCAACAGAAGAAGAGTCGTTGGGAACCGAGGTGTGGGTACGTAGATCATGCTACTTTAGTGATCAATGATCTTTCAGCCTGGAGAGTGTGATAATAGTAAATGGGGAATCATACGAAGGCCGATTGATGTGCAAGTAAGGCGTATCTATACAACTGACAACTGATGTTGCAATTTGCTCATATGAGAAGCGAAATAGAGCTGGTAGATTTACTTTTATTGTCATGTTGGTCAGAGCATCTGATACCGAGGTTTGGTTGATTCGTGAACGTGCGACGGCAAAACGGCAACTTAATTTCCGGGCGAGCGGGCCAACCCAAAACACCATAGTAAATGCATGATTTTTACAACTCGATATTTCAACAGATATAGGTTAGTCCCACGTGATTATTGTCATGGTATTATTATAACCGCTACTGCCTAGCGCCTAGAATGTCTCTATATTCTATTTGACGATCTGTAAATCCAAAACACATTTCGTACTCAGAAGATTTAAATGCCAGCCATACAAACCTAAGGGTTTTGCTGTGTAATACTGGTGACGGTGAACCTGCCGCCTAAGGTAGCCATCGGCTCTGAGATCAGGGGGTGAGCCGCTCCCTAAGCACTTGGAGCTAGCCCTAAGCGGGCTCTGAGCAAGCCCTAAGCGATCTCTAAGACTTAGGGAGAAAGATATTTAGTGTTTAGCTTAGAGAATTGTTTGGCAATTATCAATATATAGGAGAAATATGTCCTTTCTAAATAAACTAGAGAGGGTGAATAACACGGGCGTTAAGCAAGGGAAGTGCTTAAGAGAGGAATGGTGGGATGAAAGGGTCATAATAGGGACGTGGGTAGGCAGCTTTACCTAGCCCGCCCAAAATGAAGGCCACTAAGTTATTCCAAAGTTTTCTAAATTCATAGAGGTTTCATTTTCTTTTTAACCCACTATTAGAACCTATACGGGCCAAACTCCCCTCCCTCCCTTTCTTTTTTCGCTACTAGTCGATCTTAGGGTCTCTAATTTCTTACATAGAGCTATTTTCAATGATGCTCTAATCCCCTTCCTTATCAGCCTTCAATGTAAGAAATCCAAGAAACGCATCCAATATTTGAGACTTCACATTAAACTAGATACCTTGCCATCGGGCCCCCTTTAATATTGTGATAAATAGACTAGGTCTAGCGATTAGTCTAGCTTCTTATATTAGGGTTGAGGTAAGTGATTATCTACTAGGATTGAGGAGTTTGTATGATTGTCGAACCAGATTCCATCGCTAAGTCCAAACTTATCTTCGGAAGCGTCGATTTTGTATAGCTCTAAGATTATATCACAGACATAGTCTTCAACAGCGATTCGCTCGTATGTCTCGACACCTTATTCACTACTATAATGCTCTTATAATCTACTAACTAATATTCCCAAGGCTAAGCAGCTCTACGTGTCCCTTAAGCCTACAAGATCTCAGACATCTCAAATATTAGATCTCTTATAGAAGAATATATAGTTTAATAGAATCGCTAAATCTTCACTCTTAAGCTTAGCTCCTCAGCTCCTAGACGGGTGTAGACATATAGACATATAATACGTACGAGGTAGGTTAGCATCATACCTATTATAACGTTATGCTTTTATGCTCCGAGGAAATGCAAAGCCAGCCGCTGGCAAGCATAAGAACGAAATAAGGCCATCTTTCACTCACACCTCAGAAATAACCTATTTACTTTGTTCAGAACGGGTTGACTGTTGAGACAATGACATCTTGCGTAGTCCCTCAGAGCCGGATGCTCTTATCCATACGACCATCCAAATTCGTATTCGGAGAAGCCAGCTGTGCAAGTAAAAATGGGTCACTGTGGTGCTCTGCGCTTAGATAACCGGCAACTGAATTTTTGGGCGTCTTCTCTTTCTGTTGCTGTTGTATGGGGTAGTTAAGCGGCGAGAGTATTTTTGCTTGCTATGGATCAAAAGGACATGCATAGTGGGAATACAGGAGCAGATGAGCGCAAATCCTCCTTCGCCGTTTCTTTAAAGTTAATGTCAATAATTTCATTATTAGTCTTTTGATTTTTTTTTTCTGAGGCTAACTCACCCGGAAAGCAGAACTCTCATATAAAGCGCTGTCGAAGGACTTTTTGCATGAGTCACTAGGATAAGTCGATAGATACTAAACCCAATCGCGAGACCTCCACAACCTAGCATCAGAGCCGCTTTCAACTTCTTAGTGCCCGACAAGTTTAATGGCATTGTTAGCGTTAGGGGCAGAAGTAGGATCGCCATATCGGTCACAACGCTCATAACTGCATCCGCAATGATCACCGCTACTCGATTGAAGCAATGGTAATCATCGTCGAATTCCTCCCAGAAGAACGAAATTGGGCTGCAAATAAAGACCTTGATAAAAAAAATGATCGTATAGTAAATGACGACAATAGCGAGTACTGAATACACACTAATGACTTGGATCCGGTGAAGTGTGAAAATTCTCGCGAGAATTGAAAGTAAAGTCAGCTTGACAAAAAGGACCAGCGGTGCATAGATCACAGTCAAGACATAATACAACTATGTTCATACTGGTCAGATGCTAAAGTTAGACAATGAGGTAGATCGTCTACTAGACCTTATAGACCCGTATTTTCTGAGATTGGGTCAACGACGTTGACAATTCGCTTCCTGCAAAGGCTCCGTCTAAAGGATAAATGAAGGTTAGTCAGAGTATCGCTCTAGAGGTAAGTAAATGAAGGAGCGTGGGCCTACATAGAATCACGCAGATGCAGTACGTCAGAAACAGAATCTAGGGGCCAATACAAATCAGATAGTCCTTCGGGTTTTAGAGATAGTGTATGTACCCAGGACAGAAAGCAGAAGCCCGTAGAACTGGTCAGCCTCACGCCCATGGACCTTGTCCAGGAGTATATCAAACAAACCATCTTCAATGTCGACATGTCGCTTCCACTTCACTATCACCAACAACCGGAGCCCAACGAATACGGAAACAATCGTCACGCACAGAATCTGCGTTACTAGGCTGATTTTTCGAAGATCTTCATCAGGTTCCTGTCGCATCTTAGACAATCAGGTGGTCTCGCTTTGCGATAAGGTCAATTAAGCGCCCTAAAGGTAATTTCGTTAGGTTGAAACCAGCTTCAAAGGAAGGACGTACGTATTGGCAGATAAGGTCCTTTCTGGTTATTGACGTCATGGACGACCCCAGATTGAAAGCGGCGGCCTCTCTTCTCTTTGGAGCACGTGTAAGAGAATTGTATTGTTATGGAATTGTATGGTTCCGGTATTTATGTACAGGTCTAGTCCTGATGTAGTTAGTGCGTTGCATGATGACAAAGCGATACAGCATCAAAAGCGAAGCTCCAACACATCCAATCCTGAGGGATTAATGTTGAGATACGGAATGGGCGTATTCACTAGCAATCTACCAGTTACAGTGGCACTGCAAAAGTCTGTGACCACCTCCCAACCGCCTTTTTCAGCGCCCTCCAAATTAGACTAGTAGAACGCGTCGCGAACAGTACAGTTTAAGACTATTATGATTATTACTGTCAGTGCAATTATCCACCTGGTAATTTACAATGTGATCCAGCTGCTGCATTCCTAGCGCTTATTCAGCTAACCGCCACTGTCTATTATGGAAACTGGCGCCCGATGTGGAATTTACACGTCCATTTTCCACTCCGACAATTCCCGCCTGTCTGCTCTATAAATACAGTCAGAATAGCTAGTCTGAATAACATCGATTTCATCATTCTCCAATGAGACTACTAGGTAGAATTACTAGTGCATACGCCTATCAGACATACTGACAATTACCATCATTAACCATGCCTCACGTGCGATCTTTTCCTCGACCACGGCCAGTACTAAGTGGCCCTCTGCTTACTAGTCTAAGCAACCTTTATCACCCCTTAATATTGCCCTAGGATGTTGGTATTGCGAGCTAGACGTTAATCTTCGAACACAAATTGTTACGCTAAGAGAGACTACTGAATAGTCATATAGAGAGATCCATAAGAAGTTCCCTGATCTTCGACTATCGACTATTGAAATGGCATGTCTATGATCGCGTATTCGGCATAAAGAAGAGTCTTTAAGGCGATCTAGACGCCTGAAAGTCCTTAATGAGAATAACCGTCAAAAGATCCTTGGATAGATATACGAAGAACCCTAAGTCACGTACGACGACCTCTCGAATCTGCTGTCCGTTGGCGTTTCCGTCCTCCGCAGGTAGGTTGACAGCTAACTCAAAAGTCATACCACGTCTTATTTCTTGCCAAAGGTCTGAATCAGACGAGTTCTGAAAAACCGTGAATGAACTTACCATCATATCTTTCCTGAAATTCCGATAACCATGACGAATTTTCCTCAGCCGGCGTGTCCAATGAGCACAAAAGCTGAAGCAACTCATTTAAAAAGAAGTAGTCCTTATATTTCACGGACCCGAACGAACTGTAAACCAATATCAAGATTGCTGAGACCCCGATATGTCCATAGGCGGTATGTTCGCAAGCAAGAAGTCGAATTCCGTGCTTGATGCCATGTAGCGTCAAACCCTTATCGTTGAATTTGTGAGTGTTTGCCTGCAAAAAGTGGTTGATACGGCCATTTTGATCGTCCACTTGTAACAGATCTTGACAAAGTTCGGATACTCTTGAAGTGTTGAAGGTCTTTTGCTCTGCTCCCATTCGCCGTACTCCATGGCAAGGACCTTTGACCTATGGCCCGTCGAAACTTGGCTTTAAGCGAACGAGTACTTGAACGAAACTTGATGTCGTTTACTCGAGGATCCTCCCAGGCCCAATCATTCCCGCATCCATTCATAGATCAGTTTGGGAAGATAAGTAATTCTTTATCTTTTTGGGCCTTTTCGAATCACCTAGGCCCTGTAGTAAGTGCCGAGCTTCTAACGCAAGATTTCAATCTCATCATAAACTAGGTCGTTCATTTCATCGGATATTGGGGTCGACTGTTGGGACAAAGACGTCCTCGAGCTGCCATTTTGAGTCGTCGGTTGAGAATCAGTAAAGGAGATCTGTGTCAGGACGACAGAAGACTGTAGTTATTTCCAAGAACCTAGAGGTCTGACATTGTTCGTTGTTCCTAATATTTCAAGGTACAGAAATTGACCTATGAAAGCAACGAATATGTCTTGCAAGTTGTGATAAGTACACGCTCATTGTATTGTTCTTTCTCCTCAACAAACTAACGACAAGAGTTCCACAACGGAGTGTTTCTCCAATCCACGGACCACATCCCTGATCTCTGCTGCTCTCGCTTCTCCAAAAACCGGGCTCAAAAGGTCGAAGAACTTGGCCTCGACCTGGTTAGTGGTGAGCGGATGCTCCGGTTCGCCGAGCGGAAAAGGGATGTCCAGCTGTTGATCCTTCCCGTCGGCATACCAGATCTGCATCTTCGCACCCATCCCCGTCACGGCAGGGTCAACCGTGCAGGTGATCTTCTCTGATAATTCGTGGACAGCCGGATCCCGGAGTCGTTCAAAGCATCGAACGCCCGTGTTGGACCCGTACAGCCACGCATGGGCGGTTTGAAAGTATGCCGAGAACTGGGCGTCCACGACGTTGTCTGGATGGATCTTGTTCGGGACGCGTGTTCCGACCACGCTGTGATTCGCCGCGCTGAGGGACACCATGATGGCCTGGACGTCTCGTTGGCGACACGACGAGCCGAGGCGGCCGGCCACCTCGATCAAGCCATGGGTCATCCGGCAGGCCGGGAATGGCTTCAGGGCCGTTTCGAGACACGTCCATCGGACCCCGAGGCCGGCGCAGAGAGACGCCAGGTCGGGGTCGACTTTTGGACTGAACGCGTGCAAGAAGCCAAACTGGCCTTCGATGCTCTTTGATGCCCCGACCACCCCGGCCTCAGCGAGAGCAACGCAAACGAAGGCGTCATGGACCGCAAATCCTGGGTGGAGACGTTTGTTCCAGCTCCCATTTTCCAGATATTGCATGGACCCCGCGGCCTTCGAAACAGCCAGCCCAAAAGCATTTTCGATCGCGTCGGTCGACAACCGCTTCAGAACGGCAATAGTGGCTACAGCACCGAAGATGCCTGCGGTTCCCGTGTTGTGGAATCCGCGGGAATACGCATCGTTCCCCAATGCCCGTCCAAGGCGACAGATGATCTCGTATCCCACCAGAACCGCGAGCAAGAACCGTTTGCTATCAACCAGCGCACTTCCCAGTGACTCTGCCTGTGCTAGTCCGGCAGAAAAAGCAGTGGTTCCGGCATGTAAGCTTCCCTCGGCGTACGTATCATCAAAGTCCATCGAATGGCCGAAAGTCGCATTGAGCAGACCGGCCATCTGCGTCGTAAATTTTCGGCCCTTGAGGACCACGGTGTTTGAGCCGCCTGCAGCGCCGAGGGCCGCAATCCCCTGGTAGATGGGCTCGGTGGACTCCCAGTCGTTCGCTGCCGCGATGGTGACACCCAAGTAGTCGAGCAGGTACTCCTTCAGCCGATCCATGAGGTCCACCGACAGAACTTGAGGATCCACATTGGCGATGAAATTCGCCAAGTTCCTCGTCACCGTGATCGTTTCCCTGGGGCCAGCGTAGGTTTCGCTTTCTCTCGTCGTGACCCCGTTGGTAACAGTAGTGCTATGCATGGCAAACCCGTTAAGTTGACCGTCCAGGACCTTTGGTATGTAAACATGACCATCCATGAGCCGCCTCGCCGTGCGGACAAAGGAAAGGGTTCTAAACGATGGGGTTGTCGATACCGTCGTATTGTCGGTCTCGACCGCAACCGACATGATGCCCAGAGGATGAGCAATATGGAGAAAACCCTCACTGGTCTGCTTCTCCCCGACTTGCTGGAAGACCACGGAGCCTTTAATTCGGCTACAGGCTGCGAATGCCATGGAACCAGTTCCGGCCATGCTCTCGTGACACATATTGTCGAGAAACAGTCGACCGGATACATGGCTCTTTTTGTCCCGCGGAGGAGGGGCCAACAGAATGACCATCGGGATAAAAGGAGATTGCTCGTCTACCTTGGTCCAGTCTTGGCACATTCCCACCATCTGCGCGGCCTTGCCACGAAGTTCACTGACTCGGGTCAAGAGCAGGGCATTTCCTGTCAAGTCCGCTGCGGACTCGTGGCCGGTCACGTCGAAGTCGGCCGCGTAGGCGAAGATGTAGACATTGGCAACGTCGCAAATAGTGAATGAGACCGTCTTGTCCTCTACCTGGACGTGGTCCAGCGGACGGCCAGTCGGGAGAATGCCACTGTTCAAGCCCGCTCCAACGGTCTCGCGATAATCTAGCATGATGGGCGCTCCAGTGCCGGGCACCGCCGCAATCTCGACGGCGCCTTGCGTGACGGAGCGACCCCACTTGTTGACGGGGACATGAGCAACCATGACCTTCTGTGTGCCCGTGTTAAAAATGCGGACTTCCTGCGTGTGGAGGTCCCCGGACCAGGATTTGCCGGCCCGGAACGACAAGACGAAACCTTCATCGATGGCATATGGACCTACGGCGGCAGATATATTGCCGCAGTTGAGCTTGTAGTCGATCGCGTCGTCGCGAACTCCCACCTGGGCAAAGGTGTAGTCAACATCCACGCCCTCTCTCGTAGACGGTGAGAGGATGGCGATCTTGGACGTCACGGCCTTCGCTCCGCCCATGCCATCCACCTGTATGGGGTCCGGCGTTCCCATCAGACGCTTCAAAACCAGGTCTCGAGCTGGACCTGGAGGGGGAATATCACGCTCGTGGAGGAAGATGGCCTTACTCGAGCCGCCGCGCATGTACACGGCGGGAATTCGCACCTGATCATCCTGATCATCCAGACCCATCGTGAGTGTTTTCAACTAAGAGAATGGGACAAACATGAAGACAGATCTAATTCTAATGATTCTTCCTTCTTGATAAATGATCTACGAGTGATTCTTGACTGTGGGGTAATATAAAGCCGACAAGCAAGAAAAATGGCCTTATTGCGACGCAGCTCCCCCACTTGACCGAAGACTGAGTCGGTGGGGTAAAACAATGTCCATCTTCTCCAGCAATGGTCGAGCTTACTATGAGAAATCAGGACTGCGCATTAATTGTGGACTGTATTAAACTGGCAGTGCGCGAAATCCCCATCTCTACATCTTGCGATATCCAAGACCCTGCTGACACGGTGAGTTGGTATCATTCTTGAGCTGAGCTTTAGGGCTCATTGTTATTCAGGTTTAGATACCCTGTATATTTTTTTCTAAGGTAGCTATGGCTTCTATCGGCATTGATAGACCTACATCTGCAGCGACGACTCTCCGCCGCAAGATTGAATCAGGGGAATTCATTCTCGCTCCGGGGGTCTACGATGGCTTTTCCGCACGAATTGCCCTAGAAGTCGGTTTTGACGCATTATACATGGTACCTCAATGTCACCTTCTATTGATTTTCATCTTCTCTGGACTGATCAAGGATCTAGACCGGAGCCGGCACGAGCGCCTCCATGCATGGCCACGCCGACCTAGGACTGTGCACCTTAAATGATATGCGCCAGAATGCGGAGATGATCGCCAATCTGTCCACATCCACGCCACTGATTGCGGACGCGGACACGGGCTATGGCGGACCCATCATGGTGGCGCGAATGACCGAGCAATATGCACGCTCGGGCGTGGCGGCCTTCCACCTGGAGGACCAGATCCAGACCAAGCGATGCGGCCATCTCGCCGGGAAGATACTGGTGGACTCGGATACCTACGTGAGCCGCATCCGCGCGGCCGTCCAGGCGCGCAGGAGAATCCAGAGCGACATCGTCATCATTGCCCGGACGGATGCACTGCAAAAATTCGGCTATCAAGAGTCCTTGGCTCGCTTGCGTGCCGCGCGCGACGTCGGCGCCGACGTCGGTTTTCTTGAAGGCGTACGGTCGGTCAAAGAGGCCCGTCAGATCGTGACCGATCTGGCTCCGTGGCCGGTGTTGCTGAATATGGTCGAACATGCGTCGACCCCAACCGTTTCGGCGGCGCAGGCGCGCGAATGGGGTTTCCAGATCATGATTGTCCCATTAGTAACGCTGGCGCCGGCCTACCAGGCGATCAAGGAGGGCTTGGAGAACCTCAAAGCGACAGGTCTGCCGAATACGGCCTTCTCGCCTCAGCAGCTCTTTCAGGTGTGTGGATTGGACGAGTCGGTCCAGATCGATTCTGCGGCAGGAGAAGCCTCTTTGGTTGATCTCAAGCATCGTCTGTAGGAGACATCCAATCGATCAATCAATCAATCAATCAATTATTTTAGGCGCATTGAGAAAAGGTTGTCCATGACTTTGCAAAAGCGGTAACAAAGCGGACGAAGACGAGACGCAGGGTAGCGGGGCGAGAAGAAGAGGACGCTGTCGGGTCAGAAACGCCTGCGGGATCATTCATTTTCTCTAGAGATAACTATTGCTATGCTCGTATTACTCATCATTATCATTTATTTATCATATTTTCTCCCTTTGGGCAATAAGGGAAGTGAGGCTAAAGGGCGTGGTATAGATACTCCGCTGAGATGTTTGGGGTCTGCCCCCCACTGGTTAGTGGCAAATCCCACACAAAAACGAGAGCAGAATGACAACTCGACATTGATGATGGAGGCCTGTCTACCACCGGTTGGTGGCATTTGTGTACATACTGACATATAATATAGACGGGATAGAAACTAGTTTCGTCATGCGCTTCAGGTCGTGTCGTGACTTTATAAGATCACTAGAGTATTTGATCTGTAAGAGCGTCCAGGTTCTGTGTTGGGTGCGTTGAAGTCAAAGACCATCCTGGAGTCTGGCCACAAGACATGTGGTTTATATCTGAATCGATCTTACTTCTTTAGAAAAGAAAAAAGTAGAGTGCCGCTAGGGGACTCCGGAAGTATCAATTTATAGTGATTTCTTATGTAGATGTCCAATTATGGGAACTACCGAATCGGGAAAATTGGAAACTCTATCTGGGACAATTTAAATAGGCGAACTACAGTTTCGCTCCCACGAAAGAACCCGGGATCGGAATCGACAACAGCGGCGCATGTTGCTGCGTGCCAAACGTATCTCTCTCGCCGAAGCTGCCCTGAGGCCATGAGCGTCTCAGGGTACATTTCCAGCCCAAGGCCGGCTCGAAGAACATCAACGTGATGATGTCCTCGTCGAGCGCACGATAAAGTTTCTTGATCGTCTCCGCATTCAGGACGCCACTCTCCTTCACGCGATGGAAATGCTCGGCCCGATCGAACAGGATGTCTAGCGTGATTTCGAAGGGTCCTGAATTCTTTGACCGGACGATCGACGCGATGTCCTTGATGGTGCATGGTCCTGAAGGTACATTCTTCGGTGGACGCTCACGCGACTGCGATGAGACTGTCTTTCCGGTTGGGTTGGGTTTGGGATTGGGATTCGCATTCAGTTTCACCACCGGGACGACCTTCTTCATTCCCACGGTCAGAGTGTCGATGGAGAACAAGGCCAGTGGATCAGCAATATCGAGCAGATGGTAGATGCTGAACTGGAATACCGGGCCGGCTGACTGCTCCAAGGGCGTCAGAGGGGATGCCAGATTCCCACCCGTGGCGATTTGTCCCTCGTATGACCCGTGCAGCATAGTGACGCGGGCGAATCCAGCCACCGCATCAGCATCTTCCTGAGTAGGCGCCAGCACTTCTCCCAGGATGCCCAGTTCATGGGGATCCGAGCCCTTCATCGACTCCAAGGGGCCCATCACTCCGTTTCGGCCGTAGACGTGAAAGACGAGCCGACAGGTGTCGCTGGCGTTGACGGACGGAAACGCCTGTTGGACGGTCTGCTGGACCAGTCGCAGAAAGTCGTCCAGGCCCTGGATCAAAATGGGGTCCCGGATCCCACCGATAAAGATAGTGCGGTGTCCTAGATGTTTGACCCCCTCGAGCTTCACTTGGTACAACGGAGCGGGGACAAACGTAGCTCCTTTAACAAGAACGCTTCGACCGTCCGGTTGCTGCCGATAGATGGCCCTGTCCAAAAAGAGGGAGCCTCCAGGACCTGGAAGCCGATCGGGTCGGGTCTTTTCATAGAAGGTGTGTGCGGCTACCGAGAGAGGCGTGCATCGTTCGGCGGGGCTCGACGGGCTCAGGACAAAACTGTCTCGATGCATGGTCGCGACCATGGAGCGACCCTTGGGCAAGGCACATAACCCGCCACATTCCATGATCTTTCCCATGTGCCATGCCGAGGACCGCTCCACGCCATGGTGCATCGCAAAGGCGGCAAAGGGGGCGGGGTCGTAGGAACGACCGGCCATGATGATATCAATCGTGCTGTCCTCGAGCACCTTCAAGAAGGGCTCAGCGCCCATCTGGCCCACAATTTGCGAAGCATCGGCAACGTCTTCTTCGCGTAATTGTGGTCCAGGGCCACAAGGAGAAGTCGCGCTGAATCGGACTTTGCTGCTGAAGAGCGACCGATCATCCCTGAACTTGATGGTAGCGATCTTGAAGGACCATCCGTGTTTCTCGGCCAGTTCCCGAACGATATCGACCATGAAGTCTACTTGGCTGTTCGTTCCGGCACCGCCCGCCGACCCGACCAGCAGCTTCATCCCGTACCGCGCACTCGCCTCCAGCATTGGGGCCATGTCCCGCAGATAGGAGGCCCGGGAACAGATCGTTTTGTCGGTCCCCAGCATATACGGCCCGGGGTCGGTGGAACCGCCGTCGACGATGATGGCGGCGGGTCGAAGTGAGTTAACGGTCGTCCAAAATTCGTCAAGGTCATACCCATAGCCCAGGATGGGCGACGGAGTGAAGATTCGGAAGGATTCCATCGGGAAGATCTTCAAGTGATTTGATGTTATTGCTCGAAAGAAGCAAAACACGACAAGTCGATGGATGATATCTCACCCACCAGTGGCAAATCATCCGGGGTCCTATCCCGCTTCCAAGGCCACACCCCACTGAAAGGTGCTGATCGACTGGAAACAAATTTCGGGTAGCATGCAGCCTAATGCGTAGAGACATACCATCCTGGGATATCATCGGCTTGCGGAGATGTGGTCCCCATCTCGGTGGGGTATCTCATCAACCCCACTGGTATCAAACGTGTATTAAAGGAACGCGCAAACGATGGTGTCTGTGGACAGAATCGCCGAAACTATTATCATTGTCAAAAATCAAAATGCCTTCGAGTGTCATCAGCAAGCCCGTGATCGAACATTTCGTTCCGGTGAAGCCTACGAAGAAGGATCTGCAATACGCCGAACTGGTCCAGCTGGACCTCTCCACATTTGACGATGGCGACGATGCGAGGCGCAAGCTTGCGAAGCAACTGGACCAGGCGATGCGCACCCAGGGCTTTTTTTATGTCATCAATCACGGGCTGAAGATCGAAGATATCAACCGGCAGGTTGACATCGGACATCACGTCCTGACCAAAACTCCGTTGGCGGAAAAGCAGCGGCTGGAAGGGAAAATGAAGCAGGAGGGGGACTACCAGGGATTCAAATTGCGCCAGTACTGGACCATCGACCAAGGGGTCAAGGATCAGATTGAGCAGTACAACTGGAATCGCAACCTGACTTTGCGGGAGCACCCGTCGACGTTTCTACCCTTCCGGGACGAGATCGAGGTCCTGAATCAATACGTGCACAAGCAGATCCTGTTCCGGCTCCTGCGACTCTTTGCAATCGCCCTGGAACTGCCAGAAGATTTCTTCGTGAATCTGCATCAGTACGATGTTGCCGATCTCTCGTGGTACCGATATATGATGTTCTTTCACGAGCACGAGGCCGGTGATATGACGAAAACGAAGGGGGTCTGGCTCAAGGGTCATTGCGATTTCGGGTCCCTCACCCTCTTGTTCAGTCAACCCATGGCGTCGCTGCAGTTGATGGATCACCACAGTCAGCAATGGCGGTGGGTGAAGCACATTCCGGGGGCCATCGTGGTCAACGCCGGCGAAATGTTCGAGTGGTGGACGGGGGGGTATTACAAGGCCACCATCCATCGAGTGTGTCAGCCCCCAGCAGACCAGCGCAACCAGGATCGATGTGGACTTTTCTATTTTGTCGTTCCCAACAGCCACGTGAAGATCAACACCTTGTTGGACGAGTCTCCGGTTCTTCGACGGGCGGGCGTTGAACGCAAATTCGAACCTGGCACCGAGCCCACATCCGAGTCATACAGTCGAGCCCGGATCGGCGCATATGGGACGTCGGCGCTGTTTACCCAGAAGGGGTCTGGGGTGCAAGAGGAGCTGGTGGGGGGTGTGAAGACCAAGCATTATAACTGAGCTGGAGTTTACTTTTTTTTTTTTTTTTTTTCAGTGGTCGTGGTTAATTGTCTATATACGTACTTTCATCTAGGAAGAGTGCCTTGGCACCCGGTGCCTTTTCAGTCGAGTGGAAAAAGTCCCAACATATACTACAGACTGTCAATCCAAATTAACCTGTATCCAATCTCAATTATTCACTATGAAATTAAAAGAACAGGTAATGTCATTGTTTTCTACTGGTGTGTATCCAATAGAAAGATAGATTTTCCCAGCTCTGTTTTAATATTCATGTCTAACGGAAAACATTAATCGAGACTAGATCGTGTAGCGATAGCTCGGATGCAAATGGCCCAGCCATTCGATTCCATGATCCCGTAGTCGATAGTCTCGCTCCCCTCGTTCGCGTTTGCCGTTTTCCCACTTGATATAAGCAATATTGACCCCAGTCGTGATAATGGCAAGAATCAGAGCTCCAATATTGATAAAATTGCCAAGTCGAAATTCTGGCCTAGAACAGATTCTTAATTTAGATGTTTATTTTGGTGGTTTTGGTTTTTTGGGGGAGGGGGAGGAAACTCACGCGTCCTGAGGCAAGTACGCAAAGGTGGCCACAAAGGCTGCCAGATTGGCCACCGCGATTTGAAAGCCTCCGGCCGTCGCCCTGGCATAGTGCGGGGTGATTTGGTTGGCCAACCATCCCAGCGTGATGGGCGAACAAGGATAGATCCCTGCGGCGACGAAGAAGGTGCCGCCATACCGGGTGGTCGGCTCCTTTCCGACGAGCAACATGACATACCCGATGATAGCAAGGAGACAGCCTCCGATGAGCAGCGGGCCTCTGATATTGACCTTGTCGGATAATGCGGCCAGCAACAGGACGGTCATGAATCCGGCCATATTGGGCGGAACCGTCAACAGTTGAGAGATCAATGGGGAGTACCCTAGGGTGTTGATAATGGTCGGCAGAAAAAAAGCGAAACTCTGATGGTATATGTCATTATACTGAAGAACGAAGGATGAAGGGTATACGTACGTATATTGGAATGATGATAGCCAAGTACCCCAGGGCGTTGAGAAGGGTGTTGGGGTCGAGAATGCCAATTCTTACCCAGTGCCAGTTGAATCGATTTTCGCGGGAATAATCATGTCTCGCATGGGCATGGAAATCCAGGATCATTCTCTGGCTGGCTGCCTCTCGCTCTTCTGCGATCAGAAAAGAGGCCGTCTCCGGGCTGTGAGGTAGAAAGAACCACGACGAGATGCCGAAGACCGTCGTCAATGCTCCTTCAATGAAAAAGATCCAGGGCCACCCTATGTTCAGCATTAGATCTGGCCAGATTCATGGTCGTGATCAACGCACGATTATAACCTCCACACTGGATCTGTGATAGACCAGAGGCCAGAAGACCGCCAAACGCACCGCTCAATGGTGCGGCACAATAGAACAGAGCAATCCGGAGAACCATCTGTCTTCGAGGATAGAAGGTGGACAGATATAGGACGATTCCCCCGGCCAGACCACCTTCAAAGATGCCGAGGACGACTCGAGCTGCCACCAACCCCCCGTAGGATTGCACAAACCCGAGAAAGGTGCTGACAAGGCCCCAACCGACGGTCAATGCGGGGAGATAGTTGCCTGGCTTGAGTCGTTTCACCAGCCAATTGCTCGGCACGTCCACGAGGATATACGGAACGAAAAACAATGTCAGTGCGACATTGAACTCGTCGCCCGTCAGATGAAGGTCTTCGTCGAGGCCTTCGATTTTGGCATTGCCAATATTGCTTCGGTCTAAAAAGCAAAAGAACCACATGCCGAACAGCCAGGGGAGGATGTGGAAGTCCAACTTCCGCACAATACCGTGTTCCAGCGCCGGGTCGACGTCCGGCACACTCTCGCCGCCATCTTTCACTGGTTCGTGGATAGAGAGGATTTCCGTCATTTTGGTGAGATAGTCCAAGATTTGACCCGAAAATCTGGGGAAATCTGGGGAAGGATCGATATTAGAGAGTCAAGGGTTGTTCCTACATTCCCCACCGAGCGAGCTGCATTAGCTGCATTGGAGATAACTATACCTGACCCGCATAGCCACCCATCCAACTGGTCTCGAGTTTCTGTGTGGTCATTGGAAGAAGAATACCTTGAGTCCACCGTCGATACCTACCCCACTCTCTTCAGGGGACATTTTTCTCAATCGCACATGGGTGGGGTCCGTTGTCTCTCTCCAGATGAGGATAATTTGATTGAGTCTAAACTTTGTTATAGTGGTCGTCCTTTGCACTACCCAGGACTGCCATTTTCACGGGTCATTCTACTCCCAAGAGAAAGATCAACAATGTCCTCGTATTCCCAAGATATCGTTCAAGAGCTCTCCCTTCGCGATCCGGAGGCGTTCTGGAGTCATCATGCGAAGCAGTTGCACTGGCATCGCCGTCCTTCTCAGGCTCTTCGACGGACTACCAAGCACTTACCAAACGGAGTCAGCCATGAACACTGGACGTGGTTCCCTGACGGCGAAATTTCAACCACGTACAACTGTATTCACCGCCATGTCGACAATGGCCACGGGGAAAACGTAGCCATCATATGGGAATCTCCGGTATCGGGGCGCAAGCAAAAATTTACCTATCGCCAGCTTCAGACTGAGGTGGAGCTTTTAGCCGGAGTCTTACGCGAGGAAGGAGTCCGCAAGGGAGACGTTGTCCTCATATACAGTAAGACAACAACCCCAAACTAGAGAAATCTCTAACGAGAGAGCAGTGCCTATGATCCCTGCTACCATGATTGCAGCTCTGGCCACCGTCCACCTTGGAGCCATCCATGCCGCGGTCTTTGGTGGCTTTGCATCGACCTCTCTCGCACAGCGCATCGAGGCGGCCAGACCAAAAGTAGTCATGACCGCTTCCTGTGGTATTGAAGGCTCAAAAGGTCCACTGGCCTACCGTCCGCTCGTCGAAGGAGCCCTTACAAAAAGTGTCTTCAAGCCGGAGAAGGTGATCATCTGGCAAAGAAAGCAGCTACTATGGAACGATCTCGACGAGGGACGCGGTCAGAGAGACTGGCAGAACCTGACTGACAGCGCGCGTCTGCGAGGAGTGAAAATGGAACCGGTTCCCGTCAAGAGCGATGATGGCCTATATGTCATTTACACCAGTGGTATGTCATGTTGACACGATGGAAAGAGAGGGACTGTGTGTGTGAGTGGGTGAGCGAGAGAGATGCTAACGAAGAGCTTAGGCACAACGGGGCAACCTAAAGGGGTGCTGCGGGAAGCTGGGGGTCATGCGGTTGGACTACATCTTTCCATTCAATATATTTTTGGTTTGCGCGGTCCAGGCGATGTGATCTTCTGCGCTTCCGACATTGGATGGGTCGTGGGCCACTCCTATATCCTGTATGCTCCCTTGCTTGCCGGGGCCACGACCATCCTCTACGAGGGCAAACCGATCGGTACACCCGATGCTGGAGCATTCTGGCAGTTAGTGGAAGAGCATCGGGTGAATGTGCTCTTCACTGCTCCGACGGCCCTTCGGGCCATCTGCAAGGAGGATCCCGACAACCAATTCTTCCACACAGTGGGAAGACGGGACGGTCTGAGGTCGTTACGGGCTCTGTTCCTGGCGGGGGAGCAGAGCGGATCCAAGCTGATTGTGACGTTCCAGGATCTCCTGAAGAAATATGCCGCTCTTGGAGCGGTGGTGATCGATAACTGGTGGTCGTCTGAGTCGGGCTCGCCAATATCCGCATTGGCGTTACATAGTCCGGCTGGCCAGGTTGATGACTCTCCTGGCGAGGTGGCGAGACCGTTGCCCGTGAAGCCTGGATCGGCTGGTAAACCCATGCCAGGTTTCGACGTCAGGGTCGTGGACGATTCGGGCAAGGAAGTCCGTCCAGGGACGATGGGGAATATCGTTTTGGCCATACCTCTGGGCCCGACTGCATGTACCACGCTCTTTAATGACCACGACAGATATTACCGGGGGTATCTGAAACGATTCAACGGTCGCTGGGTCGACACGGGGGACGCGGGGATGATTGACCCTGACGGATATGTCCATGTCATGTCACGGTCGGACGACATTATCAATGTTGCCGCTCATCGATTCAGCACGGGTAAGTTTGTTTTTATTATCGTCTTCTTATACTAATTGGTATCTATAGGAGCCATTGAACAAGCGATTCTTCTCCATCCGGATGTCAGTGAAGCCAGTGTAGTCGGCATCCCAGACACTCTAAAAGGTCACCTCCCATTTGCCTTTATTCAGCCTCGTTCGGGGCCGTCGGGGTCCCATTCCATCCCGGCTATCCCTCCCTCGGACTTCTTCCACGCGGTCAATCGACTGGTGCGCGGTCACGTCGGATCCATCGCCTCTCTCGGCGGCATCATCCAAGGTCACGGCATGATTCCCAAAACCCGGAGCGGAAAGACCCTCCGACGCGTGTTGAGGGAGCTGGTCGAGAATGCGGCCCAAGGTCGCTATACGGCTGCAGTGAACATCCCGCCGACGGTGGAGGATCCAGCGGTGGTCGAGGTGGCTCGAATGAGAGTGAAGGCCTACTTTGACGAAAGGAGGGCAAAGCAAGAGCAGGCGAAGTTGTGAATATCTGAAGCATATTGTATTGTGGATATATTGGTGAAATTATTTTAATATATTTGCAAATTAAGCCCTAGCTCATATCATTTTCTCAGTGCTTTTCTCTATTGGCGAATCTTTTATATGTAGCTTCATGTCAACGTAAAAAGGGTACCAAGTGTCCTCCTTAGGAGCACAAGTTCTATTTTTTCAGCTGACACTTCAATACCATGAGGTCCGTCAAGTAAATGGGTCCACCACGACGCTTGCCCCTCCCAATCCTATTTCACTAGTCAGGGAGAGACTGAGAACTCCCCTCATTTGTAGCAGAGTCAATCGGCATCTTTCCGTCGGTACCACAGCCGAGCGGGGTTGAGTGGGGATCCATCTATCTTCCCCACATCCACCAGGTGCTCGAATCAGAGAATGTGAATTTGTAAATAGAACAAAGTCAACCGCTTCCAAGGAGACAGCCTAAAAGGTGTATATATAAAACTGGAGACTTAAAAGACAAGTTTCAGTTGCTTTGCACTATATATGAAGAAAAGCGCTTTATATTACCTTGCCGTCCTTCGAAAGCCATGGCTGCTTCAACCACATTTACCACGAATCTGCTGCTTTCAATGAGACGACACTGCTCCACCCACCGAGGTCTGCAACAGCCCACCCGAGCAGAACAGGCGGTCGTCACTACGCTGCTAACTTCGATGATGGTGCTGCCGTTTGTGCCACCTGCCATTAAAAGCAAGGAGGAGCGAGAACGGGGCTATCCAAACGTCGAGAAACGGGGTGTGCCGCCATGCTGTCATTGACAGGAAAAATCACACCATCCTATGCGGTGGTACAAGGCCTACTCACATTCAGAAACGTACTCGCCTTCAAAGAGAGAGAAAGCAAGAATCGGCGCGGCAAACCGCGCAGGAGATTCATTACAGGTCCTGCATGTTCTCGATACGTTATTATATTTGTTTTTAATGCCTGCAAAAGATCGCTAGGATATGAGTCTATCAAAAGCCATCATGGAACTAAATTACACTATACCGAACTCTAAAGGGAACAAAATTTTCAGATTACTAGCAAGAAACTCGAATCACTACCTTTCCAAAATTCTGTTGCTCTTCAAAGTATCGGAGCGCTCCTCTCGCCTCCTCAAACGGGAAGATCTTGTCCACGACGGGCCGGATCCGATGTGTATCAATCGTCTGGTTCATCTGTTTGAATTAGGTCCTCGATCATACTATGATCCTCCGTAAGATGGCGAGACCGGAGATGGCATCCTAGATAGTCAACTAGGTAGAATTATTACGGGTGCCTCGGTGGGGTGCCGCGTTGACCCAATTATGCGATAGATCAACGCTTCTACTAGAGAATCTAATTCATCCAACCTACGAACGTACATTTGCATCAGGCGAGTTTCCGGGCTTTTTGTAATCAAATCATACTCATATTTGTCCTAATTGGATGCTCCCGGATGGGGAGCTCCAGTGGGGTGGGAGAGTGGGGTTCCATCCAAACCCTAGTCCTCCGACGTAAATTATCAGCCATCGGATATATCTGGAGGATCAGACCGTTTCATTGAGATTAATGTCATCAGTAATCCTTGAAAGCATCCCGACATGTTAAAAAGTGAGTCGCGCACCGAGAACCTAGTGGCCTGGGCAACTCAACTTCGGTACGATGATTTGCCGCGACCAGTCGTCGAACGGACCAAGGAATTGTTCCTGGACTGGCTGGCTTGCACCATGGCCGGAAGGCATCACCCCGCCATATCAGCCATCGGGACGTTCGTCCAGGAGATGGGACCAGCAGGTGGCCGGAGCGAGATCATCCATGACCCGGATCGATCGACCAGCCCGGCCTTTGCGGCACTTCTCAACGGGGCGTGTTCACACGTCGTGGAGCAAGACGACCTGCACAACAGTAGCATGATGCATCCGGTGAGTTTGGTTGGTAGTATTTTGGGATCGGTCTGATTCAGAATATAGGCGACGGTCGTTTTCCCGACGGCCCTGGCCGTAGCCCAAGAGGTCGGCGCAGATGGTCGATCGTTCCTCACAGCTTGCATCGTGGGCTATGATGTGGCCTGTCGAGCCGGAGAATATCTAGGTGAAAGCCATTACCGGAAATTTCACACCACGGCGACTGCAGGGGTTGTCGGGGCGGCGGCGACGGCCGCGTATCTTCTCCGATTAGATCCAAAACAAATGCTGTCAGCAATCGGAACAGCAGGTACTCAGGCAGCGGGCCTGTGGCAATTCCTCCTCGACGCCAGTCACTCGAAACAAGTGCACACGGGAAAGGCTTGCTTCGATGGTATCTTCGCGGCCTATACGGCCTATTTCGGATTGCTCGGACCGCATGAGATTCTGGAAGGAAAATCGGGCATGTCCTTTGCCATGGTACCTGGCCAGGCCCGTCCGACCGCCCTGGACGACAGGCTTGGAGTGAAATATTCCATCATGGAGTCGAGTTTCAAGTGGCATGCCGCATGCCGGCATACCCATCCCTCGGTTGATGCGCTGCTGACGGTTATGAAGCGCCACAACCTCGGCTTTGATGACGTCGAGACCGTCGTGAGCCATACCTATCGAGCGGCCATCGACATTCTCTCACAAGGCGACAAGGCCGAGACGGTTCATCAGAGCAAGTTCTCCATGGGGTTTGTCCTAGCGGTAGCGGCGAAGAACGGACGAGCTTCCGTGACCGATTTTACCGAAGACGCCTTGAAAGATCCGGCACTGAGGGCGTTTCAAAAAAGAGTCACGATGCAGTACGACCCAGATATTGATGCTGCGTTTCCAAAAGAATGGCAAGGACTGGTTGAAGTGACCACCAAGTCAGGGGAGAAGTTCAGTGAGCGGGTGGAAGTAGTGAAAGGGGATCCTGGTAGCCCATTGACCCGGTATGACATAGAAACACAAAGTACGGACAGCTGCTAATGGGACCTAACAGTGAGGATCTGAAGAGCAAAGCAATCCTGTTATCGAAGTACGGTAAAGTAACAGACACGGAGGCCGTTCATAAGACGATCGAGCGCGTTTGGCAGCTTGAAGGTGAACAGGACGTTCGTGGCTTTGCGTGCTCATAAGGACAGTGGACGTAATTCCTAGTCATGCCGTTCTACGTTAAATATATTCCTTCAAACTGTCGATCCACCGGATCATCCGTCTGAGGTTTTCACCCAGTAGGCCGGCCGCTGCAATAGTCAGTCAGTTGGCATCTTACGAGGGATGTTCAATGTGCAAGGACATACACTGCCAGACCCATCGTTCTCGGAGCAGGTCTTCAACGAGCATCAACGGTAGAACTTCCCGCTGGATCGGCGGTTCATATGCCCCTTCGCTTTCAGTGACCATCTCATCGATAATGCTATTGATGGTTGGATCGGGTTTTTCGGGTTTTCCAAAGATCCGAATCCCCAGTAGGTACCAGGTCAGCAACAGGCCTGTGTTGTCGTCAGCGCAATCGGTCAAAACTGGTAGGGATCTTACCCCCTTCGTATGATGGCAGGGGGCCGTAGCATGCGTGGCTGAGCGATGCGGTCTTCATCAGATGTCGGATTCCCAAACGTACCCGGAGCAAGAGAGACCGCGCCGCTCGCGTGAGGCCTTTGACCAGACGCGGGTGGCAAGGCAGGCTGTAGAGACTTTCCAGGTCGAGCGGAGACGTGTGCAAAGCGGAAGATCGAACGAAAGCCTTGAGCTCTCTCAGCTGGCGGCTGGCGTAGAGATGACAGTACGCGGAGTTCAAGACGAGGATGGAATCGGCCATCAGAGGACCGTGAGGGGCCTCGGGCAAGGAATGGGAATACGGATGTCGCTTCCATGTATCTTCCCACACCCGGAGGGCCGTTTCCAAGGACCCGTCCTCCAACTGGGGAGAGCGCTGAATGTGGTATTCGTTCAAGTTTTCCATTGAACAAATATAGGACAGGATCGCACTGATGATTGCCAAGATGCCAAAGGGAGTGACATCCCCGTCGACTGGCTGACCCTCGATAGTTTTCCGGAAGGATTCGACGGACGATATCTGTGGGCGTGGCGTTTCCTGCCAGTCGCTCGCGGAGGCAGACCATTGCAATTCGGAACAAGGCAGAGGCACGTCCGGTTCCGCAATGCGAAATTTGAAGGCAACCTCTTCTTCATCGCACAGCAGCACGGCGGCCAGCACTCCCGTCCAAGCGATACACCTGCGAGGGTCAGTCAGACACCCGGACAAATCGACGAGACTTTCTTCACGACCTGTGGATGGTCTCTCTCATGAGCCAATCTTCCCACGTATTCCCCGACGCAGCGCTAGCAGCGATCTTGGCCTCTTGGGCGAGCTGGAGCAGGTCAAATCAAAATCAGCTTATGACGAAGGACTCACGAGATTGACTTATCAACATACCGCGGGGAGTCTGGCGAAGGCCAACCGAGCTTGACGTTGGAGGATAGAGTCACCGCTAAACAGGCCAAATTGGCAAGAGAGGAGTCTCGTTTGGAATTCCCATAACTGAAAGGTTGCTTCTTTCTCACCAACCGTGACCAACTCATCATGCTAGGATTAACGTCAGATTCGCAATCCAGGACATGGTACCAGCTACGGAACACCTACCTCTGCAAGCAACTTCAACACCGCATGGTGAAGATTGGTCGCCACTTCAGCCTCATTGACGTGAATTGCCCCGACCGATAAGATGGCAAGGACTAACGGAGCTATCGATGCGTTGGTTTGAGATGACTATACCGCAACAGAAAATATTCTTACCCGAAGTCGTGGTGAGACTGAATGTCGGCTTATGCACAATCGGTGTATGCGGTAAAAAATAATTCAGGAATCCCTTCAGGAACCTGATCACTTTGTATCGTGAGGGGTAGCCGAAGCCACTGAGACGCTCTTCCACGTCGAACTGCTTGAGTTGAGCCTCGGCCTGCTCTATTTCCCGCGGCGACACTTCTAGGAAAAGACCGTTGCTCTGGTAATCCGTATCCAAGGCTCGGGTCATTTCCACCCGGTGGTCTGGAGTCTTCCTCGAACAATCCGAGGTGATAGGAGCGAAGACGGTGGCGTCTGGTTGCAGGAATTGGAAAATGTAATCGTCGAGAATTTCGAAGTCGATGTCGACGTCGGATCTCGGTGCTCCGGCGTCTGGCATAAGATCCACCGGGGGGTTGCCCAGAAGAAGAGATTCGGAAGAGCCGTCATAGGGGATTTCCAAGGTTGGATTCGGATAGATCGTGGCACCAGGGGACGGAGGAGGTGGCGCCCCAATGGCCGTGGGGGCGTTGATGTCCGGCTGAGCAAATGGAAAGAGGGCCTCATTGTCGTTTCGTCGTCCAGGGGAATCCGTACTGACGGGACGATGGAACTTTTTGACGTGTCTGGAGATGACGTCTTTGCGAGCCGACGTCAGAGTGCAGTGTGGACATGCATGAGGTTTGTGATTGCGATCTAACAGGAATTAGTCTTAGTCTCAGCCAAGAGTAGAATTAACTATAGAACTTACGGGACAGCTCATGGCGCCGTAGGTGTTCCGATCTCGTAAAGCTCTCTTCACAGGTACTGCATGCATAATGCCGGTCCCTCTGGCTGCGAGCAGCACCGTTTCGGCGCGGCTTGAATGTTTTCCGACCAATGGCCTCATTCCGGCTTTCGGTCATGGTCATGTGAGATGAGAGAGAGGGGTCGGTATAGCTGGGTGTAAGGGATGGCGTGTGTCAGGACGGTGCTGAGTGGGCGGGGTACAGTCCGTTATTATACGTCACTCCTCCTTTTCGGAGATTCCCCGCATTCACGCTGGTCAATGTGGAGACCCCGGAAATGGTAAGTATTAAGCTCTAGTGGGGTGGCTTCTGGAAAGCCGGATTTCTAGATACGTTGGGCGGGGATATCGATGGGGTTGACAGACGTTTAACCGTGATCGTCAACCTACATATACTTCCTCCTATTTTATCATCTAGTAAGAATTGTTATACTCCAGTCTATCTGTTTATTTAAACGAATCTGGAAGTCAAGCATCTCATCTGACACAGCAACACATCAACACATCAACATGACTACACACACCGAAACCACCACCGCCAACAACCTCGGTGCGCTGTCCGCCGAGGGCGACACCACCCCTCCGGGCTTCGTTCCAGGAGGTTTCTCGCGCAGTCCTCACCAGAAAGAACCTCTGACCGTCGCAAGAATGCCCCGCTTCTCAACCTTGGAGGATGAACGAAATTTCCGCAAGCTGCACCATGCCGCTGCGCTCCGCTGGTTGGGCAAAGAGGGCTATAACAACGAGGGCGCGGGCGGTCATGTTACCGTCCGCGATCCCATCCTGACCGATCACTTTTGGATCAATCCATACGCAAAGAGCTTCTCCCGTATGAAGCCAGAGGACCTGTGTCTGGTAAATGACCAGGGGGTCGTCGTGCAGGGAGGCAACATGCATCACATCAATCCAGCCGGATTCGTCATCCACTCTGCTGTTCACAGAGCACGGCCGGATGTTCAGGCAGCGGTGCATTGCCATTCGGTTCCCAGCAAAGCATACGCCGCGTTTGGGAAGAAGCTGGACATGATTTCCCAGGATCATTGTCGGTATGTAACCCCTCAACCTTTTTCATCGCTGAGGACTCACGCTGGTGCAGCTTTTACAACGCTCATGGCGTTTATGAGGGCTTTGGCGGGAGCGCTCTGGATCCGCAAGAAGGGATCAACATTGCCAAAGCCCTGGGTAATGGGAAAGCAGTGATCCTGCAGAACCACGGGCTGCTCGCGGTTTCCAAGACCGTGGATGGCGCGGCCTTCAATTTCGGAGCGTTTGACCGATGTGTCCAGGCGTCGCTTCTCGCAGAAGCTGCCGGCAAGAACAGGGGCTGGGACACTATCAAGGTCCCCCATGAGGCAGCGGAGTTCACCCGCAAGGTGTATACCGACGAAATGGAATACATCACCTTTCAATCTGCGTAAGTCGTTCGTTCATGTTGACGAAAACGGGGCCATCTCTGACAAGAATTTCAGATTTGAGGATGTGGTGTATGAGTCCAATGGTGAATTGACTCTGTTGTCGGGTGGCGAGAAGTGGCCTGAAGATCATTAAATTGATTCCAGCGACAGACTTTTTTAATTGTAGCTACGTGCTTGTATTCACTCGTTTGGTGGTCACTGTTAGACCATTTTCTTCCAAACATGACATTTCTTGATATCATGCCCACGTTCATTTCTCATGTACACTTCTGGAAAGAAGAAATCAATTTACATTATTGCTTTGCCTGGGACCGCTTGGTAAAAGACCGCGTAGATCAAATAGGAGCGCATGATAGTGTTGTGACCCAGCGATGCATCGTCTGTCATGCTCAGATTATCAGATTATCTTGTTTACAGGTTGGCTTGAAATGGCCTTGCTGGACAAGACTGCCCGTTTCCCTGTATCCCCTGTATACTTTCACATCCCTCGATACAATCTTCTAATCAAGGTCGAAGTGTAGCCTGGCTCGCAATAACGACATTGGAGTGCTAACGATATCCGCTTCTTCTTGGATCACTACCCCACCGAATAGGGTTTGTGGCGTTCCCCAGTCACCCTTTCCCCGTGGGGTATCAGAAACCCTGCTATTTCTTTACCAGAGGGCTCGAGAAAAGCAACATCCGAATTGTAGTCTCGTTCATCTGAGCAAACTCAGCATTCTGCGGTCGAATATCTAAATCTCACTTTTCTCATTTTTGTCTAATATCATGGCCCAAGAAAAGACTGAATCCGAGTTCCTGGAATATGCCTCTGGCACGGTCAACCCAGAAAGCCTCGAGATCGACCATGAGGCCGAGAGGAAGCTCCTCCGCAAGCTGGACCTGCATATCGCTCCGATGGTGTTTTTAGGGTACCTTGTCTGTTTCCTCGATCGGGTGAACATCGGCAATGCCCGTCTTTACGATCTCGAAAATGACCTGCACCTGCGCGGCAATCAGTATCAGATCGCCTTGTCGGTCCTTTTTGCGACGTATATCCTCTCCGAGATCCCTAGTAATTTGCTCATCAAACGGATCCGACCGTCCCGTTGGATCTCCTTTCTGACCGTGTCCTGGGGCATTATTGCCACCTTGTCCGGTCTCTGTCAGAACTTTGGCGGACTGGTGGCTTGTCGCCTTCTTCTGGGTCTCTTCGAGGGTGGCCTGTTTCCGGGCTTCCTCGTTTATCTGACCTTATTCTATACCAAAGACGAGATCGCTCTCCGGGTTTGTTACTTTTTCGTCAGTTCAGCTTTTTCGGGGGCTTGTGGTGGCCTCCTGACGTACTGCATCGGGTTCATGGATGGGGTCGCGGGATTGAGGGGATGGAGATGGATATTTATCATTGAGGGTAACATTCATTTTCCAAGTATCGAGGTCTGACTAATTCAGATCTAGGGCTTCCCACTTTCATTTACGGCCTTGCGGCTTGGTTTCTTCTGGCGGATGATCCGGAATCGGCCTCCTATCTGACATCACAAGAGAAAGAACTGATGATGATCCGGAGAGAAAGGCATGTTGGTTCGACGGCATCCGGCAATGAATTTCACAAGAAGGATATGATCCTTGCCTTCCAAGATTGGAAGATCTATATGTTCTGTCTTGCCCAGTTCTGCATGGTGACCATGCTGTATGGATATAGCGTGTTCCTGCCCACCATCATCCAAGGTAAAGTCCGCTTCTTTTCAGCGGAAACACCACTAACATAAATGATAGGGTTAGGCAACTGGACGACAGCTCAAATCCAGGCATTGACGATCCCCTGCTACATTGTGGGAGCGATTTGCTACCTCGGCGTCGCCGTTTTATCGGACCACCAACAGCGACGGGGCATCTACGTTCTCGCTTCCATTTCGGCGTCGATCATCGGATATGGTCTCCTGATTTCCAAATCTAATGAACGAGTCCACTATTTCGCGGCTTGTCTGATCGCGAGTGGAATGTATAGCTGTTTGGGGATTGCGATGGCCTGGCTGCCCAGCAATCAGCCTCGGTACGGCAAGCGAACGACCGCCACGGCTATGCAAGTCATGACTGGGAACGCTGCAGGAATCTTGGCGTCATTTGTAAGGCTGACATCAAGACATTTTCAGCGTCAATCAAGCTGACGCGCGATGTAGTTGTACCCGACTACCGATGCACCACGTTATGTAATGGGCCAGAGCATCACACTCGCCCTGTTAGGTGTTGCGTTCGGTCTTTTCGTCGTCATGATCCTATACTTTTCTCGCGTCAACAAACGGAGAATGGAAGGCAAGGAAGACGCTAGCATCGCTGGTCTAACCGAGGAAGAGGTCAACGAGTTGGGCGACCGATCCCCACGATTCATCTATACGGTCTGAGTCGATCTGCTACAAATGAGCAGGGTGAAGGACGAAGATGCGAATCTGTTTCTCCATAATTGATAAGTCGGTGCCTGCATCTGACAGATGGATTTCTTGGAATTGAGAATATTCGCATGGTTGTTCATCTATGCCGATTCAAACCAGACTTGTCTTTCCATGTTTCACATACTGTAGATGTGCCCATGACTGAACATGTGTGGTCAGGTTTATCATGCAGTCTCTCCATTAGGTAGATGGTGATCCTCGGACGTATCTCGGCTTATTGGATAGTCTTTCCATCTGTGCAGGTATCTGGATGCCGAGATGGCAATATATCTTCAAGTGAACATTTAATGCTCTCCTCATCCAACTCATCCAAGGACTGGTCCATGTCAAAACGTATTGTTGCTCATGCTGTGTTTTGTCCGAAAGACTGTTTGATCCCACCCCACCGTACCTACTTCCTACCCCGCCTGTCACACCCCGCTCCGGATCCAGGTCGTCGTAATCAAAATAGTACATAACTGGCTGGATTTGCCGTAAAAGTTCATTCCTATTATATAAACCGAGTTATATGGACTGTTCAATGATTCTTGGAGACTTCCCTCATATAGGTATAGACAAGAATCAACCGATTACTTGCCATGGACAGGGACGGACTCTCATTGAGCGGATCGTGGGATTGCCACCTTCACATTTTTGATCCGGAGACCTTTCCCTGGAATCCGAATCGGACCTACACTCCGGCCGCGGCTCCTCTTGACGCTCTGTTCAAGGACTCGCCCACCTCGAACTACCTGATCGTACAGGCTTCGGTGGAGGGCGGCCGGGCGGGCATCATCCACCACCTCCAGCAGGCGCGACGACAGACTTCTGGCCAGGGATTATTCCGAGCCGAGATCGAGGTCGACGCCGGCGAAGATCTGGATGCGAAGACGTTGCAACAATTGAATGAAGTGGGGGTCCGCGCTCTCCGTCTGCACGGGGAGGTCGGGCTCCCCAGCGGCGAGGACCGCATCCAATCGGCCCGGACCTCGTTCAAACGACTGGGCCGGATTGCGAAGAAGACCGGATGGTTCATCTCGGCCACCTGTCCGTTGGACTCCTGGCTGGAGCTGGGACCATGGCTGGTGACGACCGAGGAACTGGACGGCGTCCGAATCATCATCGAACATAGCGGGCGCCTGGATCCGGGGCGCAATCTCGACGACTATCCCGAATTCGAGAGATTTCTCCAACTCCTAGAAGATCACCCAGGAAAGCTCTTTGTGAAACTGTGTGGCATCAATCGACTCGATTCGCAGGAACGAGCCGATGGGAAGATGCCTGCCCTGCCGCCCGCGGTCGTGGCCATTGCGCAGCGAGTCCCGGATTCGGTCGTCTGGGGGTCCGACTGGCCTCACTGTCGATTTAACGAGGGCTATCCACGAGAGCAGAGTGTGTCCGGGAAGAAAGTGGATCTGCTACATGAGCTGAATCTTCTTCAGGCGGCCTTGTCTCCGACCATCTGGAAGAAGTTGATGTGTGACAATCCGAAGAGAATGTTCGAGTGAGGGTGAATTCAGCTTTCTTACCATTCGCAAAATGGAGAACCTACGTAGATTTGTATCTCCAATGAAGCATGAATCTGTCATCTTAACCCAAGTCAACAGCCAGTACTATGAGTATGTCACTGCGAAACCCATATCTGATGCCTACTGAGTTCCGTGGCTATGTTCAGCATGACGGCTCATATATTCTATGGTTAGCTGAACAAGTCAACATCTGACTGTCTATTTATTCCTGCTTCATGACATTGACTACAACAGAGAAGAGTCTTATAACTAACACGTCTAGAACTTGTCACATTGGGGGCAATAGATTCCAGCAAGTTCCTCGAACTGATGAAATTTAATCGTTACAAAGGCTCGCGAGGACTGTGACGACAGGCTAAGTGACGGGAAGCGCGAGAAATCGGCCTTGGCCCTTTAAAAGCACTTGCTTCGTGATCCGCAGTGCTGTTTGTTTCGTGGTATATTCCCGTCGATAAGAAACTCAGCTGGCTTGGCTCTAGAGACTTGAAAGAACCCTATGGCCCCATCCAGTTTGTAGATGACCGGAGCTGTTTTCTAGAAGAAGAATAAGTCAGTTTAGTCCCAATGTCATAGGCTACACCACATGCCTGAAAGCGGCGTAACTCCTCCGATATGTACGGAATGTGATCTGCAGGTCCCTGGTTATCCCACATGTCTAATGCTGTAAGAACATTTGAGAGTTCTTTATTTTTGATTTGCTTCGCGACGTCCCTCAGCTTCTCAACGGCTTCGTGACTTAGCGTCTTCGTAGAAAGATGGCCGTTCGACTCCTCCGGCTCTGCCATAAAGGCAGGGACAGTCTACAGGCACGACATTTTTGGCTACTCGCACGACTCTCCAGGAGGGTTAGGCTGGCTGGATTAAATCTAAAACAATGAGCGATTGGTCCGACATCCGCGGAGAATTGATGGCGCGTACGAAAGATTATCCTGCACTGCAAGTTAGTACGTCCAGGTCGCGCCGATGTCCACGCAAAATCCACAAGTGGGTCGAACATTGTCACACTCGGTTTTTCGGCGCCGGCAGGTCTAACGCAGTGAGCTCCGTGCCAGCAAGTGAGTTCATTCGAGGCTACTATGTCATCTTCATTTTACATTTTGTCTTGGAACTCAATCCAGTAAAGATAAAACGAGGATATGTCTGCTCTTTTGCTCATACTGATTGGCTACTTGGGGCAGCAGCTCCATCAGGTTGATATCTCCTCGCTCTTTCCTCGAGGCCACTTTTTTGCGCCCTGCCGTTTCCACCCCTTTCTTAACTTGGAATATCCTTGTACACAAACGTATCTATAGGTCCCCAATTCCCTTTGTCAACGCTGCTTAGGTCATCGGGTTTACCACTTCCCAGAAGTCTCTTTAGGGGCTTTAGGGAGACTCGAGTGCGCCAGGGTTATAATGATCTGACAAAAGGGGAGAATAAGAGGGAAGTCAATGGCCTGAATCCACTTTTCCGCTTGCGACCTTCACTTGGTTGCGAGCCCTGTTCCTCTCATAATTTGTAAGTACGGGCAAAGTGTGAACTGTGAACCAAAGTCAGAAGGCTGTAGGCTTTTTGCCTACTTTATAGGACTAATCGGAGCCAGCATGGCTCCATAGAGAGCTTATTGGCCCCCGAGCACTCCTTGAACAGGTTGAACAATAATTTATAGACCATTCGGATCATAACATCAGCGTTGGCTATTTTCAAGTTGACGAGTACAGATTTTTACGCACTTTAGGGATAACGTAGCTCCGTACTGGCATATGTAATATATAAATATTCTGAGCATAAATAATAAATACACTTTCAATGAAAGTCGGCCCTCAGTAGATAATCAATGTATCATCCAATTCAAGGTAATCGCCCACGAAAACGTCCCCCTCTGCTTCAAACATTCTTGTGTCCTTCTCGCTATGAATTGATGATCTACTGGTTGCTAACATCGATACTTTATTGTCCTTGCAACACCCCTGGAGCATTTCGTCGTATTCTGCCGTCCAAAGTTGGTTAGGGAAACAGTGGTCCAGTAATGATTCGTTTCTCATAACTGGAAGATCCGGGAACTCGGAAAAAGGTTGGGGCTCAGAAAAATCGGTTTTGGATCCAGGAAGAGCAGAGTCAAGCGGATCACCAGCTTGACTCGAATACAGTGTTTGTACCGACTCAGTCATTGAAACTGGGGACTGGACGAGGGTACCTGTTGTCGATGCATCGACTCCATGTGCTTCTGCTGTGTTGACCATTAAGTCAATGTCCTCTTTGCGTGTACATTGCTGCAGCGACAGAAGGGCAGGTTCGGCCGGGGCGTGTGTTTCCCTCAAGCTTTGTAGAACATGAACGCATTGTCGGAACTGACGTAGGCTTTCCATTCGAACCCGAGGATTATCTGATCTCATACCGAGGAAGTGGGTCCTGGCGACGTGGTAAAGAATTGCAAGCCCGGAGGTAGGCAGATAACGAGTCAGTGATGCATTATATAAGGACCACATGATGCCCGTGATCTCCTTTGCCGCGAAGGAAACTTGTCGTTTTGGTGTGGAACAAAAGTCTGAGTTTGGCATCCAGATTTCGTTTTGGAAGGCTCGTGGGTCATGCAATGTAAGGATAAGAAAGAGATAAATAACCTTTAAAAATCCAGAATGAAGATGCAGGTTTCGGCTTGCGTCTGAAACACGTGTAGAGGGGAATGAAGAGTACTGGGCATCTGCAGGAACCGTATTTAGCCAGTCACGCAACTCATTGTCGTAAAATTGGACCTGAGACTCTTTTGCAGAACTCTCATCTGGCATGATCTGCTCAGCTGGGTGTGTTCCTTGCGCACAATTGTACGTCAGTGTCGAAAGGATGCCACTAATGAGGCCGCAAAGCTTGGTTATTTCAATGCAAATCACCGCCGTGGTCCGACGGCTACCCCTGTCATGAAGAGCTCTGGGTTTCTCATGGAACTTTGAGGCTTCCGATGGCTCAGCGTCGATCTCAAAATCCACAAGAGTTAAAGGAGAAATGTCACATTCGTCGTCCCGGATACGAGTCGGGCAATTCAACTCCAGGGCCATCAATCTGTCTCGCACATAGATGCTCCACCATAGCCGCCTTCGGAATCTCCAATCACGAGGCAGGTGCCTTGATGCAGAACAGTCACGATGTAACCCAATAGACATCGCATGTGTGAGGCAAGCGCCCATCCAGTACCACGAATCTTTCTGCGCTCCATCGGTCTCGCGACAGAATGTCATCAGTAGCAAGGATTGAATTATGGAGATCCGACAATCAGTCTCAAAGTCCATCTCATAAAGCAACTTCACGCGTTGAAACAACGCCCGTCGAGCACATATGCGAGATGAGAAACCAGCCGATGATAGAACCTCCATGTCGACCGATGCCGCTCCAGAAAACATGATTGCTTGAAACAATGGAAGGCTTACCCTTTTCCTTCGATAAATGCCGTGAATTATTTGCAATATTTCATCTAGATTCACAATGGGCGAGAAACTGTGGACGTAGACAGCGTAGCTTTCCAAAAGCCGATCACGCACTGGAGGTTCGGGAATTTCCAACGCCCCTTTTATAGCCAGATACTGCATGTCACTTTCCTCTAGATGCGCAGAAGGCGACTTGATGTAGCATGGCAAGTCGGAGCTTTTGCTTCGGGAGTTTTGGGTCTGTTGAGGACTCGGAAGGTACTCGGAGGTCACGGACGGTTCAGTTGGCACAATTCGGGAACCAAGTAGCTTCCGGACTTCGGAAGTGGCCTGTTCCAGAAACCAACCAGCTTTCTCGGCCGGATGGGTTGCGTAGTTCCCTACTTCTCGATCAGTCGAGGCGTTGGATTCTGGGCGAATGTCAGACACACGAAAGGTACGACATGCGCAAAGCTTGGCCGATTTGGAAACTTACGCGCGGCGGGCGTCAAGTTGGGAGAGTTCACCGAGGCCACGCTCTCTCCGCGACCGCAGCCACTAGCATGTGACGCGTTGCGCATGGCCTCAGCAGAATCATTTTGGGGGTAAGATAATTGTCGACTTGGAAACCTATCTGTGATGTCGGGCAGCGACAGCCATCGGCGTGGTGGCCTGGAGAGGCGATCAACACTGTTTTTCAAACGGCCTAAATTTGACGAACCTTCTCCTCCTATCTGCGATGATACAATCCGCTTTGTCTAGGCGGCAATTGGTGCATGGGCTGCCGTGTTCCACATCGCATCTGACCTTCCGTCCACGACAGTTGCGGCATGCGATGCCCGCTCGTCTGATCTGACGACGGCATTTGTTCGCTGACGAGGTGGCGGGGGACGCTGGGCGCTTGACTTGGCCTGTCATTTCGGATGCTGCCTTTCTCTGGCCCTCTGGTAAAGAAATAGCAGGGCTTCTGATACCCCACACGGAAGGATGACTGGGGAACGCCACAAACCCTATTCGGTGGGGTAGTTATCCGAGAAGCGGATATCGTTAGCTGTCCAATGTCGTTATTGCGAGCCAGGCTACACTTCGACCTTGACTAGAAGACTGTCATCGAGACATTTGAGAGGATATGTGGCCAGCGTTGAGACTACGCCTGACGTGGTCACGTGATATGCCTTGTGTGTTGGTTGATGTGTGTCCAATTGGAAGGGGCCCTGGAAGGCCGCCCAACTAACTAACTATAGGCTGACTAAGGAAGGTCGGACCCGTGATCACGTGACCACTGTGAGGGCAGTGCTCCAACATTGTGTAGATAGTTCCTGTTCTTCTTTCTTTGCTTCTTTCTTGTCCAACTTGGAACTCCCGTCGTCCATAGCACTCAAATTGAATACTTTCATCGTTTCCCTTTCTGGTCTGGCTGCCCGGTCACAGGGAAGACATAATCGACCGCGAAGACGACGTGTTGCACAAAGACAAAGGCCTACTAGGTGGTAGTAAAGGGGGCGGTTTATAGAGAGCCTCTTAGAGTATTAGTAACTACGTCTGGCTAAGAGACTTTGATATAGTTCAAAAAAGCGAATTACATAAGAGTAGGCAAGGCATACACTGATCGGAATCACTTACCCATCAGACGGTCTTCCCTAGCATTCATCCTTAGTCTAAGGCAGTCTTGGAGCCACACTGCTAGAGCATCAGCTAAGTATAACTTAATATATAGACAACTAGATGCTAGAGATTCGAGGACTAAGAAGAAGACTAACTTAGCGTTTAACGGAGATATAGCTCGGCGTTCTAGACTAAGAGTAGAAATGCCTTATCTAAAGCGGAGCGGTAAGTTCATAGAGGAAACGGGTGTAGGACGAGGGACCGCGGCGGTCTAGTCGATTCGAGCTAGGAGGGGGAGGGGGGAAAGGTGGTGGCAGAGCTCGGCGATATAGATCAATAGCATAAATGCCTCACTAACGGGAGGAGAGTGAGGGGGGAAGAAGGACGGGCAAAAGGGCGAAAAAGAAGGACGGGCAAAAGGGCGAAAAGAGCAAGAGATTGAAGCGGCGATGGAGAGGACTTTATAGCACACACACGGGAGCTTAAGCAGCAAGGTGGCGCTTAACCCAAACAGGAACGCTAAACTGTTCCCAGCAATTCACCGTCACCGCGGCATACGTGATAACCAACTACACCATCCGGTCAATTGTATAGTTTTTGCAGATGCTTATTATTATCATATCCTATTACTTTACCCTTCCGTCCAGTAAACGGCCTATCATATTGATAATTGCCGAACAATTCCCGTCGGTCGTGCCAACAACCAGAACTTGCAGGGTCAATTTCACTATCTGACAGCGGGATCCTAACGCCATTTACAACTAGCAAACACAACCAGCATAAACCAGATAGTTTCCTCTTTCGTACTTATTGTCAACAGAGCGCGCGCTCTTTCACAGGCCAAGTGACTCGACCAACTCTTCCACAGGCTTGCCCAAGATTTTACTCAGGGCCGACAGGAGAGACTTGATGTCGAGGTCCTCCCCGCGTTTGTCGACGGTGACCAGGCTATCGGAATTGGCGGCACCATCAGCAGACTGGGGGATGAAGTCCTTGGAAATCGAGGATGCGGCCGACTCGATGTCGCTGGTGGATCCGCCAGGTTTGGCGCCTGGAGCCGCGACGGCCACGGCAGCAGCGAAAGTGATGGCAATAATAGAGCAACGCATGGTAAATTTGCTGGGAATATATTGTTAGCTAATCAAATTGAACCGTAGAATAATTACTCACCGGGGGCGGGATACAGTGAATAAATGTGGCGGATTGAGGATAGAAAAGCGTAATTGGAGAAGGGAATAGCAAGTTCGCATCGTCTCTTAAGTAGAGCCAAAATGGCTTGAAACCCGCGACAAGTCGTTGACGTGCTCTAGCTCACTAGCTACTAGAGAGCACGCCAGTATTTTCCATCTGCAATGCATGATAAGGACATTCAATCGAGGATCGATGACATATGAATAGAGTTAAGGTTAAAAGAAGCATAATTAGAGTATGTTCTGTTACTGGAACCTGTGGGGAGAATAGGGCGACGATCCGACACTGACTAAAGTGGCAAATAGAAATCGAATATCTAGACTCAAATAATGACGACAATGCTTTTTTGATGATCCGTAACTATTCAGGCGTTTGACTATTCGGGCGTTTGACCCGGACATGGAGTCGCGGATGAACCGGCCGCTCCCGCAAATGATGTCATCACACCCAGGAGCGTATTCTATGGCAACAGTGTATGTCTAATCTTTCAATTGGAAATTCGAGAGACAGATATCTGAAAGCCGGTCAATATGTTCGAGATAGTACGAAAGCAGAACTATGGAGTGAGCCACAGTTAGCTAACGGCCCGCAGTAGACACACTTCGTGTTAACCTTGGTTAGCCATGTAGTGTTGATTTGGCGGACATATATGATGCGTATATTCGTGAATTCATCTTCCCATCGCATATGCTGCTGAATACGAGCACGATTACTACTAGTTGCTTCGCAGAGCGCACATGCTCCAAGTTGACACAGCGTACTCAGTATGAGGTCACAGACTCATTTCCTGGGCTGGTGGTCTTGTTCGTACCAGACAGCGAAAGACTCGCATAACCGGTGCATACTTCATCATGTCTGGCGAAGGCCAATGGATACTGAGCAGGTCCATTGTCAATTTTAATTCACCGCACTTGAGCCTCCTTGAAGTTTCATTGATCTCTACAGATATTGAGATGCATCTAGTGTAGGCTATCATTTGTCAAGTATGGCAGGCATGGTATCACTCAGTACACCGGTCATGTCGCTCGTGCGTGTACAACGAGTGTAGTCTATGCCGTCGCATTTGCCCTTTTGCATAGTAGCCTTTTCATGAATTTCAAAGTATACACAGAGAAAAGTACTCACCCCTCTCGGTGTCTAGCTCTTTTCAACAATCGCTCTGACCCTCTGACCTCAGTAGATATTGTTTCTTCGGCATGCAATAATTTACGTTTCATTGATTCTGCTCCATGAGCCGCGCGACGAATTTCTACCAAAGGATCTATCACTCGCATCTGTTTAATTCACCTCTTCCCGTGGATACTCCTAAGATACTGTGAAATTAATGGATTGCCACATATCATGAGATCATGTCACATAAGCACTAACACCACACTCTATCCAATCTTATGCAGATGGATTCAACTCAGTATCTCCCAAACTGTAAAAACGTTATTATTATGTCTACTATGAGACCAGTGGGACGGAGACATACCAGTCAGCAGTAAATAATCCCAAAGCAGCTTCTAGAAGAGGACCAGCTTCTGGAATAAATCCAGCAACTGCGCCCGATTCAATCTCCCAAAAGATGTCCTTGCAGACGCCGGACGAGTCCGGCAGAGTCATAAAGGGTTCAACGACAAGGATGGCCTGCATTGCCGCTAGTGTTTTGCCATTTTCCCCTTGAAACAATGCATGGCAAACTATATTGTATTCGCTGCTGCCATGGTAAAGGTGACATGAACTAAAGGGGTCTGCTCTGTCGGTCCCGTACTCCGAACTATGATAAGTTAGGAATTTGACCTTTCTACCTAGGAGGGAACAGGGGATATCATACAATCCATTAAACGCTTTCTGGGTCCAGTTTTTCCCAACTTTACCTGCCATGACCTGCACACCTTCGATTAAATTAGGCAACATGGATTTGTCTAAATTTACCGCATCAGTTTAGTAATGTTGGTCGGGGATATCAGGGAATATACAGTTGACATAGTCCCCGTTAGCACTGAGAGCGAAAGTTGCAAATTCTAGCCCCCTAGCTGTGCCAATTGGGGCAGGCGACACCCAGTTAACCTTTGGCGTTCAAGGATCTGCCTGCATACATCCAGCATCGCTGCAGATATCGGTCAAATGGCCAACCACGGAATGTGGGCCAATATCATCACCACAGCCAAACTGGACCGTTCCATCCCCAAAGTCAACATGAGTCCTAGCCTCAGGGTAATGGTTGATGACATCTCCTGTCAATGCGCCCAGAAATTTGCAACCCTCCTGAACCTTTGTGACGTTTGCGTATTTCGATGGACTACAGGCAGCTTGGAGTCCTCACTTATACTGCTCGTATTTTGCCTTTGGCACAAGGTCCCTCTTATTGTGTTCAGGACCTTCATCGGCCATATGTTCCATCAATTCTTATATACCGATGTCAGATCCCATGCCATCGATGAATTTATATCTTCACTTGCCCTTTTCGTCTCTTAAATCTCTCGCAGTTCCACGCGTCCTTACATGCCTCATATGCAGAGTGGTAGTCGTGTGTATTCTGACGCAAGATGCCTGGAGTAAAACGAGATGGTTTTAATGAATGCGCCGTGGGTTTGGAGCCAGCGGGTAACTCAGCTGTTCCCGCAGGCTTTGCATGAGGAATTGCTGAAATGCGGAGACCAAGGGACAAAAGTGGCCAGGCGAGATGCATGATGGATAAGCAGTTATGCAAGAAAAGAGAAAATGGTTGGTGAGGTCTTAATTTTCTAGTTCGTTTGTCTCCAGGGGATCTTAGGTCTTTTTAATCCTCTGCCTCACTGCCACGAGCCATGGTACTTCTCAGGAGCGTACCATCAACTTCCAAAGACTATATATGTGAAGAGCGCGCCCAGGTCCGCGCTTCCCAAGTAGGTTAAAAGACCACTATGACGAATTCCGCTAACTTCGTCATGCCTTGGTCCACGATATAATGGCACCACACTGTCAGGCCGCGATCCTGACAGGTAGGTGTAAATCTGCTTCATCTTCTGCAAAAGCAAAGAGCTCCTAATAGAGGTTCTTATGAAACCTTACCTGGTTAGGTTTTTCAATTATACCCGGCACAGTGATAGTGCGTCCGACTCGAGTGCTTGGGGTGTCCATGGCTCTCTTTTGCATCTCAGAGTGGATGATTGTGGATTATGGTGGAAAATCGGCAGGTTCCATGTTGGCAATATTGACGACCCTAGATAGCTTGAACACTGCGGTATGTTGGATTCTCTTCGAGATCCCTTGAAAAACTACAAATGATGGCATAGCAGCACATACGTGTTTAATGATATTCAGGAAGATATTGTCGAGGTTTTCTCTGTGAGGTCAGGGTCAGTCAGCGAAAGTCCATGGACATGCCAAATGTGAGCGTTTCGTTTATGCAGGCCCGACAAGGCTTTAAAATTTCCTCACATGCAAGGAGGGACATGGAACCTTAAGCCACCATTATAAATAGTGTGATCCCCATGGAGACCAATTCTCTTGCCAAAATGGTGTTATGGTATGGATATTCTAGTTGAATTCCAGAAATCATTCTTGAGATTAAGGAACAGCCGCCAATCAAACTTTAAAAGCCACTTTTCTAATCTTCGGATCGCGTGCGATCCGAATCCGTTGTTATCGGATTTGCTGCGTATGTGTACACAACCTGAGGTTTCTCGGCAAAAGATGGCGGTGCCTTATAATTGGCGGCCCATCTTCCGACATTCTTTTAAGCAATTTCTTGAACATGGAATATTATCTCCTTGCAATGTTCTTGCAAATAGTCCAAGATGTATATTCTACCATTCTAGTCTTCGTCATCTTACATATTTAGGTCGAAGCTGGTATCTTTGTCAACTTTAACAGACTAAATAGCAGATAATCAAGTTAAGCCATTTTAATTTTTAGATCACTATTTTGGGTGGGGACGGGGGCGCTTTTAGAAGCGTTCATACTTTTCGAAAGCAGACTTTGTTACTTCGTGCCGAAACCCAAATCCGGATAGGCCATGGCGGCTCATTGCTTGAGGGCTATGTCTCACACTGCTCTCTTTGCCTTATTTAATATCAAGATAAACCAAGTCTCAAAATTTTTGACACTCCCTTCTCATGACGATTTTGTACCACAATTCGAGCCGAGTCCCAACATGCCGTTGTTGTCGCGTGATGATCTTCATGCCGAACTTCATCCTATTTTAAACACGGACTACCTCTCCCATGATTGGAGCCTTGAAGATCTGTGGGTGACGCGAAGCTATATTAGCAAACGGAGAAATCAATGGCACAATCATTGGCGCCTTGAAAATGCACTCTGGAGAGCATGGACCAAGCAAAAGCAAGGCTTACCCAGCTTTCCTCCAAGATCAATTCAGTGGTGAGTTACGAACTTCTGGGTTTGAACTTACAATTTTGACTGTCATTAGGCGAAAGGATAGTGATACAACCTGGCTATATGGACCGCTGAAGTCAAAAGAAGAATTATCTAAAGATGATTCCGGGTTAGGTTTTGCGAAAAAAGACACATTGTACCAAAAGTCTCTTCTCAAACCAAAGCCAAGCATATGGGCCGCAAACTCGGATGCTTCTACTAAGGATACCACACCGTTCGTGTCTAAGAACTGGGGTTCTTTCCAGGACAATGTACGTTGGGTAAAGGTTTCCTTTCAGACTTTCACACTCTTTTTCTCTGCTGATATGGTGGTGCAGGGACTCCATGACGAAGGCTCTTTGTGTTCACCAAAGCGCCAGAAGCGTGTCCGCTTTAATGAACAAGTTACACAATGTCAAATTCTTCCCCAGGGGTTTTGTTTGTTGAGTATCGGCCACTTTACTCGCTCCAGCTTTTGTGGTGATACTGGACTTTTCGCAGTTCCAGGAGCATGGCCGGAATCGGAACCACCAATATCTACCCTATTGCAGCAAACAATCTCTCCCTTGCCACCTAC